TCGAGTTTCTTGGCGTCTTCCTCGGACAAGTCTGTCCATGTTGAGTGTATTTCTCGACCTCGATCTCCAGCCCATAGCAATAAATACGATATTTGTTCTGGCTCCGATTTTCCTTTTAATGGTCCCATAAACATTAATTTAGCATGTCTTTCAATTTTTTCGAAAACTTCTGGCAAGTTAGATGATTGCCAATCAATAGATAGTGGTGCGATTCCCGTTAATTCCATTTTTAAATTGAAAATAATGTTGTTTTTTTATATGTTTAATTATAATGTTCTGATAAAAGTCCAGTATAATATCTTTTAAAATCCATTTAAATTTCTTCTGGCACCATGTTTTGTTGTTGGGAGTTATAATAATCAAGTAGACTTCACAAAATAGTGATATAACACAAACACGTGTATACTCTACAAGATGTAAATTTATTCTCCCAAAATCCCTAACATCGAGGTACTGGTTAGACATGTTATTGAGCATGCGCAATGTGCATATATTATAAACTAGCTAATCAGCTGATATTACTACATGACGTAAAACCCAAAACAATCAAAAATCATTCGTATAATAAGTGTCGAAATAGTATTTTTCACGTTAAAACAAGCATGTGTTACTCACAAGAATGAGGGGGTTAAAAATAATTAAGTAATTAGAAAAAAAGATTAAAACTATTGAATAAAATAAAATAAAGTTGTATTGATTTGTTTGTCATAAATGTCACAAGGTATAGGCACTAAAATATTGTTCACAAGTAATTATTATTTCAATCGAACAGAGTAGAGTAGTATCTTTATTTACATCTCATCATTGCATATACATGATAAAACATACATATAATTTTAAAAACAAAATAAATAAATGCAATGCCATTCCATATGGAATTATAAGAGATGGTCGTGAGAAAATACATTAAAAATCGAACAGTTTATCTAAACTAAGCATGGAGTTAAAATACTATACAAGTAAGACATAAAACAATTATTTCTAGTAAAACAATATATCAGCATATAATAAAAAAAGCACGAATATCAACAATAGAAACACATGCATTTAAGAGGTTTCTGACCATATAATAAAAATATATAAGGTAATAAAAAATGTGTGAAACATTCCACAATCTATTGTAATGTTTTTTTTACAAAGTTTAAAAACGACGTCTATCTAAAAAAATTTTTTAACAGGGTTTTGGCACAATATCTTATCATTTTTGGGCTCTTTTATTGGAATACAAGTAAGTATATTTATCAGAATCTTGCATTTCAGAGAACAAACTATCATGCTCTATTGCTCTAGAGTACAAAATCTACTCTTAAATCATCATAAACCTTACAACTGAACAAAACATGTAATTCTTTTTTCAACTGAAATTATCGTTTACAAAAGGACAATTCTATCTTCTATGCTCAGAAGACCTCATAACAGGCCGGTCTCCATACGAATCGCGCAAAACTCCTAATCTAAACTTACAAAATGCTGGACCGATGAGAGGCGGTAATATCATTTTACAAGTACTGTTCGTTTTCATACTCAGACTTAATAGTTTTATATAATCGTAACTTATTACGACCGGCAGGGCCAGAAAACGCCCATTGTAATCATTGTGTAAGCTTAGTTTTCCAATTCATTAAATAAATTATTGAGAGACACAGACTCAACAATATGTAGCAAACGTTCTAGCAATGGGATTGTGTAGAGATAAATTTAATACATTCAAATTTTTCTTAATTAAAAATGATTTTTATATGTAAAAACCAGTTCTTACATGTACAATTAGCTTTATAAACGCCCAGAGTGCAATACGTTTTGTAAATCTAGACTTTCCATAATTTGCTAACTTTAACCAATACAAAGCAGTAAAATTTCAGTTGACGGACTATTGGTGGCTTCCATCCTATTTCACCAACAAGCCAAACATTTGGTGTGTACTTGCCAACCCAAGAAAGAATCGCTGTCCCTATTTATAAATTGCTCAATACATGAAATATACACGTGCCCCCATAAAGGAGCACTGTAAACTTTAACAGGCCAAAACTATTTTGTTCAATAGTTTCCGTGAAAACATTGTATGGGTACTTACTAAACTTTTAGATTTTGCAATAAGCAAACCTAACGCTCAACTTGCATTCTGGGCCAAGTTTTAACAGTTCACTAAAAGATCCAAATGTTCATGAAAAAGCAAACCCAGATACGATATATATCTATCAACATATGCTTAAATTTACTGGGAACCGCAACTTGAATTGGTAACGGTTGCGCGTACTACGGAATTTTTGCGTCTAAAATGGAACAACATTGCTTTTGTTGGCATTAATTTGCATGTCATTTGTACAACCACACCAAAATTACTTAAGGCAATAATAATAACTGAAGGGGTCGTCTGCGGATTCAAGCCAGCAATACAAACATAATCATTCATTACAGCATTTATACAGAGCTTTTTCAGCATCGATCGGTACTCCAATTTCCCAAACGATTTTAGGATAAATTGATAAAAATCGTTAATGAAGAAATTAAAAAACAAGAGGAGGACAATATACAGCCTTGTCTTAAAGCCACATCTACATAAACCAGTCTGTTCTACATGAATTTATCCTTACACAAGCGGAAACGATTGTAAAGGGACTTAAAGCTATTAACATTTATTACTCCTAATACCAATTCATCCAAGTCTGTTCCATAGGATATTTCTATTTTATAGTATCATACGCTTTCCTAAATCGATAAAAGCACAAAAAGTAAGATTTTACGAGATTTTTTTTGGTATCGAGAATAGTATGTAAAAAGACATGATATGATCTTCGTGCTTCTGTTTTTTTCTAAAACCATTTTGCTCATCTGTAAAGATTCATTAGCTTCTGCCCCATTTGGTGAGTCTACTATTTAAACTTGACATACAGTTTATACATCGATGACCCAAGAAATACCTCTATACGGACATTGGGTCTTTTTATCAGTTGTAGACGATTTTGGAATAGGGTTAATTATACATTTAGACCATAAATGACGGAACATAACCTTTATCAAAACAAATATGGAACAATACATGAAGAAAGAAAATAGAAAAACATCGTTATTCAACACTTCACGGGAATACTATCTATACCGCATGCCTTTGTCCTTTATTAGCAGATAATAAAGCTGTGCGTACTTTCTCAGGCAATGATATCAATGGTCACAAAACAAGATCACCTGGCATATTCCCCACTATTCAACATTGTCAATATTAACAACAGGATTATTAAATTGACGTGTTTGAACAACGAGCTAAATCATTTTTCATCTATACAGGGGGTCAATATTTTACATTCATCTACTAGTTTGCGGTTTGTAAAGAATACCAATGTAAGCGCTAGCTCGTTGTACTTCACGGCTCAAAATATTTGTCCTTTTGTATATATAAACAGTCTTCTAAAAGACTTCTTATCATTTACATTCAATGGCAAGATAACCATTGCTTTTTCTTGCCAAATACAACATTATTCCATAATCAGTAAGTTATCGCGACCCACCATGGTTTACCAGGACGGGCCGTCTTTTTTGCTGACTCCCGTAGTCGTATATTTTTATTGGTAGTTTTTCTATACATATTATGAAGTGGAATTCTACACCAGTCATCGTATACCACGTCAATCTCCGATTGTGCCGAAACCAGTTTCAAGTTTAGAAATAGTCTCGTTCACATGAAGATTTTAAGTCTTCGCTTGGTCAAGCATAAAAATCTTTAGGCACATGTTTAAGTCAAATTCGTAAAAGATTGATTACTAGAGTTATTACCTGAAACTTTCGTTACAATCGCAATTTTAATAAAATGTTCCCATAACAGCATCAATATTCGGGGGCATTGTACTCGATGCCTATTAGCAGAAATAATACCCAGCCTTGTTTATGAGATCAGTCACCGAATAACATTAAAGTTAGCAAAATCTGTTAAATTATCATGGCATACAAAACAGTAATCTACGCAGCATTACCCTTTTTGAAGATTAGATGTTGTAATCTTTTTTTACATTATTTCCGACCATTTAAACATAACATGTTTGCATTACTAAAAATTCTAACATCAGTTCACCATACCTAATTTAAATGAAAATCTAATAACATCTCTATCACAACCATATCAAGCACCACGTATAAAGTCATCTTGATCACCACATCTTACTGTTAAAGTCTCCACCAAATAATTTGTTCCAAGCATCTCTATTTTGAATTATCAAAGTTGAGCAACGAATCATAAAACATGTTAACATCAAAAAATCTTTGAAGAATTTTCTGCGGTAAATAGGCAAACACATTGGCAAAATAACAACATTACTATGCTTGTGAGCAAAGTTTGGTAATAATATTAACCTCACAGGGAGTTATCCACTACAGATACATTAAAATCCTCAGAAGAGAGTTTCTAATAAAAAAAAACCTACACCTTCCGGAACCAGTCTTTGCATTTCCTATGAAGCTTGTGTCTCTGTTAATGAACCATTACCACGAGTTTAGCCGGTCAAGATAGAGTTTGTTCACTTGCAATAAGAGACTCTCACCGATACCCTAATATGTTCAAATATTAGAGTATATTTATGCAAGAAACGTAAATAATGGATTGTTCAGAATTAATGTCTGCTTTCCAACGCGTTACATTTCCAAAAACCCGGCCGATCTATCTACGGACCACGGTTATTGTCGACCTATCCGACCACCTGTGACCTTCCTCGAGCAAAGCGACCAGTATTCCATGTCCCTTGGTCGATCGGCGATCTTCCATGGAATCGTTGGGGACGGTTATCGCAACCACCGCGCCGGTTATTCCTCCCCTATTGATTAACGTCCACGGACTCGTCGCGTGACTTTCGTGCCTTCTTTATGATCACGCGTCTGTTGTTCCGGTGACCGTCGTTCTTTTCGATGAATTACTCTAGAGCCTTTCATGGCGAGATTGGTGGTGTTAAGTGGCCGCCCAAAATAGTAGGCAAAGCCGTACTAGCTGCACGTCGCAAGGAGCCAAACTCATTATGACGTATACATCAGAGTTATTTACGGCTATTCTTAAGCTGAAACTTTGCCTTCAGAACGCCTGCTTATCAGACTTTGTCTTCAGAGTGCAAACGACAACACCAGGTTTGATTCCGAGTATGATTTACGACGATCGCCTTTAGTAACAATATATTGAAACCTTTAAAGCCCTCTCTAACAAGGTCATTCCACTTTTAGACTGGTGTTTCACTAACGCTTTCTGGCAAATTTCTAATAACCTGATACTTCATTGACCTATCAAACGGCACAGGCTGGCAATTCAATTTTATATTAATTGAGCCGCATGAGATAACGAGGAGATCTGATCCCGCATTATCTGTCCAATCAGCAGTAAGTTCGGCTTTAATAGAGTCTATTTAAACGAGTCGAATTTATTGTCTACATTCTCGGTTTTTTTTCTGTTAAGTTCACTGTTCAAGTTTTTTTCAAATTTAATTGTGAGACTTTTTTTGGCCCAATTAAAGCGATTCTAGAGAAGATTGCAAATCTCGAAACGGGTTTATTTATTGAAAATATAAAATCAAAAGTTAACCCTCAAACTTTATAGTTTAACAAAAAACTTCTGAAGCGGGCAAAACATGTTTTTTCATATTAAACCCAAAGACATACATGTAAATTTTAAAAAACTTTGTTGGAAAATTTTAAGTAGAGGAAATGATTTTGTCTAGCCCAAAAGTTTTAAATTTAAAAATGTTACCTTTTTTCATTTTAATGTTTGTAATAATATTATATTTAAAAGGTTTTTAGAAGATTATACGAAGAAAATAAAATTTAATGGTTTATTTAAACCGACCTTTTTTTTTGAAAAAAAAAAGAGGTATTTTTATAGTCGGGTCGGCGTTTCCGGGTTTCCGTTGGGCCGGGCCGAAACTTGGACCCGGGGTTATTTAAATTTTTTTAAATTTTTTTGGTGTTTTTGTCTTTATACTTGGCCCAAACAACCCTTGGGACAAAACCTTTTAGTAGACCACACCCCAAATTTGACCTTCATTCCATAAAAAGAAACCCTTTACCTTCAAAAGGTTTAAAAATCCCAATTTTTGTTTGTTCATTTCTGTTATTGGCTGTAAATGTTTTTTTTGGGAAAGGGATTGTCTTAAACTTGAACAAAAAATTTTTCAAGGATCCCCTTAAAAATAACCCGCCAGACCTTGACCTTCACTAAAAATGACCTTGATTTTAAAGGTAAAATTTAAATTGAAATTTTCTTTTTTTTTGGCTATTTTTGGCTTTAACTTTGTTATTTTTAAAGGGATTGCTTGAAAGTTGACATAATAATCTTCAAAGATAAACTGTTAAAAAAATAATACCGAAAGACCTTGACCTTCACTATTAATTGACTTTGTCTTTGAAGTCAAATTTATTGAAATTTCTTTCATTGTTTTGGCGGTAACTGACTGTTACTTTGCTATTATTGGGAAGGGATCAATTCATATCAAACAGAACATTTCTTAAGGACCAGACCTTGTTGTTTATCAAACCCAAATTTCCTTGGGGCTCTTTAATGACCTTTGAAGGTTAAATTTACTGAAATTTTCTCAGATTAGTGCATTAAATGACCAAAATTATATATTTATTGGTCCGTTTGTGTGTGTGTGTGTGTATAAATATATATTTACAAACAAACAACGAAACAACAAGAATTGCGTCATTCGTTTCTACTTTTTGAAATTGCGTTATGTGTGCTATTTTTATTGCTGTTTTTTAGAAATTGCGTGATTGTTTCTATTTTTAGAAATTGGTCATTGTTTCTATTTTTAGAAATTGCGTCATTGTTGCTATTTTATGTTTTAGAAATTGCGTCATTGTTTCTATTTTTTTAGAAATTGCGTCATTGTTGCTATTTTTAGAAATTGCGTCATTGTTTCTATTTTTAGAAATTGCGTCATTGTTTCTATTTATAGAAATTGTGTCAATGTTTCTATTTTTAGAATTTGCGTAATGTTGCTATTTTTAGAAATTGCGTAATGTTTTTATTCATATATATATACAAAATATATAAACAAAACTAATGTGACAAGACAGACCAACTAAATTTATAAAAAGGAAACTTAAGATATCTTCAAACCTTTCTATGTTTGCGTTTAGAAAAAGTAAAAAGTCGAGCGTTGCCCCCGCCCGGCGGTGGCTCTTGTTTTAGAATGTTTTGATCAATGATAATTATCTCTTTAAGGTGCATATACAGCTCAACTGCAGGTATCTTTTTTTCATGTATCACATCTAATAAAGATACAACAATAACGTGTAGTGAATAAATAGCCAATTGAATACCCGCAGAGCGTAAAAGTATAAACGGTTGTTATAACATTAATTAATTTGTATCTTTTCGGCAAAGAAAATTCTTTTTTTTTCAATATGTACTTGTGTGTTTATTTGGGTTTTACGCCACACCAACACAGTATATGTCATATGGCGTCACACCAACACAGTATATGTCAAATGGCGCCACACCAACACAGTATATGTCATATGGCGCCACACCAACACAGTATATGTCATATGACGCCACACCAACACAGTATATGTCATATGGCGCCACACCAACACAGTATATGTCATATGGCGCCACACCAACACAGTATATGTCATATGGCGCCACACCAACACAGTATATGCCATATGGCGTCACACCAACACAGTATATGTCATATGGCGCCACACCAACACAGTATATGTGATATGGCGCCACACCAACACAGTATATGTCATATGGCGCCACACCAACACAGTTTATGTCATATGGCGCCACACCAACACAGTATATGTCATATGGCGCCACACCAACACAATATATGCCATATGGCGTCACACCAACACAGTATATGGCGACGGCGGAGGAAGACCTCAGATGTCCTTCCGTGAATATTTTCAGGCACGAACCGACACCTGAGTAGAACCACAGGTGTTCCGTAAGTGAAATAATTTCAAAGTTCCTGTCGGGATTCGAACCCACAGCGGTAAGGGGCAACGATGTGCAATGAAAAAAGATTCAAATATTTAAAATATTATTAATTAACAATCACATTATAATAGGAACTTTAAATATCAAAATGAAATCGACTTTTGTTGATACCACTAATAGTGTTACATTGAAAACTCCAAACTCCAAATTGCGTCATTATTGCTGTTTTTAGAAATTGCGTGATTGTTTCTATTTTTAGAAATTGCGTCATTGTTGCTATTTTTAGAAATTGCGTCATTGTTTCTATTTTTAGAAATTGCGTCATTGTTGCTATTTTTAGAAATTGCGTCATTGTTTCTATTTTTTAGAAATTGCGTCATTGTTTCTATTTATAGAAATTGCGTCAATGTTTCTATTTTTAGAATTTGCGTAATGTTGCTATTTTTAGAAATTGCGTAATGTTTTTATTCATATATATATACAAAATATATAAACAAAACTAATGTGACAAGACAGACCAACTAAATTTATAAAAAGGAAACTTAAGATATGTTCAAACCTTTCTATGTTTGCGTTTAGAAAAAGTAAAAAGTCGAGCGTTGCCCCCGCCCGGCGGTGGCTCTTGTTTTAGAATGTTTTGATCAATGATAATTATCTCTTTAAGGTGCATATACAGCTCAACTGCAGGTATCTTTTTTTCATGTATCACATCTAATAAAGATACAACAATAACGTGTAGTGAATAAATAGCCAATTGAATACCCGCAGAGCGTAAAAGTATAAACGGTTGTTATAACATTAATTAATTTGTATCTTTTCGGCAAAGAAAATTCTTTTTTTTCAATATGTACTTGTTTGTTTATTTGGGTTTTACGCCACACCAACACAGTATATGTCATATGGCGCCACACCAACACAGTATATGTCAAATGGCGCCACACCAACACAGTATATGTCATATGGCGCCACACCAACACAGTATATGTCATATGGCGCCACACCAACACAGTATATGTCATATGGCGCCACACCAACACAGTATATGCCATATGGCGCCACACCAACACAGTATATGTCATATGGCGCCACACCAACACAGTATATGTCATATGGCGCCACACCAACACAGTATATGTCATATGGCGCCACACCAACACAGTATATGCCATATGGCGTCACACCAACACAGTATATGTCATATGGCGCCACACCAACACAGTATATGTCATATGGCGCCACACCAACACAGTATATGTCATATGGCGCCACACCAACACAGTATATGTCATATGGCGCCACACCAACACAGTATATGTCATATGGCGCCACACCAACACAATATATGCCATATGGCGTCACACCAACACAGTATATGGCGACGGCGGAGGAAGACCTCAGATGTCCTTCCGTGAATATTTTCAGGCACGAACCGACACCTGAGTAGAACCACAGGTGTTCCGTAAGTGAAATAATTTCAAAGTTCCTGTCGGGATTCGAACCCACAGCGGTGAGGGGCAACGTTGTGCAATGAAAAAAGATTCAAATATTTAAAATATTATTAATTAACAATCACATTATAATAGGAACTTTAAATATCAAAATGAAATCGACTTTTGTTGATACCACTAATAGTGTTACATTGAAAACTCTATCTTGGAACAATCATCATCAAACGTTATTCATAATGTAAGAAACATATAACTTTCAGATATATGCAATGCAGAAATTCCCGAAATTCCAAATTTATCAACAAGAGATCCAACATATGTGATGACAATGGAAACGACTCATTGGACATTTTGTGACGTGTATTCAATCAATGCATCTCAATGGTACAGAAGTAAAGCAAAGATGAGCAACACAAGTTGTCCGAGCATGTACACGTGTGGAACAAAATTTCCAATCTGGATGAAAGGTAAAATATAAATAGCTTATGAAAAATATGTTATATGTATAACACAAGTTCCATTACATATGCATGTGCAGACACGGCATTGTACACCTTTAAAGTTTCCAAGATATTACAAATAGTTTGACAGAAAATGTTGTTTGAATAATCACCAATTAATGTGGAATGAATAAGTTTGTATTTATAAGTTTTGTCGAAGATTATATACCGTTACATGTTACTAGGTCAGAACCCAGAACCGGAAGAAGGTGTGGTGAATCGTACATCCTGTGTAAGAGATTTTGACAGTTGTTGTCTGAGGAGCTACAAATTAATAGCTGTCAATTGTGTACAGTTCATGGCTTATTGTTTTGTTGATCTGCCATCAAGTTGCCATCAAAGATATTGCTTTGGTAATGAATCACTATATTTCATATTTTCAAAATATATATGATATATTTATATGAAGCATATCTAGAAAATGTAGTAGCCATCAATTAAAGAAAAGAGATATGAACCAAACATAATTTAAATTTCCAGAGAATAAAGAAGGGTTCTACGATTATATTATATAAATTGATTTTTAAAGATATTGGACAATCATCAACACTAGATCCACAAGAAACAAAAGAACATTCAACGGGCCTATCAAATATACACGGAAGCACTACAGACAATGGAGAAACAGACACTTCAAGAAATGGAGATACAACTCCAATCAGACGAACATACAGTACTTCAAGCCCGAAAACTGAGCATCCATTTAGAAATGGTATCTTACATAATTAATCATAATTTACGTCTTATGTAAGATTTAGTTAGTTTAATATGATATTTTATTTTCAGACAAAATGTCTGAAAGTTCTAAATATTTACTTTACTTACAAATCTTATTACTTTTATTGTTGTGGTTTTACTAAGTTACCCTAAGTAACTAGGGGAGTCATTCGGGGTAAAGATTTTCCCTTGAAGATTGTTGAACGCAACATTATTGTTGCGTTTGTGGTATGTAATCTTATAGTCTATGAATCTTTTTCTGTTTAGCGGTTCCGATATTCCTACTTCCTTAACCTTTGAACACGTCGTCTACCTTTTAGTTTCCCTTTCATATTTCGTTATTCTTAATTAAGCATCATGTTTGTCGGCTTGCTTATGCCAGAACTAAGGGGCGTCCATGAACAGGCCCGATCCAATCAAGGATGCAATATTTTCAATTTTGTCATTTTGGTGTTCCTTCAGTTGTTTCCCCATATCATTTACCAGTTTAATGTTCTAGTGCATCATGTATTCATATGGTAGAATGAGTAAATTATTTAAGCTATTTCCACTTTCAGCGATGCTTTTGAGGTATACACACGTATTGATGCGCATCGTGTGGCTGAATAAATGACCAGTTCTCATTGTAAATAATTATTTCAAGTTAACTATATATAAATAAATCTGTCAAATCTTTTCAGTCTTAGATAACAGATCTACCCAGTTAACTATTGCACTATCAGTGATTGGTATTTTGATCGCAGTTATCTTGATTATTGATCGTTATCATCCGAAACAAACGGTATGTATTGTTCTTCTTTGTTTTGTCATAGGAGATAAACAATTATAAACCACGTTGTGTATACTTCCGTATTAGTCTATAGACTACAGGTCTGACAAGTATTAAATGATTTTAACTTTATGCTATGTTTCAGGTATTATTGAGATATAAAAACTTAAGTTACTTCTTTCGAGTGTTGTTATCTATATTTATTTTCTAATGTATTACTTAAAACTAAGACACTGAACGAAAGTGTGCTGTAGAGTCTGGTTTGGTATTTCCGATTTGCAATAATATAATATACCCTTTAGACTTAGGAGTCTAAATTGGTTACGTGCAAAGCATCCAAAACGCGCAATAATAAAAATAATAATGATAATAATAATGCATGTATAACGATCAGATTTATGTCAGATCTCTCAAAGTTTTTCATCGCCATGTAATTATGATGTTTTTACGCACCCAATAGCTTATTCTGTTTTAATATTATTCAGGCATGTTTAAACTGAAAACAAGATCTGATAAGGACATCACATTTCATATTCATTTGGGATGTAGACAATCGAATTTTTTATTTGTTACAGGTCTGCAAAGGTAACTGATAAACCCGAGAAGGAAATCAAGTAGGAAACATCAAAGTTTCCTGACTTTTATGCAAGTGAAAAAGTTTATCACGGCCTAACTCTCGATACTCTAGGTACAGGAAAGTTTGAAGTATTCTACAAGTTAGATTTCGTTGAAAATCAACTGCCTACCAGTGAAAAATGAAATCCATAGGCGACTGAATTGACTCAATATTTTAATATCTATACTCATTATTGTTTTATGATTTGTGATATAAAATTTTAGACATGGACAAAACAGAAAACCAAAGAATGAAAGATTATGTTATTTATGTATTACTGATATTGAAGAAAATGAATATCATTTTGTTATCACATGCACAAACTATTCTGGCTTGAAAAATAAATTAAAACAGAATTATTGTTATATTAAAAAAACCCGAGCATGTACAAATCTAATGAGAACAGAAAACAAAAAAGGTGAAAAGTTTTGTTACATTTTGGAATTGTTATATCATAAGCATTTAAACACAGACAGTTGAATCAGCCGAATCTTCAGACAAAATTGCCAAAAAAAAAATGTTAACTAGCCTGTAAAATTTCTTATTTCCTTTCATTCTAAATTGCCGTTTTATTGTTTATGTAATTCACTGCTACAAGGTAATGTAAGCTTTGTAACACCGCACTTTGGAATCAAACGCACTTTGGGGTCCGACCCCAAAGTGCGTTAAACTTCGCACCGCACTTTGGGGTCAAACGCACTTTGGGGTCAAAATCGAGAAATTGACCCCAAAGTGCGTTAATATGCTACATATCAACGCACTTTGGGTTCAAGAGGTCTAAAGGTGTCATCTGAGTTCTGCTTAAATACTGAAGTACTGACTTATTTTCGGTCTGCAACATTGAAATATTTGAGGTGGAGTTCAAGATGGCGGTCAATACTTTATGATGAAAGTTTCATTAATTTTACCACTTGAAATATCTAAAAATTGTGTTCATATAACAAAATTACGTTGGCATAATAGAGATATTTGCATTTTTTTTGTTTTTAGTTTTGCATTCATATTTCATTTTAGTTTTGCATACATATTTTTTTTCAGTTTTGTATACATATTTTTTTAGTTTTGCATACATATTTTTATTTTAGTTTTTCGCACATATTTTTATTTTTGTTTTTCGTACATATTTTAGCCAATCAAAACAGCCTTCACATCTCATAACAGCCCATAATTGAGTATAAAACTAGCATAGTGGTTTGGACACATTTTTGGACCATTTTTGGAATCGGTCCTCTCGTTTTTGGCAGGCAAAGATTGGTTCGGCCAACCCTTTTCGCCCATTTTTTTAAATTATATGTATCTTATATTATTAATTGTTTTTTTATTATCATATACTATAATTGGATTGGTGATCAGTTATTATTCCATGAATACGCACCACTTAACCCCAAACATTCGGGGGGTGGGGGGAGGGGGTGGGCATTGACTTTAAACCAAGCCAACCACTGGTAAATCTTCGCCCTGCGGGGAATACTCACATAATAAACATTCTTGCCTTATGCTCCGGGACAGCGCAAACATTTAAAACACGATTCTCTCCTCCGGGGCAATGGAGAGGTGGTGAAAAGACTGGTGTATTACAAAGATCTAAATAGGTCCTTATATTCCACTGATTTAGAAAAAAAAAATGCTTAAAGCTTTGAAGGATTTTTATTTATTTGGGTCAATTTTTAGCACATCCAGATAATTGGCAGAGCTTATATGCCAGGTGTGCCGGCTCAAGGTCGGGGTCCACACCTCAAATCAAAGGATTAAGACTTGGGTTTCATTCTCCTAAACCCCCATGAAAGATTTTTAAGGCACCTTGTGTCAAATGTTAACCGCATCGAGACCATATGCAGAATATATTATAACTAAAAAGTTATTTTTTGTTTTTTTTTTTTTTGATACCTTCCAAAAAATGAAAATGTTGGTGCATTTGCAAATGGGGTACTGAAAAAACCAGATGGCGAAGTGTTTGAAAAATGGTGTTTTCACAAATGGCGTAATTAATCCAAACCTCTACGTTACAAATGGCGTCATGTACAAATATGTACGAAAAAAAACACAACCAATAAAATATCTACAAAAACTAAAATAAAATATGTACAAAAAAACCTAAAATAGAATATGTATGCAAACTAAAAAAAAGAATACGTATGCAAAACTAAAAAAAAGTATGAATTCAAAACTAAAAAAAAATATGTACGACATACAAAAAAAATATGTACGAAAAAAAGTATCCAAAAAATGCAAATGTCACTTTTATGCCACCGTTTCAAAAGAAATCAAGTACAGAAAATGTGTATCCCTAAAATTAAAAGATGCTGCGAAAATATCCCGTTCTGTCAGTCATTTATTTGATAACTTTGGTGCCATATTGAGCACCATTTTAAATATGTTGGGGATGAAAATAAAATGCAGTTAATATTTTTTTTCCAAAAAGAACTATAAGTATACTCTATTTGCAATGTCCTGGTAAAACATCAAGTTTTTCAATCGGACTATAAATAGTGATTTTTTACAAAATACATTGTTAAGCTTATCAAACAAATTTAAGGGTTTTTGTAAGCTCCGCAATAACCGTTCGCCAGAGGGCTTTTTTTTGGGAAATCTTACATACTTCTTTAGAAAAGAGCAAACATGCATTTTATTATGTTAAAATAATGGTATCAGAGAAATGTAAGATGCTTGTTACCTAAATAAAGTAGCGATAAATGTGAAATTATTTGTCATAAAAGTAGTCAAAACAATGTAGTATTTGACTTCCCTATAAAATACTAATTCACTATAACTGTACTCATTATTGCTAAAAAGCAACAGATGAAACAGATGGTTAAGGTAATTGGCGAATGTGTATTTTTTGGATAATATAGAAGAACATCAAATAAAAAAGCTTTAAAGAAAAACAAAAAAGCATAATGGGCCTTTAAAATGTTATTTTTAACCCTCGGGGGGGATCGATACCCCACAATCCCCTCTATACCCCCACTGAGAATTTTACGTTATTCTGAAGCTCCACTCTTAATGTGCGACTACTTAAATAGTTGATATTTTTAGTACTGCCTGTACGGACTACTACTTAAAGCCGCCTCTACACCTAGTCAAGTTTCTAATATGTCACATTTAGCTAAATAAATGGCTCTTTCAACATATTATCAGACACATATTTGTTACTGAAATGTCTTACTAAGATTACACAGAATTTATACCTTTGTCTATGCAAAGACTATCATATTTCTATGAAATGTGTAAATAAAATACCGGAAAATAATGTATTTAGCTAAAAACAATGGAGTTAATGAAAGGTGTACATTCTTTTAAAATAAATGGAAAATTTGTGAAAAAAATATTTTAAGCTTAATTATTGATACAAATTCTTTATTTGGTGATTTAGTTGGTGAAAGTTCTTCACTTACTAATCAAGACTATTTAAATCCCTATTGATTCTACTATAATTAAGGGCACATGTTTTGCGTCTATTTAATACCCTGATTTTTTGTTTACCATTGGCTTTGACTACAATATATTATTTAAAACATAATGAACATTCACTCTCTATGACCCCAAAGTGCGGTCATTTGCCTGATGTTAAAAAATGTATATGTACCTGTTTAACGCACTTTGGGGTCGAAATTGGACCCCAAAGTGCGTAACGCACTATGGGGTCGGACCCCAAAGTACGTAACGCACTTTTAGGGTCGGACCCCAAAGTGCGTTTGACCCCAAAGTGCGGTGTTACAAAGCTTAAATAAAAAAGTGATGTGATATTTAATTTGAATGTTTTTTGTATTTTGTTTATATGTGCATTTTGTATTTGTCTCATATAAATAAATTATCTATATATCCCGTTTTAAGAAGGCAATGTCAATGAATACTGATGCATACTTGCTGGATTTCTAATTCAAAGAATTATATACAGAAAAAAGAAAAGAAAACAACCTTCCATAGAAAAGTTGTTAAAGAACTGCAATTTGCCCATTTTTCATTTTATGAATGTTTTCTAGAATAGTTTGTGTTGTATCATAATGATTGTAAATGCAAAGAAATAAGAAATCATATTTCAAATAAAACCATATCTCAAATAAGACGTTATGATTCATTTCCGTAACTATTATCGTTAATAAATTAGAATATTTCACAACAACTGTTATTGTGCTAAAACGATGAAACGTTTTAACGTTTTGCGCTTTAGTACCCCCCCCCCCCCTCTTAAAAAAACAACAACAAAACAAACAAAAAAACCCAGAACAACACACTCTTTACATACTCAGTACTACCGTGTTTTTAACTTTCCATCGCTCCCAAAGGATTGCTCTTTATATTTATTTGAAACATTCTAAATTTATTCACGTGGTTTGAGATACATAAATATACAATAGCGTAGTTAGCTTCTATAATATAAATATTCATTTCTAAGTTCACAAAACACCATAACTCCGTCAAATAACATACCAGAGATATAGGAAAAGGAAAGTATGATCCAGAAAACATTTTCAAGTAAATACCTTCATTAGTTAGATATATGTTGCACTAAGAATTTGTAAACCTCACAAAGGGCCTTTAGCCAGTAGATACATTTTGGAATTAAGGGCATTGGATAGTGATCTATAATTGTGGTCAGAGTTGGGTTTTATATATCCCTCCAAATGAAAATCATTTATTAAAGATTCCTTTAAACAATTGAGAAATAGTGTATAGAACGTACTGAATTTTAAGTAGCGAACAGTACATGCTTAAATTTTTATCTGGCACAGGCTGTCAAAGTAATAGAATCTCGGTAAATTCTTAGTTTTTTTTCATAACAAGGATAAGTCTGACAATAGTAGCATAAATATTTCATTGTAAACATGTAAATGACTCAGATCACTAAATTATTTTCAGTTATGTGTGGCACTTAATTTACAAGTCGCGTACATTACCGATGCCAATAATTATCGGCACCAGTTCTAAAACATTCTACATTTTGACAAAGATCAATCTTTTTAAATCAGTCATGCTTCGAAAACAGATACAGAAGACATACATGTACAAATTAAAGTTTTGCCGAAATAGTATAGTTTTTTTTTTTTTTTTGGTTACACTATGCCCAAACAAAGATTACCCAAAATGTCAACAATCTCGAATATTACATTTCCAATAGCTTCCTTCGTTACATTTTGTTCCTTCGTTACATTTTGATACTGAATGTGTTATCAGTGTATTATATGTATTAAACAATTCCCCATTATAATTCTTGCACGGTAGCTATCAAATAGCAAGAAATATTATTAACTATATTTTTTTTTCTACATTTTCCCCATTTTTTTAAAAAAAAGTATTAAAATCCTTTTGACATCAAGTGTATCAGAGAGATAAATGATTTGATTTTGAAAATAATTTTCTATCAGAATACTGAAAATACAGTTTTATTTAAGGGTTTTTAATAATTCAAACTATTCTATATCAAGTGATTACTTTAATTGATTGCTTTATTGCGTAAGACATTGTTATTCATTTCTTTCCTGTTAAGACTTATATTGCAGCTTTTTACATTGCTATATCATGAAACGTCTCCGAAAACCCCCAAAAAACCCCCAACTTTATCATATTAATATATAGATTCTATCTTAAATAACTCTCTAGGGGTATTCTCTAGCTAACCCTAACCTTTATATAATAAAATAAATATATGAAATACCCTTCACAATGATAGTACATTAACAGATGTCACGTTTAAAACCTACAACTGGAGTGTAATTGTCAATACGGACAAGGAAGTGAGGCATCTGATTGGCTGATTTCAGGCATATTACTAGATATTAGATTTATTCTTTATTGCTAATTAGCATGTATGGTGAGTGTGCATTATTAGTCAGGTCAATGAGGTTCAAGATTCTGAAATAGTCAAGTAGCTGAAATGTTTAAAACGGTTCCTTAAAAAATGCACAGTTTTGCAGTAAATTTGAATTTGAATAATTAAAAAAAATTGTCATGGACACATATGCAAAATCCTTTCAACGAAGTCGTGTATTCGAATTGCTAATTTTTGTGATATTGCCTCGTTATAAAAGAAACAAATTGTCAGTTTAACACGATACAGAATATGTAAATGTGACAATATACTTTGTTTTGTTATGTATTTATGCAATTTATAATTATTATGTATTGTGTGTTGTATTATTTCTACCTGATATATACTTCAAACCACTTGCCCATCACCGCTGTGGGTTCGAATCCCGACAAGGACTTTGGATTCTTTCATGTGAGGAAGCTATCCAGCTAGCTTACGGAACGTCAGTGGTTCTACTCAGGTGCCCGTTCGTGCCTGAAATAATGCACGGAATGGCACCTGAGGTCTTCCTCCACCAGTAAAGCTGGAACGTCGCGATATGACCTATACTGTGTCGATGTGACGTAAAACCCAAAACAAACGAACAAACAAACAAACAAAACCTGATATATATTAAATATCACCATAAGTTGAAATACTGTGACTTCAAACGCGCTTCATAAGGATCTAGCGTGAAGCACGATGACATTACTGATTAAATCTCATCAATTAATTTTCAAACTGTATAGATACATATCTTATTTTTGCAAGCTCAAAAATATAAAACATGAAAATAAGAAGGTACATATGTTCATAAATCTTTTGTATGTACTTATCTATCTTAAAAAAGCATTCATTTTTTCTTGAAAATTATATCATAAATATATACGTGAATGTTTAATCATGAAGCACGACAAAATGCACCCAAACGAAACTTTTGGTTTGCACTTGACAGCACCGTCCATGAACAGGCTCAATCATGTCTGCAACATTTTCAATTTTTTCGTGTTGGGCTTTCTTTAGGGATTCTTATTTTCTTATTTTCTCTATTTTGTTTGAGTAATATGAAAATAATCTTAACCCCCCCCCCCCCAAAAAAAAGAAGAAAAGAAAACAACAACAACAAAAAACAACAACAAACAAACAATATTATATTTAACCAGTTAAAGCATTGAAAAATTCACTATTACCATTATGAGTTTTATTTGACTGTCTGAATGTCTTTTGGAATATTTTAGATCTTAATCATTTTGTCCGATTAAATTTATACTTGTCTCATAAAAGAACTCTATTGTACCTATTCGTGCAATTTTGTAAACGTGACTTCCTCTTCGTTAAAATATTTAAATAATGAAGTTTTGTAATTTGTAATATCAATAGCTCTACAGACCGCGATGAAGACATCACGGATTATTTGTATTTTTCTGTACTTGGCTGTTTGTACTTCAATAGTCTGTGAGTTGGATTTTCTTTTAATTTAAACTATTTATATATGTTTAGTACCAATATTTCTAAAATTACACGAATAAGAAAAATTGAAAATAAGAAATGGAACCTTTTTTTAATAACAACTGTAACACCTTCGTCTTTGGTTTCTTTACATTCACACACTCTAATGGAAGATACATTTAAGAAATTTAAAAAAAAATCATTATTGATTAATATTTTGTATCATTTGTATGATTATGTACTATGTTTATGTCAAAGTAAAATTATTTTCTTTTCTTTTCTGTTCTGTCCGTAACAAGTATATAAAAATAATTAGCTAAAACGGAAAAATCACGGCCTTTTTGGGACAAAATGAAATAAACGGATAACAATGATTTCTTCTAACAATTAATTTAATTGATTTTAATTGGTTTTAATTGAATTTGAAATGTTTTGATTTCATTTTCTCAGTCATGAATAAAAACTATAAGGCTGTTTGATTTTGGATATATCTAACAATGATACAGACATACAATTTGGTATTATATGATGAAAAAGAAGATCCCATGATGACAGATGATATTACTATAAATATTCTAGAATTTGAATTAATACCATTTACGGCTGACACAAAGGAAATAATAAGATTGTAAAGAAATTACTTAAATTCGACTCCCCATGTTATATATTTTTTGTTCACTTTTAAGATTTAAAGTGAGTCTTATTAAGATTTTCGAAAGGGTTAAAAGAAAAAATATTCTTGTAGCAATAAAACCCTTTGTAAATTGTTATTCAAGTTTAAATAGCTAACAAACACGTTTACTGAGTGGTTTTAATTACACTAACCAGTACCTATTGATTCATAAGATAGAATACTACAAATTTAAATTGAACAAATTTAAGGAAAAGAGTAATTATTGATAATATATTAAATTATTAGTAATTTTAATTATATAGCAAGAAAAATAGATAGTTAGTTATAAGTGAATGAGTGTAAGTAAAAATACTGAATTTATTGAACGAGTTCGATGAATTTATGATATGCGAGCCCCTGGCAAGCATATTTTTTTTTTATTCAACGAGTTCAATAACTTTTATAATGGACTTACAAGAATTTAATATTCTTTAATATCACATACCAAAAAATAAGAAAGTTTGATGTGAGAAAGAATTATTTTTAGTGACGCGTTTAAAGTGAAACGGTAACATTTAGCACGTCTTAACGCTGTGTATCTACAGTGAAAATGACGTCAGGTTAAAATATATGAACGGGTGCTCTATACCAATTTTACGGACGGGTATGTGATAAAATAAGATATTGCATTTCGTTTTGTTTCAAGACTTCTTTGAGAGAGGTTTAAAATGATATTTTAGAATGCATTTATCATATTAAATAATTTGATTTGAAATAAAATATACGGCGACATAATATTATCGAATATGAATTGATATATTTATAAAAAAACCACCAAAAAACTTATCCACTCAAATCGTCCTCGACAGAAAACGTGATCGTCCTCGACAGAAAACGTGATTACAAAACATCATATCCTATGTACAGTGTATATAGCAAATAAACAGAAAAAATAAACAAATAAAATAATATTTTAGATATTTTATTATGGGATTATTATAGGATTATTTGTTATGAATGTTATATTTGACTCGATTGAATATAACTAGGACAGGATCTCAAGAGGCAAGGTATACGTAGCTCCGAGTATGATCCATGAGAGCCAAACACAACTGATTTCTATAATATCCACTTTATATTATATACAATGTTGAATTTAAACGTTATATTCAAACATAACGTAATTGATTGGAATAACGCCAGACATGGCATTTAGGATCACACTTGAATGTGATACAGACTTTTTATGAACAAAACACAACACAACAAAAACAAAACACCACAAAAAAGAAAGAATAATAAATAAATAAAAAATAATAATGAAAAAAATATTAAATGAAAAAAAACAAAGCATGAACCCCTCCACCAAAACACACAAAACAACAACAACAAAGAACTATTCGCTGATAAACGTGACTTATTAAAGACCGTCCATAGTAAATAATTAATATGATCGGCATCGTCTTCATTATCACTGTCATCGTCGTTTTCGTCATCATCATCATCATCATAACGTATAGGTTTCAACAATACAAACTGATGCATTAATAGTTTGCTTTGATTACATACTTCAGATGGCAACTGTGCTGATGATGTTGCATATTTATCCAGCATGCCTCTCCGTCAACCTAACAGGCACTGGGGAGAAGATGGAAATCTTGGTATCAGCGATGAAAATCTGAACTATGAGTGGTACAGTGTTGTATATAATGGATGGCAATTTATTCTGGTTGACTCAACAGAAAAACCAAATTATACAGACTGTTCGGCATACTATCCAGTTTACTTGCGAGGTGAATTTATTGTAAAGTATATGAACTTCATTAAAAGGAAAAGACGCATGATTGTTTTGTTGAGTCTTTAGATTGTAATAAAAAGTCTCTTTAAAAATTTAGATTTTAACGAATGTAACTGTTATTTAGATCTATAAACTTTCGATTCTTAAATAAATTGTAACCCCAGGTACAACTGATGCCGAATAATTATGGTAAATTTATGTTCCATATAACAGGAAGATAAAATCATTTTTAGAAATATTTCTTTCATGCTATAGATACACACCCTTCGATTGAAACATTGACCGAAACATCTATAGATGCCGTGGCCTGTAAACGAGATTATTTGTATCCGTGTGATATACAGCATCAAGTGAAGATAAGGAAATGTGGAGATGAAATACAGTACTACCTGCCCCCGACAAAGTCGTATAGTGCATTCTGTTTCAGTAAAGTAGCTTTATTGCTTTTTAAAGAAGAAAAAAATACACATTTAAACATTTTAGTAGAGAAGAAGTATATTTTCATTGTTATTTAGGTTTTCTTCAACAACAAAAAATCTAGACGGATTTATATGTAATAATTATAGTACATGAAACGAGTTAGGTACGAGGATATAACAATGGCTGGGACGACATCAAGGGATATTTCTGCTAAAAAACGGCGAGGCCATTTAAAATAAAAAAACTGTACTGCTATATATCAATACAGTTTTCAAATGCTCCTTGAAGTGAACTGAGTATAATGTTTTAGTAAGAACAAAGGAAAAGTTCCAAACCATGCGTGCAGTTTACTTCGAATTAGCACAAGAATGAAGAAAAAAAAACGATAACATAATACCTATATTTCTTAATCTTTTTTTTGGTTTTTCTTCAGAAAATCATTCCAAAATCTTCGAGCCACCTGATATATCAGATGTTATACTTGGAGACATAGGCATAACACCTGAGCTCAAATTCACAGAAACTCTTATTCCTAGTCCATTTGGGAATTCCATAAACTATGATCCATACTTTCAGTTCCGATGCTTGTTCAACGTACAGCAGGATTACTTTTATAAAGTACAATGGTAATTTCTATGATTTCTTTCTTTCATAAATTTACTTTCTTGAATAGATTCACGTTAAATGTGTTTAAGCTCTAGATGTCAACATGAAAGCATTGTGGTACAATCTTAAGTTGGATTACTGGCATTCTAGGTCATATGCTTATATTTTGTCATCTAATATTTTATTTCAACAATAAAACGCCTTTTGGTACTAGAACTTTTAATTATTTAAAAGTGCTACAATACTTTACTTTGCACCTTCATTTATTTGCCATTGCAATAAAGTAAATGTACAAAAATTTGAGAGAAAGCTACCAAATATTAAAAATTGGTCGGTATTAACTGTTTTTTTTACAAGAAAACTTAAAACAGTTAAAAATTTGATGTACTCCACAATATTTTCATAAAACAATAACTTTTTACAATTGAAAAGAAATAGGTGCTTTACACTGCCAACATTATTTTCAAAATCAGATAATTGTAACTGTACATAAATCTCATAAAATCTATGTATAATTCTATAATCATTTACATTACACTTAATTCGTTGTGAATATAGGTACGTGAATGGGGCACTTTTAGTTTCATACGGCCCGACAACAGAAATAAATGACTTACTTTTTCACCAGAGCGTGCTTATAGACAACAAAATAACAATGGGCTTTAATGTAAGTATGAAATAGATTTGTAATTATAATAAAATAGCTGCGAATTAAAGCACATTTTTCTTCGATGGTTATATTTTATTTATAATACGAAGTTTGAAGACTATGCTTTGCGAATTGCTTTTTTTTGAAACTTGTCCGGATGAGTGTAAGATTTTGAAAGAAACAAAATATAATCTTTTTTAGACAAAATTCCCTCATCAAAAATGACATGTAGCAAAAAACATGGCAATTTGAGGTGTTTATCCTGCAAGAGCCTAAATACTTGTATTGAGTTCGTACTTTGATAACGGTATTTTTTAGTTGTACAAATAAGAAACCCGACAAACATGGCGGTTGGGCGAGCCATTTACGTATCCTTTGTTGAAGTGTTTTGACATACATTTTTATTATGTGATATGAAATCATTCACTTTGATTGGCTAAAGGCAGGCGGTGTACAGGTAGAACTGTTAAAATCTTGTTAATTGTATATATCTCGTCCAGGATTTAGGTGAGTGTGATATAAACACACGCCGCCTTAGATCATATGATGACAGCAAGTTAAGTCATGTAAAAGGCGTCATGTCATGGTTAGGTATGCGCAGACAACTTAACTCTCCCCCCCAGTAAATAATGTTACAGTAAAGGTGTCTGTTACATGCATATTTCTATCGCAGCTCCCTACCTTGAATAATTTTTCATAACATATAACATTATGGCAGAAAAGGAACGTGACACGCACCTGCTGAGAAACATATGTTCAAGGTAGATCTCAATGTTGTCGAATTCACACGGAAACACGTTTTCAATTGGACATAGCGAAGTCCAAAATTCGCCCTAGGCCTTGGTCACGTCTCATTCTTAATGATGCTATATAAATGTTTTATATCGGGCCCATATCGTTTTGGACATAAATATGGAATCTAAAGAAAATAAAAAGTGCCACATTCGCAAATACGCTTTTGTATGCTAAGGATGATTCCGTTCACATTAAGACAAAATGGTGGACATCCGTCACTTTATTCTAGTGTTTTCAAACTTCTTCTCAAGACAGTAGTTAATGTCGAATTACGACATCATTACTTGTATCCATATTGTACTTGTACTAACAGTAGCCTAAATATGATAACAATTCATTTTGAGTTATTTCTTAACTACAGTCCGAAACACACTTAATCTACTTTACTCATACACAAATGCATATTCTATATTGGATGCACTGTCCAATAAACGTTTTACAGCTGTGTAGTCTTCCAACGTAATTCAGTGTAATAAACAATTGATTATAATAGAATCTCAAAGAAAATCAAATAACTGATGTACTATCAATCTAAGAGGCCAAATATTCATATCACATCCATATTGTCCAAGTAGCAAAATTATGTCAAAATTTCAAAGACATGGTCGTGTCAAACTGTGTACTCCTCCATGGAATTCTGCATTGTACAATTACCTAATAATACATTTTATCAAACTTAGATTTATTGCGGCATAAGTGCTTTAACCTCTGATGGTCCAAATGCTAGTGTTACTGACATGGTGTTTAGTGAAAGCTATTACGCAGGAATTAAAGTAAGTATGTATAATCAAGTAAAGAAATGATATTTGCTTAAGTGAATATAATCTTATTCTATATAAAATTAACAATAATAGTGATAATATTTCACAGCCTAAAAAATATATAAATAATAAAGAAAATGTAATATAAGGTTAAACTAGATTATATGTTAGAAGGCGGAGAAAGCTACGAATATTGAAATTAAGATAAATCATATCGTTTGAAAGTAGTATTGCGGGCATTTGAATATGTTATGAACTATATACGAAGTGCTAAAGAATTATTACCATGAATGTATAGGGAAATCGTTATATGATATCTATTTTGTAAGCCAGATATACCTGTGTGTTATTGATATCATTTCTAACCGTACAGGTTATAAACACAACAATCTACATTGATAAAGGCGATACTGCAGTAATTCAGTTACAATCAACAATGCCAATAGGCTGCAGATATAATGATCCGCCCGGTGATGACTGTATTGAAAATTTCCAAATATTTAGTCGTGAAAATGAAGGATTTCAATGTAAAGCTGGTGTTGCTAATTTAGCACTTCAGCCAAACCAACGATGCTCTAATGGGTTACAGGTACATATTGTGTTAAAATGTTTTACTCAATAGTCAAAATGTAGTAAAAGACTTCAAGCCACTTGCCCCTGGTCACTATGGATTCGAATCACGCCGGGGACTTTCATTCGAGAAATCTAACAAGGTAGCATACCAAACGTTGATGGTTCTACTCAGGTGCCCTCTGGTGCTGAAATAATGCATCTCTTATATATATAATTCGTGTATTAAGTATAGCAACATCATATCTTTTTATTTGGTTAGAAGAGAATTACGTGCACGAGAAGTAACAATGGACCTAGTGGCTAGCTTTTATTGTGGGCAGAGATTCATGAATGTCCCCGTCTTTTTTTGATGTTTTCTTTGAATATTTTATTTATTTTGAATTTTGGGCATTTTATTGAAAAAGACTCATTGATATTAAACAATTACAAAATAAATACCATAGTTTTGATCTTTTCTTTCGATTGTATGAAATTTCTTTTACAACAGACACAGAAAAAAGGATCAACTTGGGATCCCGATACAGTGTTCAATTTCTCCATTGTAACAACTGACATGAACTATAATGATAAACGACTTTTTTACTTGTTGTTACAATTTCCTGATATAATGGGTCACGAGATATGGAGAAATTATAATTTCCCTGTCATAAAGGTACATCTTTTATATACTTTTACACGAGATTGGTATATACTGGCCGGTTGATGTCTAAAATATATCATGAACATTTACGTATGTATACTATATTTTATATATATATTTGTGCTCGTCTTATAAAGTATATAACTGACACAAAGATAAATATCATACTAGTATGATACTCATGTTACAGTCACCATACAGTCAATAAAAGGAGGCTATATTATTTATATCTGATATTTTGTTTACAAAACATTGTCTTATGAAATAAAAAAGAAAATGTTTGTTTTACGTGAATATGAGTTTATCATTGACACATTAAAAAAAACCCCCGCAATATGTGGATTTTGTTTCACCTCGAGGTGCAATATAAATGCATTGGGAATCATAACAATCAATGCGTACGCCAAAAGTAGTTCGGCAGAGCTATAACCCAACCCTTTCACGCGTAGTCCACGTATATCATCCACACTTTGGGTGGATTTTATCACAATACCGAATATCTCACTGGTTAGCATAAAATAAACAACTGCAGCAAAATGTCAACAAAAGTGTCGACATCGAATACATTTGGAATGAAATATTTTATTATTATCATCTATATCATCATCTTCAGTTACTATGAGCAACAACGAAAGAACGGCCAGCTCTACACGGGAACATTTTTGATGTATAGGAACACAAAGTATGGAATAGAGGTTTGTCTTATAAGACATGATAGTAAATATCTTAAATCTTAGATGATGAGTTGCTCGACAAAATATTAGAACGTTGCATATTATCGAGAATTAAAATTCATATTTTGTCAGAAATACAACGACAAGTCAGTCAATGTAAAAAAAAATAAGAAGATATATTATATAAGGCAAAACATTCGACTACCTTTTGTATATGATTATAATTTTACTTATTACTGTTTCGTAATGAATAAGATAATGAATTTATGTCATGTAATCATCATTTCCGTGTGTGATTATTTGACACATTTTTTTATCGATACAGATTGTAACGTTACTGATATTTTATTTGAATTTCAATTATATATGTCACATTGTCACAGGGAAAATGTCTTGTTGACCACAGGATAAACATATTTGTGGATGTTTTTAAATTTAAAATATAACCTTTTCGTGCCGTTGCTGGGGGGCATGGTCGTTAGTTTGTAGTTAACACTACCGTCCGTGAATAACTTAATCAAGCCGAGTTTGCAACGTCTTGGCATTATTAAGAGATTCCGTTCTTTTTATGCGTTATTAATGATTAAGATGCCTATTCTTCTCAGGTACAAGAGCAAACTAAGAGCTGTAATAGGGGACGGGCGACGTGTGCCTGTGGTGTTGCGATACGAGCAGGTAAAGATGTATTCATGATAAATAGGTGTGGAAGTATCAACTACCTTGGCTTTACAAAATGCGAAGACGGGGGAATTTTACAAGTTGTAAGGATCAATCATTACAAATACGATGTAAGTAAGCTGTCCACATATTGATTTCAATGAATAAGTTTTGTTTTCAGGTAATGACTGCAGTAAATTCATGTAAAATTGTTTCTTTGTTTCTTTTTTTCTTTCTGAAAATAAGGCGCATATCCTTTTTTCAGAATAAATGTTTAGTATTTTGTAGCTCATCAATAATATTAATCATTTATGTTTTGTCAATAGGTAATTCAATTGATTAATAACACACACACGCTTACGCACGCACGCATTAAATTTGGGGTTTGTCAATAATTTTGTCAGTCTGTTTTCACTCAAAATTGTGTGTAAATTATCTTTGGCCAAATGGTATATGGCAGGTTTTGGGCTTTCATGAACTTTTTTTACAGACATAACACCATTTAAGAAAAGTTTTTTTTTAGCATTTTCATAGTTTTCAGTGGGTTGAAATATATTTCGCGATAAACTTGTATCACATTTGATCTTTTACCGTTGATTTTCTTAGTATCTTGAAAGGCTGGCCAAATGTTTGTGAAAGGTCAGTTGTTCTGTGTCACAAATAATATTAGCATGACAACAAAGATTGCCGAGTTACTTTGAAAGGCACCATATTAAATGGTCTTCGGAAAGACAGTTTTTTCATAAAAAAACACGATAATAAAGACCAATAAGGCAAAGGCAACGCTCACAGGACGCATCATACAGCTCGTTTATATTATTTTGATGTTAATATTAAGACCCAATGAGATTAAAAATGCTAAAACTTTTATTTCCATTTGTTTCCAGTTCAGTTACAGTTTCCAGAACGTTAGTCACTGACCTTACAAATTCAACACTAAACTTTAGGGTGATTAGCTTGTTTCGTGTTCTAAATCCATTATTTCAACGTTATGAAACACATTTCTTTAGTCCTTTCTACAGAATGAAAAGAAAAATAATTTCTGAGGCTTAATGATTATTGGAAGACTTTCAAATGTTATTGTTATAGGTGTTCACACCCATTGGAACTAAAATAACAATAAGACTTTTTCAAAATGAACGCGAGGGAAGATACGAAGGAACAATGAACATAGACATTACAATGGCACCTAAAGACTTGTATAACATTGAGGGATTGTGTGGACAGTTTGACAATAATCCTGCCAATGATTTTCAACATAGAGATGGAACTGTCTCGGCAATTAATTCTGCAAATCGTAAAAGTCACTTTGCTGACTTTACAGAAAGCTGGAGGTATTTAATTTATTATATCGTTCACTTTTTGAATATCTTGATATGTTATTTCTTTAAACCATAATATCCTAAAGGATTTAATCAGGCCGATATTTATTTTTCCGTGACACTGTGATAACACAAACGTTTTAAAACGATTTACTCAATCGATATTTGCTTCAAACCTATCTAAATGAAAATTATTACTGTAATTGAATTGCAGTCAAAACTGTCTTAAGCAGCCAGCCCATGGATGCAGTCATTTTGGTTGCTTAAGACAGGCGGCTATTGATTTGGTTATTATCCAAATAGCCAGCCAAGGGATGCAGTCATTTTGGTTGCTTAAGACAGGCGGCTATTGATTTGGTTATTATCCAAATTGCCAGCCAAGGGATGCAGTCATGTTGGTTGCTTAATACAGGTGGCTATTGATTTAGTTATTATCCAAATATATCATTTGTTTCTTTATAAAAAAGATATACAATGATATACTTATGTGCATGTGCTTGTGTGTATAATAAATCTAATTGAATAACAAATAGAGTTATCTGATTCATTATTATCATCATCATCATCATCCTCATCAACAACATCATCAGTTTTTAACCATTTATAAACGTATGTCATTAATGACTTAACATATAGACTCATATAACCCCCTTTAACGAATGTAACAGAGATAAACAAATGCACTCACGATGAATAATGTCATAAATTGACACTTATCATCCCACAATTTTTTTATCTTTTTATAATTAAACCGCGTAACATTTTCTTCTCAAAAATATGATTAGTCTTTTGATCAATAGAACAATGTGTTAAAGTCGTCTAAGTTTCGGCACTTTCATTGATGTTTCGGATTAAACAGCATGAACTACTTTGTAAACATCAAAGAGTCTTTCGAAGAGCCGAGAAGTTATTTCGTGTGTAAACTTTACGTGTGAAATTTAACGACGACAACATTTTATTCATGCACAATTATTTTCGCAAATGTGTGCGAGGGTTTTTATGTGTTTTGACTAAGGAATTTATACAATCGGCGATCAAATTCATTTTCATTTCTTTTGGTGAATATACCAATGTAAGCACCAAATTGATCAGAATCGGGTTTTGATAACATAAAATTTTCACTTACTGACATTTCTGTCTTTAGAAAATGAGAATATAAACAAATGAGTATTTCTTAACATGTTATTATAAATAAAACGAAAGGATTGCTTTTTTGTTATTGTATAAACTACTGTGTTTATTTTCAGTTTAACTTCAGAAGAAACAAAGCAACTCAACTTATTTCTAACAGGGCAAAGGACCTTAGACAGTTGGGGTGATCTAAATGGATTGTTTTGTGTCTGTGAAAGCAACAAACCAGTAGCCGAAGCAACATGCTATCCCACCCAATATTTGAATTGTACACTGAGCAGATCAATAACCGGTACAAAATGTAACGTACTAAACAGAAGGAGGAGAAGCGCAGATGGCAATTATAAAGATGACAAAGAATTAGACAGATTACTTCAATTAATGACAGCACTAGATACGCCGGAAATAGAAACTAGGGTCAAGGTAATCCTATTATTGTTTGAAGATAGACAGCAGAAAGGTATTTTGTTTACAGATATAGCGTTTAGTCTACCTTTGCGTATAAATAGAGAATAGTTTTTTCAGCACAGGTGTCCTTAAGATATATATAGACTTAAATGTCTGGAACACTTCTCACCTCCCACTTCTTATACATAAAAATAAAAATTCTTTCGATGTAGAGATAACTATAAAGATATTTTCAAAAATACATAAACATTTTATGTACTTTTACCGTTTCGTAGTTTGATCTTTTTACAAACAAAGTACAATGTGGAATGTTTTAACAACTTTTTATCATCCTTTTAATTGAACAAGCTATTTTTCAGATTTATGTAACTAGATAACTAGATATGTTTTCATTCATGAGTGCAACTATACGGTCAAAGCATGCTTTGTATATATATTTAAATATAACGATTGGTCAAACCTTTTTTGCTATGTTTTACGACACAGTCATCCCTTATTGCGATACATATTGCAATACATTGGCTGATATATGAATAATATAAAACCTTAGCGTCTGTTTAGGCAAGTTTAAACAGAACTCTTTTTTAGGTCATCATTAAACAATCAAAATGCTTGACATATGTAAAATAGTCAACCTAGTGATTGTATCTGTTGATCAAATTTAAAAGTAAATATCAGTACTTTCATACAACTGTACGATGCGTAGTAATATACCGGTACATATTTGCACCACTAATTAATTAATGTAATCTCATAACAAAATTATACATCTATTTAAGTCAATACACTTTTTTTCTTGATAAGCGTCAAGACATCCAAAATATACATATTACTGAAGCAGCTGCTGAGGAGTTGTGTGAAGATAAAATTGCGGGTAGTTTAGCTGTGCAAGAATATTCCGAGGTCGGTGGCAATGAAGATCCAAACGAAGTTATTAAACAATGTACATTTGATGTAGTGGTATGTATTAAAATCCAAGTGAATTAACTCAAGGAATTAATTACAATTGTTCAAAAGCTTTTCCAACCTCTGTTACTAATGTACATCAATTACCTCTATATGTATTGGCACCTTATGTTATAACTATAATATAAAGACATTTGACATAGCTGCAAAGCAATAACAAAACATAGAATGAGATGAATAAACATTGTATTACCGACAGATGTCATTGTGGTCTCAATTTATTTGAACAAATATTTGTAATATACTACTCAAAATTTGCTTAGGATCACTTTTTCTACAGTGCGTTTCTTTTGTGTATTTGTAATAAATGTGAAAATTGATTAAACGGAATTAAATATAATCAGTTAGGAATTGATTTTTATGAAAATAATGACAATGGAAATGTTCCTTGATGTGTGCCTGGACGAAAAGCAACATTTTGGAGATCACATAGTGGATTAAGATCAGGAAATGGTTAGCGTAGTGTGTTTGATACCAAGTATGGTGTCAGTGGACATTAATTACGTCTGGCATCGCCGCCGCATGCTGCTGATGAGCTTGCGGACCTTGTGATGAGGAATCTGGGCCCTTTGATTGCATGTGATAGCTCCTTAACTGTTGTTGGTTGGATGTGGTGTAAAGAAATGTTTTTTCAAAGCAAAGGATTTAGATCCGGGGAACTCGCTGGCCAATCCATGCGGACTATAGTTGCCGCCTCAAGATATCGGTTTATGATGTGGGCTCTGTGTCATCCATAAGAAGGAAATCAGGGCCGACTCTGCCAGCGTACGTGCGTAAATGGACGTCTAAGATTCCATTGACGTACCTAATTGCAGTCAGTGTACCGTTTTCAATGATGTATATGTCCGTTTTCCGCATATTCCCGCCCACACCATGACTGAACCTCCGCTAAAACGGTCGTATTCTGCAACGCAGGCTGGAGCTAAGCGTTCATTTGGACTTCTTCAAACCTTAGCCCGTCTGTCCGTGAAGTCCACACAAAACCTTGACTCATCAGTCCATGTGACATGAGTCTGTGCTCATTGCAAACGCTCTTGAATATGGCGTTGTGACAAAGGTATGTGAATTGCTGCCTCAGTGACCTCATTCCAGCATCATGCAACCTGTTTCTTACAGTTTGTCTGCTTACACACACCAGTTGCCTTCTGGAAGTCGTTACGTTCGAGAACCGTTGGTAGGCACTGAAGGACATTAAATCGGCCCTGGGCTTGAGTCGTTGGACGTTCCCGACCTCCGGCGTGGTCATGCAAGACATTTCCAGTCATTTGGAATCGGTTCCACATCCCGGAGACAACGCTCTGTGATACCCCATGGACGTACGCAACGTGCCTTTGTAAACGGCCAGCCTCCAACATTCCAATACTCCTGTCGATTTGCCATAGTTTGTTTAATTTGAACGCATTTTACAATAAAACGAGAGAAGTCTTGCTGCCTGCACACGTTTATGTGAAAGCACATGGCCATAAAACACCAAATTTCCATCGGTATGCTTTTCAACGTGCTTATCGTGCAAGGTGTACCTAACAAATCAATAACTTAAGTACACGATTATGAGTTCCCCGTACAGAGGAAATATGATTTTAATATGATGATCATTGGACTGAAAAATGCAATGTCAAAAAGGTGATCCTTAGCCAATGTTGAGTAGTATATTTATTTACTTTTTGGATATTGTTTTAGCTTATATATAAGCTCCTCGGGATATCCTTGACCAGGTGAGTAAGGTCGATTACTTCGATTCACTGGCTCTTTTCTTCTATTGACTTGAATATTACCGGAGAACTATTTTGAATGAGAAAATGATTTATTTTATGTTAGAAAGGTAGCTTATGGAGCTAGTTCTAATGGAGCTAGTTACTATTACGTGCCCATACTAATGAAAGCGCACTGGAGGGCCACACCAACCATTTAGTAAAACAGTCTTCTGACATCTCCATTTTGGATAATATATTTCATATTTGAGGATTGAATACCACTAGAACTGACGTGAGTTGGCGTGAGAGATGTTACATTTGCCGTTATTACTAATTAAAACATTGGCTCAATCAGTCCGTGTTATTTAACTTAATGTGTTTGTTATTACACCTCTCGATGAATATACTTTTCTCAAGAGATTCTAAAGCCTCAACAAACTAAAATAAATATCCCCTTGTTTCAGGCCGGAAATGACACGTCATGGGCAGCAGCACATGTGGAATCTATTAATAATATTGTAAAGAACATGATGGAACTTGATCCTATATATGTTGCAAATAATTCTGAAAAAGTTGTTAGATTTTATAAAAATACATGCCCAGGAAATTGTAGCAACACCGGTGAATGTAACGACAAAAGTAAGTTGAATTATATCCTTGTTTAAAATGTTACATTTCTTAACCAAAAATAATGGAATAGAAGCAAGTCAAAAATTAATACATACAAATGTAAAGTAAATGTTTTCTATTTTATGTTGTTGATGTAAATCACGTTTATTCATTATAAGTACTTGTATATTACAGGCGAGTGTGATTGCTTTGGATTTTTCCATGGAGCAGAATGTGACATAGATGAAAGAGATCCTTTGACAATTGACGATATAGAAGGTGGCGGAGAATGTGATCTCGCTGATGGTGACGAATGCTTATGTTTCCATGTCAGATCTTCAAATATTCTTGAAGGTTTTCGATGCAAGGCTAATATTTCTAAGGTATATATACACATTGCTCCAGAGAGACACCAAAAAAAAAAGAATAAAAGAAAAATAAATAAAAAAAGATACATTTTCCTAAGTTTGAGCCATGATTCCTGTCCTTATTGTGAAATTATATACTAACATTCTTAATGACTTACTTATTATCTCATAATAGCAATGTTTTTACATTTACAACATTAAGTTTTTAACTTGAACCATATATATTGTCAGATAACAATAAGTGGCGAAAGGGAGCTTATTTCGACACCGTCCTTTTTTGGTGAATATGAGGATATATTTACCGGAGTGTGTTGCATACAAGACAACGTAATTGATACTGAAGGTTTATTTGTTACGAAGTACGATTTTTCAATCAGCAACAATGGCATCACGTACGGAAATGTAAAAAGTGTTCATGTGTACGACTCTACTTGCCAAGAAGCAACTTTTACTTCTTTTGAAAATGCCTCGTTTAGCCTAAAGGTATTTCTCTATTTTGTTTTATTTCCAGTATTAGCACTCAGGGGTCTTATATTACTTTCAGAAACGAATGTATCGTCTCAGATGCCCGACTTCTGTTTGGTCACTTTGAATTTATGCTTTATAAAGCAAAGTGCATAGAAATTGGTAGAATGTTCTATAATTTAACAGGAAGGGATGGAAAGAATAAAGCATTTGATTAGATACGACGAGGAAAAGAAAGAGAAGATTTTATATTGATGAAAAGCTTTTTAAGATATTTTAAAGAAATAATGTAGCATGATTACACGGGTACTATGCACCGGATGTTCATTGTATATTTGGTACACCATATGTTTTTCATATGTAAAACATATGTGTTTCATATGTTTTGAAAAACGTTAAATTACATATGTTCAACCAGGACCATATGAAAAAACATGTGTTAGCAAACATGATATTAACACATGGTTATCACATTTTTTTCATATGAATAATTTTTTACATGTTAAATATATGTGAACTTTCATGTGCTTTTCATACGATAAATATGTGAATCATATATTCTACAAGCTTTGCACTTTGAACAGTTTCAATTAGATTCTAAATGATTGTAATTAATCATGAAAAGATTCTTGGTTCATGCAATTATGTGCAACTTGTAAATGTAGTAAATCTATGAGAAAAAAGAAATATTTCCTATCATGTTGAAAAATAATAGCAAACATACCTTTATACAAAAAATGAAAATATATAAATGATAAATATATTTTTGGAGGGACAACTGTGCATATTTTAAATTTGGGGGAGAACTGTCGGGTCAGAGTAGGTACTGGTAAGAGGGAGAATAAGCTGTCACTGGTTTTTATTAATGATTTTTTCTTTCTTTGTATATGTTACTGTTTATTACGTGAAAATTTAACAATAAAAAACTCACAAGGAAGCGACCGAAAGGGAGAGAATTTACTTTATTTGTTCACTTTACAATAAATATTTTACCTATAAATACATTTTCAAACTTTTTATGAAAATTAGCATGACTCTGGAGGCATACTGCTTTAAATTCTTATATATTATCATGTTCAAACAAACTGTTGAACATAATATAGCATTTTCAATGAAAAACATGAATAATCATGAGTATCCATATCTGTAAAACATACGTTTTTACCATATATGTAGGATAGAGTGTGCTTTTCTTGGAGACACGAATGTTTCTAACCATATGCTAACATATGTTATTCATGTGTATCTATATGAAAACATATGAATATCATGTGTGTTGACCATATGTAAAACATACGTGGTACTTTTCTTGGAGCACCATATGTTTATAATACGTTTTACATGTTGTGCATTTTACCTGTGTACGTTATATAACTGAAAAAAGTCAGTATTTTCCAGATGATATAGAAATGTTAAAATGGTCATATATGAAACATTTTATTTAGCCTGAATACTGTTTTATCGATGGCGGTTGTGTAGCAGAAAATGACATGTCTCCAGCAGGTTGTTTAGCTTGTCAATCTTTGGTTGATGAATATAATTGGACGGGTATGTTAAATTCTTTTACTCTATTTATGTAAACTATAGTTTGGCTACGAGAGATCCGTCTTTTTAAACTATGTAGCAAAGCCTTAATAGATACATAATGTTATTTGCACAGTCATTGTATGTTTGTTTTGTTTAATCGGATCTTATCATTTAAATCACTTTTTGCGTAGTTCACTGACACATTATCGAACTAGGAATATAGACAACAGTAGCTACAGGAAATAATAATACTCATATACACAGGGCAATACGATAAGATTAAAGAGTAATATGTAGAAATAATCTTATCAGTAACATTGATGTTTGGGTCAACTTTGCGGTCATTGAGAGATGTTACACTTTCAATTATTTCACATGAACAGACTATGCAAATGTCAGTTTTAAACTATGATTTCATCACTAGCCGGGAAACTCCCTTTTTCCGGCTTTTCCCCTCTTTAAGATTATATATAAAACATTTACATAGATTCTTATGGAAATTAGTTCAGCAATATCAAAAAGTTACTTAATTAAACATGGTTTTTATTTGTCATGTATATAAAGCTTAGGTATAATCTTTGAATAAGTATTACTCATCTCCTAACTCTTTATCATTTTACAATTCACAGTTTAGCTAGTCATTATGTTTTACTGGAAGCATTTTTGCGTTTGAGGAATTTTAGTTCTACATAATACTATTACATACGCTTCGCTGTTCGTTATTGATAGAGACGTATTATATACTTTCAGCTTTTATTTGAATAACATTAGCTTTAACATAATATATCTTTTATCTCTGATTTGTACATAGTACATCATCATATACATAATTGTATTCAAGTAACATGTACTTTTCACTGCAATCAATATAAAGAAATCAATGATATAAATAATATAAAAAGACACAAACATTGGAATGTGTTCTTTTGTAAAGAAAAACACGTTCCGATAATTCAAATTCAAATCAAACATATTTGGGTCTTGTAAGGATCTATGTGTAGTCTTGTTAGACAAACGTTTTTGATGAATGATATTTACGTTTTTCATAAATGTTATTATTTTCGGCTTAATATACACTTAACATATTTCTAATGGTTCATTTATTAATAAATTCGGTTCGTTTTCAGTCAATAACCCGTGTCAGAATAAAGGCAATTGCACCGGAGAAATTTATGGCTATACATGCTCATGTGCACACGGATATGGTGGAAACAATTGTGAATATGGTAAAGTTAGTTCTGATATAATGAAAATTTATCAGGCAAGGCTAAAAAACAGAACGGCGATGCTCTGTCGAGCTCTTCTTATTTTTTGTGCCGAGCCTGATAAATTTTATAATATCAGACACTTGTTTTGTATTCTATTATCATGTTTTCAATTTTGATATTTGTTTCATTCTGAAACAAAAGCCTGTCAAAAACCTATCGAGTTCATGCTGTGCGCAATAATAATCTAAGGGTTATATCGAATAGAAATAGTCCAAAATGATTAAGTCAAATGTAAGAGAGAATTTAGTATTTAAAACATCCACTCGACTTGATGTATATCAGTATAATATTTTCAAAGCAGTAAGAGGTAAAATATTCCATTCTCTTCATTTTATTTCAATATGTATTGGATGAGGTGTCTGATAAAGAGGGGTGACTGATAAAGCTAAATATATCAGGCATGCATTTTATCATCAAAATCAATGTTATGACATGATAAATATATAAGATTTATTTCAAACATAACCGTAGATATAAATGAGTGTGAATCAGACCCCTGTGAAAATGATGGGACATGCTCGGATCAACTTAATGGCTTCACCTGTTCCTGTGTTGCTGGGTTCACTGGTACTAATTGTGAAATAAGTAAGTCTATGTATGTCCATCGAAATATTATTAATTTACAAAATATTTAGTCTTAAGTATGATATATCTAATCTGAATAGAAAGTAATCTTATATAAGCGAAGCAAAATATACTTATTAATTGAGCCATTGTCCGAAAGTTTCTTAACGTATGTTGATAACATGTGGTATATTATGCAAATGTAAAATTATCCTTAATGTTGGTTAACAATCATTGCTCTAAAGTTGTTCTTTATACATAATTAAATATATTTGTCAGGTCGAGGTCGTTCATTATCAACGAGAAAATAAATACCGTTTAGACAAATTATGATATTGTTATTATTTACTTTTCTTTGTCTGAATTTATGTGTAAGGTACTGGACCTTGGTGTAGCAGTACTCATGCTATCCAGGTTCGTTAGGTTCAATATTCTTTTAGTCTGATGTCGCTGTATTCATTCTTTTATCAATCGTTCATATATTTTCTGTTGTAAAGTATGACAACAAAACAATGAAAATCATCAATATGCATTTAAAGTAGCTTTTAATATTTATTTATGAGTTTATGTTAAAAGGCACATTATTTCTTACACATTTATATATTGAAGACAATTTTAATGTATGACAATAATATTGTAAAGTGAGTTTTAAGGATCTTTAAGTTATATTGTATTAATATGTAAAAATAATTCCATAATTTATATTTTTAATTAGTTAATGCAAAATATTTTTAATGTTCATAATCCTGTTCATTTATATTGTTTTAGACATATATGATTGATGTAAAGCGCCTTTGAACATTTTAATGAAAAGGGCGCTATATAAATGTGGTATTTATTATATTATTATTATTATTAAGGTGAAACAGTCAAATGAAATAATTAAACATTTCTTGCAGATATAAACGAATGTTCATCTCACCCATGTCAAAACAATGGAATATGTAAAGACGGAATTAATATGTATTCATGCATGTGCCCACCAGGCTTTGAGGGGACTCACTGTGAAACAGGTCAGTGTCTACTACTATACTCATAATATCATGCTTTTAAGATAATTTTACTTTTGTTTGCACTTAAAAAAAGAATGATGTTGAGTTATTGATGCAACCGTGTGCTTACATTTTAGTAAAATGTTTTAATTTTTGTGACTTTAGATATCGATGAATGTTCGACCAATCCCTGTAAGAATGGAGGTACCTGTTTTGATCGTGTCAATGGATACACTTGTGAATGTGTGGTTGGAACATATGGGGTCAATTGTTCTGCTGGTATATATTTGATCAATTTTATTGTACCTCTAGATTCATATAATATCTGGAAAATACTGAAATTTATTTCATTTTAACTTTCTTGTAATTATATATATCAGTATAAATGGTAACACGGTCTCATCATATAGCATAAACTCTTGATCTCGGATGGTTAAATGATGTGATGACAATATTATAAAGTCGGATTTGTACAGTGTGTAACAAAAGGTATCAACAAAATGTAAAAATAATGTATAAAAAATTCTTCCTAAATATAAAACCAAGATTTAGAAAATGTAAATGCTCTTTTTAACTCCATGTCTTTTACCATGAAGTAGATACTTTAATTTTCTATCACAGAAATAGACAGTTGCGCAGCAAACCCATGTGAGAACGGAGGAACATGTGGCGACATCAACAATTCACGGATATGTCAATGTGTTGATGGTTATGCTGGTTCTAACTGTGAAATTGGTATGTATGTTTGCTTAAATTGGAACATAAAGTTTTCCTACAAATATGTAAAACAGTTTCTTTCAATATATAATTATATAAGCAATTATGCATGACACCTTCAAGCTTAACTTAAACACGTTGTCTGAAGCTCAACACAATCAAGGTTCAGCCTTTTTTTATCTTCTTTCTACCGAGTACAAAATTCCATACAATTTAGTAACGTTATCTAATACGTTGGAAAATACATATAAGTAAGTTTAGACAAAAACAAGTGTCAAAATCGTAAGTTATACAGATTTTACACTATTCATAGCTAATACATTACAAATTTCTTCTTTTAAGATATAAATGACTATGAAAATAACCCTTGCCAAAATGGTGGAAGTTGTGCAGATTTTGTGAATAGTTACAAATGTACCTGTGTGACTGGGTATGAAGGGACTAACTGTACAACTGGTAAAGACCTTCTATTGACTTAATATCAATTATATAATGTGTCAATGTGTTTGACAATGAGCAAATGTCAACAGTTTCTTAAATGATCGATGCGCTAATGGTGGTACATGCAAGGATTTTGTCAATGCATACGAATGTACATGTGTTGATGGATATGGCGGTACAAACAATGGTGAGAGTATATATTATGAATTAATTGAGCAACAGTACGCCTTGTTTGTTCAGACATAATTTTAAAAATTATACGCATGGATTTCAAAATGACCAATGAAAAAATGGTCAAATGGACGAGTTTGTCTATTTACTTCTAGCAACTTATGATTGTAATTGTTTTGCTCTAGATCTATTTTAATACATACAAGATATGCACTACCATACGTATTATTATGGCTTGCAAGACACAGGAACCACGAATTTTTGTTTAAAGAGAATAAAGTGTACAACTTAAGATTGTGTCTCATAATGGGCCAAGTCTCCATTATCAAAACTGAATGTTTGTCAGTTGTAGACTTTTCGAAATGAACTAAAATATTGACCAAAACAAATAATCAAATACGCTTAAAATTAACAAGATTAAATATTTGACGAAATAATGAAAAATGTATCTACCTAATTAGATATCAATGAGTGCTCTTCAAACCCTTGCAAGAATGATGGCGCCTGTGTTGACCTTGTAAATGGATACAAATGTACATGTGTTGCTGGATATAATGGCGATGACTGTGATCAAAGTAAGAATATGTCCTTTAAGACCAGATTATGGACCTGTGCAATATATCTCGTGTCAACTAGCATTGTATTGATAAACTATAAACATTTTGTAGACGAGTCAATATAATAACAAAATTGAAAATTTATGTTGTTTACGACATTTTATGTAAACGTCCTTTTTAATAAAACTAGAAAGTTGGGGTTTCTTTAGGGATTCTTATTTTCTCTATATTATTTTGCTTAAGCAAGCGCAAGAGGACGTTGACGATTTCTTGCACTTACCAAAACCGTCAATAGACATGCTTAATCAAACGGATAATCATTTTCATTTTTGCCGTTTAGTATAGCAAAGTTTATTTTTGTTTTATTTTTTTCAATACACAAATGGTTTTTATTATTACTTGCAGTGTTACAATGTTACAATGTCAGTACCTGATTCTTTAAAAATATTGTTACAGAGACGTGGGCATGAAATTTTGTAGGTAAAATTGTATATGAATAGTTGAATATGAATATTAGAATATATTTCATTGGTTTCAAGTCAAAGAGACTCTTTTAAGATCATATGGTGACTTTTTCAGCATTACTGAATATGTTGGCCGATCTCGCACATCAATCCGTGAATTATTGTGGGCACTAACTGCTTACTTATAAGATATAATTAGTGGCAATTTTGTTTTCAATGCGCAGATATTAACGAATGTTCTTCGGACCCTTGCAAGAACAGTGGTACCTGTAAGGATCTTGTCAATGGGTATGAATGTATATGCGTTGCTGGATATAACGGAACACATTGTTATAACAGTAAGAAATGATGCTTATTCTGTGTGTTTTAGACGGGTAATGATATTATTATAAGAACATCATGACATAAGTATGTTTTGTTTACATCGTGAAGATTATTTTGGTGCTCATTTTTTTACTTTATTTTATTCCTCGATTGTAAAAACTACTTATTTGAATCACTTTCGAGCCTGCTTTCTGAAACCGGTCAGTACTGGTGTCATATAATAAAATGACAACAGAAGAGCCTTACACTCATGATCCCTGTGTTGAGGGACATCAAAAACTAACCCATAGCTCCATATAGTTTCTCAAAAGATATGTACATGTATGTATATGTGGTCCAAGATATAAAACATCTACTGTGACAAAGAAAATGATATGTTTTTTTACTTATTTCAAGTTAGGATTGTTACTTTTCTTTCTGAAATATTTGGAATATCTAAATAGCAGAACAATATTGGTTATTTCATTTTTTCTTAATTTAATAATCCATTTTCATAGAACCTAATTATATTGTATATTTCAATATGCAGATATAGATGACTGTTATCTGAACTCCTGCAAGAATGGAGGAACATGTAAGGATCTTGTTAATGATTACGAATGTACATGTGCTGCTGGATATGACGGAATTAATTGTGATAACAGTAAGAAACAGTTTTTTATTTATTGTGCAGGGAAAATATTAGATTTGTTATACTGCTATAAGTAATACCTTTCATTATCTCTTTAAAAGATATGTCTTCACAGTTTTTAAAATATTTCTTTTCATATAAAGATTTGATTTTGTTTCTGCATATATTGAAAGCTTTAATTGTGTATTAAAAAATATTTTATTATTTATCAATGCAAAACAGTGCAAATACGGCTATTATAACATATATAACATCTTAGATATCTATGAGTGCTTATCCAACCCTTGCAAGAATGGTGGAACATGTAATGATCTTATCAATGGATATGAATGTACATGTGTTGTTGGATATGGTGGAACAAATTGTAATAAAGGTGAAAATTTGTTTTCTGAAAATAAAATAATTTATGCATATTACAATAATGAGCATAATACAAAACACGCTGAAATTAGTAATTTCATAATTGGAAGGAGCATAAAATTGTAATGATTAAAAATTGAATTTCTTATGATTTTATGATCTTGAATAGAACTTTGTTTAAAATACAACAAGATCTGATTTCACAATCGAAAATAATCATTTTACCATTCTTACCTCTTTCTCACTTTACGGACTTAGGTTTTTTTAAATACTCAATATATATGAAATTATCACCAATGCACAGATGTCAATGAATGTTCTTCAAGCCCATGTGAAAATGGTGGAAGCTGTAAGGATCTTGTCAATGGATATGAATGTATATGTGTTGCTGGATTTGACGGTGTTAAATGTGAAAATGGTAAGGAGGTGTTAATTTTCGATTAAAATTGTATTTGAAATCACAAGATTTTTATGCATACAAAAATGTAGTCATTATTCGTACAATTATCTTTCAATCTCTATTTCAATATGTAGATATAAATGATTGTTCTTCCGGCCCTTGCAAGAATGGCGGTATCTGTAAGGATCTTGTAATTGAATACGAATGTACATGTGCTGCTGGATATGATGGAATGAATTGTGATAACAATAAGACATTATCCTGAACTAAATGAAACTAATCTTTTTATTTTGCTGGGTCTATCCTTGTACATTTAAGAATTCATAAGAAAGATAAAGTCAACAGAAAGAATTTTTTTTCATAACAACACCAATTAAAACGAATAACTTGATGACTTCTTTTCTTTTTCAAAGTACCATGACATTAGTCTCTGCCAACATAAAAATACAGTTGCAACATAAAAATGAAAACTTTTTTTCAAATGGCATTTTTCTTTTATGTCTCAGATATCAATGACTGCTCGTCGGATCCATGCAAAAATGGCGGTACCTGTACGGATCTTGTGAATGAATATGAATGTACATGTCTTGCTGGATATGACGGAACTGATTGTGAAAAAGGTGACATTTGTTTGTTGTATTTTTGATTGTAAGAAATTTTGTAATTTTTAAAATTTGTATATTTAAAAGAATGTTTACTCTGTAAAGTGATGACAAAAATATAGAAAATACATGGTTGATGTCGGGATGGAGAAGGTTTATCCGGTGAGCGAGAAAGTGTATCTTGGCGAGCTTTAGCGACAAGATTTACTTTCGCAGCGAACCGGGTAAACCTTCTCCATCCCGACAGCAACCATGTATTTGATTTATCTTTCTTTTTATCATGTTTTTAGAATAATTAAAAAGTTTAATTCTTCTTTTTCCCCAATAAAATAGCATCTATATGCAGTTTTGTTTTGCTGCTAAACATGTGACGTCATCATTTGGCGTAATGACTGGAGATAGATAAGTATATCCGGCAAGGCTTTATCCAGTTGATGATATAGACAGTAGCAGGATGAAATAGCATAATGGCATGGTGCACATAATAGTTTAAGAAATAAACAATCAGTCAAGCATAAGAAAATACTAAGGTTTGTGTTAAATACCTCATATAAAGGAACAACTTCGAAAATCTTATTTTGACCAGACTATGTTTTACTATTTACAGTACAGTAAATAATTATAAACGAGAGGAATACAAATTACTTTTATTCCCTATATATGTAGACATAAACGAGTGCTCCCTAAATCCATGCAAGAATGGCGGTACCTGTGAGGACTTTGTAAATGAGTACGTATGTACATGTGTTGCTGGATATGACGGAATGAATTGTGATAACAGTAAGACACTATTCTGAACTTATTATGTATAATTGATAAAGGAACTAATATGAAATTAATTTTTCGCAAATTTTGATTGTTAGTAGTACATAAAAGTACTTGCCGTCTTGTCAGATAATTTCTGTGAGCGTCGCCTTGCCCATTGTTTGTTACTTTTGTCATCCGTTTTAGCGCTCTTCACTCTTGACAAATATAATGAAAACAAAAGAAGTATTTATTGATACGACCAATAAACCTCATTGTAAGCAAACTAATTATTATTAACGATTTAAGTATTATTTATTTAAGATAAATAATTAGTTTTTGACAGATTTATGAATTAAAATTATTGAGTTAAACGTAAATTGTTTTACAAGTTTTTGATGTAATGATATCAATATACAGACATCAATGAATGTTCTTCAAACCCATGTGAAAATGGCGGAACATGTAATGATATTGTCGACGGATATGAATGTACTTGTGTTGCTGGATATGACGGCATGCATTGTGACAAAGGTAATGATATAATAATGTTATCACCTTACTTTACCTGAATGTTTGACCAAATGGTTCATTTAAATATTCAACTTAAAACTCAATAAATGTGTATTCTTAGAAATACATGATGTGAAATAAATACATCAATACCATTATGGACGTTAATCTTTAACGAATTTGTTATTAAATAATTGTTATTACTTATCATATTATTTTATTGAATGGAAATGAATACGGGGAAATATACTTTAAACATAGTAATGTATTATTTCTTTATTTCAAAACTTGTTGAAGATATCAATGAGTGTTCACCTGACCCTTGCAAGAATGGTGCTACCTGTAGGGATCTTGTTAATAATTTCGAATGTACATGTGCTGCTGGATATGGCGGGTCTAACTGTGAATACAGTAAGTTTTAATACTTTTTATTATATACACGAATTATTACAGATAAAGTTAATAATTTTATGGTTTTAATGTTGATAAAAGAAAATCTGATAAGAGAAGATGATAACAAAAATTATGAATCAGCCTTGACCTTTGACACAAAAAGTTCAGACTTCATTGGCTATCCTATCCAGCTGGGTTGCGGAACTTTGGTGGTTCTACTCAGGTGCTCGCTTGTGCCTGAAATACTGAACAGAGGATCACCTGACGTCTTCCTTCACAAGTAAAGCTGTAAGGTCGCCATATGACCTATACTGTGTTGGTGCGACTCTAATCCAAATCATAAAATATCCTTATGGACTTCAGGATCACATTTATCTTGTACAGAATGCCATTCTTTTTAAAATACCATAAACTAGACTTGTTAAAAATTGTTTAATTATCTTACTCATTACTAAATACATGTAAGTGTATGTGCTTTGTGGGATAACAAGGGCAGTTTTATCATTCTGACATCCTTAGTTTTGTATGATCGTAATAAAAGAGTGAGAAATAAAGAATCTTAAAGGTCTCGATTGTAACTTATTACAATATTTGTGAAATTATGCAATTAATAATTCTAGTGTATGTAGATCTTCTTTTATATAATTTTAATTTTGTTGATTTTGTGTCACAATGTGTAGACATAAATGAGTGCTCTCCGGACCCTTGCTTGAACGGTGGTTCTTGCGAAGATCTTGTCAATGGATACGAATGCACATGTGTTACAGGATATAACGGAACAAACTGTGAAAATAGTATTGATAATGTTACTTTTAATTTAGTAAAAACAAACTGAATATTGATATAGACTATAAGTTTAATAACATTAAAATGAAGAATTTTAACCTGCACTATTATAGAAGAAAAATACAAAATTATAAAAAATATTATTAAGACTTAAAAAAAACTTTATTCTGAATTATAAGTGCAATTCAAGTGATGAATCCGTTATATGATTACACGTTTGTTAAGTAGAATACATGTACGAACTCTCTTTCAGATTCATAAGCATATTTTGATTATTTTCAATGATCTTAATATATGTTTTCACGTAAATAAACATTTATTCCTTACAATCGTAAATAAAACGGTCTGTTCTTTCAGGTGACATATATAAAAGATTCAAGGAATAATTGGCTTTCATTATTTATATTAAACAAATGTAAATTAGTTTCTAGATAAATTCAAATTTATTTTTTTCATTGCTTCTCAGATATCAATGAGTGCTTGCCAGATCCTTGTAAAAATGAAGGTACATGTAAGGATCTTATAAACGGATACGAATGTACATGTGCTGCTGGATATGACGGAATTGATTGTGACAACAGTAATATTGTTTATAAATTGTTGATAATATTAAACATTTGTTTGTGCAGATCTTAAACGAATTTTTCTATGCAAATGAGTGTTTTTGTTAGGTTTTAGTTGATAGAAAAGTTAAGAGAAAGAACTCAAACATTGCTAAAACACAAATTACATTTTTGATGAAAGTGATTTAAACATTTTGATAAAGGTTAACAAACTATTCATTTCTAATTCCATTAGATTTTAAACATTAACATACGGGGATAATGAATGAAAATTTATTGTGCTAACAAATCAATGAAACGTAACACGATTTACAGATATCAATGAATGTTCTTCAAATCCATGTGAGAATGGCGGAACTTGTAATGACTTTGTCAATGGATATGACTGTACATGTGCTGCTGGATACAACGGCATCAACTGTGACAATGGTATGTATAAAATGATCGTAACAATTCTGATTTGCTTGTTCATTTAAAAGGTTTAGTTTAAACATATTTATTTCAATATTTTACATAGATTACATTTTATATATATATAATTGTTACATAAATTGAAAGGGATTAGAACGAAAGAAAACTTATATAGTTCCTCTCCCTAGATAACAAATGATATTTACACAAACATATATGGCAGGATAGTTATTTCATTTAAATTATTAAGTAAGAATATTGCAAGATTAAGTTTAAACATAAAATGAAAAAAATAAATAAATAAAAAGAAATTAGAAATGCAACTAAATAAGACAATTTTCAGATAAGTACTAAGTAAAAGAAAAACAGACAAAAATAAGTATTTTTACATTTAAACTGGCGCTTAAAGCACATTTAGCAAGAGTCTCGAAAAAAAAAACTTGTTCAAGCTAACCAGAAAAATATTATATGTATATTATATATATATTTAAAGAAGAGAAAAAATATTGGAAGGACCAGACTAACGAACAAAGGTCAAATTGGAGATATAGCAGTATTTTAAATGTTGGCAGTATAAAAAATACATCTAGTGGAAACGTCCGCTGCTATTTATAAATTCAAATACTGCATCTAATATCCATGTGTTTGTTTGATAATCATTTGACGGATCTCCATATAGAAGGGTTCGAAGATCAATGGGACATATTGGAGTCAATGTTTGAAAAAGTGCATTTCTTATTTGTGTGTAATTCTTGCAAATAAAGAAAAAATGGTGGTTGTCTTCAATTAGGCCACAACTACATAATGGAGATGATACTATATTTTTTAAGAATAGATGGTGGTTAAGAGAGCTGCATTTCGTTCTAAGTCTTGTATGAAGAATTTGTGACCGTCTATCTCCATAATAGAAGTGTCGGGGAGTTTTAATTTTGTCTACGTTCAAAGAGCTTTTGAAAGAATTCAATGACTGTAGCTGACGGGTTTCAATTGGTAAGGAATTCCATTCACGAAGTGCCGTTGGTAGAAAGGAATTATAGTATAGAGTTGTTCTTGTACGAATTGTATCGATATTTTGAGAATTACGTAAGTTATATGTAGTGTTCAGACCAACAAGATCTGGTACAATAGACGATAGATAGGATGGAGTGAGACAATTTTTCATTTTATAAAGTTGAATAAGCTTATGCTTCCTTCTTCTGTCAGAAAGTGATTCCCAATTTACATCATTGTATAAATCAGCTAACGATATCAGCTTTGTTGCACCCGTCACAATACGTGCTGCTTCATTTTGAATTTTGTCTAATTCTTGTTTTTCGTAGGATGTACAATTGTCCCATATTATATCAGCATATTCAATAATAGGACGAATGAAGGATGTATATATGATTTCTAAAGCCCTGCGGTCTAGTTTGAATTTAAGTTTACGCATTATGTTTATTCTATTCCATGCCTTTTCCTTTATATAATTGATATGGGAATGCCAAGAGCCATCATCAGAAAAAAACACTCCTAGATGTTTGTGATCAGAAACCTGGGGGATTTGTTGGCCATACATGGTGAAAGGTGTGTGATGTGGTTTATTAATTCTTCTTGATATAATCATTGACTCGGATTTGGATGGATTAAAATGAACAAGCCATTTATCTGCCCAAAGACAAATTTTTTGTATGTCATTTTGCATGGTATCATGTGTTTCTGTAGGTGTTTCAACTATCAGATGGAGACTAGTGTCATCTGCAAAAAGATTGATGTTGGAACCAATATCTTGAACAATATCGTTGATATAAACAAGAAATAGAAGAGGCCCAAGTATTGATCCTTGGGGGACTCCAGATGCAATTGTAACACAGTCCGACATGGTACCAGGAAGAACAACCTGTTGTCTACGATTTGTTAAATAATCAGAAAGCCATTGATGTACATTTCCACGAATTCCAGATTCATGAAGTTTCACTAACAAACCTTGGTGCCAAACTTTATCAAATGCTTTACTGATATCAAAAAATACGACCCTCACCTCCAGGCCATCATCTAAAGCCTTGCAAAAATTATTGTAAAGATACGCAAGTTGGTTTACAGTTGAGTCACCTGGCAAGAATCCCGACTGAGATGGAGTGAAGAATGAAATGTCTCTGTAAAAGTTAAAGATATGTTTAAAGACTACTCGTTCAAATACTTTTTCAATAGTGTTGAGTAAAGATATAGGTCTATAATTGTTTACAACAGCAGGATCACCTTTTTTATATACAGCACAGACATTTGACAACTTCCAGGATGTCGGCATTTTCTTGGATCTTAGTGAGAAGTTGAAGAGCTGGTGAAAGGGATAAGAAAGTTGTTGGTAGGCCTCATATAAAACTCGATAACTGATAGTGTCAGGTCCAGATGCTTTATCGGTGTTTAAAGATTTCAGTACATCCTCAATTTCAGAAGGAGATATATAAATAATTTCTAAGGTCTGTTGATTGTCAGTGTTTGAGGGTCTGGGGGGATCCCTGTTAGAGTCGTCAACCATTGTCTGGTTCCTGAAAAAAGTGTTTAATAGATTAGCCTTTTCACGTTCTTCAGATACAATGGAATTAGTAAGTGGATCAATAAGAGAAGGAATACCTTTTTTTGATGAATATGATATAAAGGATTTGAGGATTTTCCACCAATCTTTTGATGATATGGAAGTTGATTTAAGATTGTCAGACAATGAAAGAAAGTAACGAGATTTGCTGTCTTTGACTAGCTGAACTGCTTCATTTCTGAGTTTGCGAAATTTTAACCAATGATGTTGACTTTGAGAAGTTTTTGCTTTTCTATAGGCGCGCTTACGTTGCCTTATTTTTGTTTTTATTTGATTGTTCATCCATGGAGGGTCATTAGGCTTGATTTTTACATTTTTGTTTGGAATACAAAGTTTTGATATGTTAATGATAGTGTTTGTAATATTCTCAACAAAGGTGTCAATATCATCATCTTGAAGTTCGTCCCAGTTTACTAGATTCATCTTGCTACGCAGCAAGTCATAGTTGCCTTTCTCATAGAGCCACACAGTTCTATCAAAAGACTTAGCTTTGGGTTTTATGTAGGTAAAAACAGCAAAGATTGGGCAGTGATACCTGACATGTTGCTGAAGAAACGGATCACCAACCCCAGCCTTTATAACATTGTTTATGTTGTTAGTAAAAAAGAGGTCAATAAGTGACGAGGAATTTTCTGTAAAGTGTGTGTGTTCATCAATGAGTTGGGTAAGTCCATATTGTTGACATAGTGCTTGTACTTTTCGGGAAGAAGTCTGAGAATCAATGTTCAAATTAAAATCACCTGTTAATATCACATCTGAAATGCCAGTATCTAGAGCTAGTCCCAATGAATCTTCAATCAGAGAATAATAGATTATATCGGAACTAGGGGGCCGATAGAAAACGCCAAACAAAACTTTCTTAACGCTAGACAATCTGAGTTCGAGCCATATGCATTCTAGATGATTTAGCTCAAGGTCGGTTCTACGCACGTATGGGATGGATTCTTTGACATAAACAAGAACCCCACCATGATTATCGTTGATACGATCTTTTCTAATGGGTTCATGGAATCCTGGAAACAAAAGATCCACTGTAGACACTGAGTCACCTAGCCATGTTTCGGTGAAAGCAAGAATATCGAGATTACTTAATTCAGCATAAAGGATGTCAAGCTTAGGAAATATGCTTTGAACATTATAGTGAACAACTGTAAGATAATTTGAACACTTAAAAAAATCATGGAGAGTGTTATCAAGAAAAGATTCTGATGAGACTGAGCTCGAGAAAGATTGTGAATGATCTGGTCCCGGATTTGGATGAATATCTCCACACATTGTTAACAAAACATGAAACCATAAAGTGGCGGTCGTGAAAACGATGACGAAAATGCAGCATAGAGTAAATTCCAAATTCTCCGAGTACTTTTTATTTGGAAAAACCTTAACTTTTTTATTTTGTATGTTTTGTGATTTATTTATTGACAGCAGTATATATTTATATATTGAATATAACTGTAGAGTATTGAGATAAATGGATATTAGAAAAAGTACATGAAAGAAGACAAAATATCTTCTGTTACAGCTACAGACATACATGACGGCACTTAATCTATGTTTTCTCATCTATGTAATTGTCAGGGTAGAAAGCAAAAAAAGACAAAGCACCGTCATGAGTAGAATGTAGCTGATATCATCAGAACGATCTGACATACCTAAAACACATATATCCCCAAAGAGACGTCTGAAAGTTAGTCTGGTATATTTACAAATGACAAAAAAGTTTAAAAAAAGAGAGAAGTGGAGAAAATGAAAAATCATTACAACGTTTTAAAAGTAAGACTGTGTGATCATTAATGATAGATACTTAATTGAAGTAAATGAAAGATTTCCATTGTCGATACAAATGTTAAACTATCTCGGTGACAGGTTTTGGTTTTGAAATAACTTGATTGTGTTATACACGAAATTTGACTATTTTAACTACTTAAGTACTACAATCAATGGAATGAGCGGAATATATGATCATGTTTATTTACTAATATCTAGTACTATTTTCTTCACAATCAACAATAAACATACGTAATCGCTACAATATGTGTGCCTTTCAAAATATCACATCAATGTTACTTATGAGAAATTAAAATGAAGATAATATTTCAGAATTGTGAGTAGCTGTATGATTTACTTAGTAAAAAAGAAGAAAAATCAAATATAAATTTTTATTGTTCAGTTTAAGTTTTCAGCACCAGTTATTTTTGAATTAACTTAATGATAATATCAATTGTCTAAAATATCGATATGTTAGCCATCAATTGTATAGTTAAAAACATGGAAAACAGTATACAGTTAATATATGAACAACATTTAACTTAAAAAAAGAAGAAAATCAAGCATCGAGTTTACATCAGATATATACAAGCATATAGTCTTATATTCACAACTTTTAAATAAATGCATGCAATAACACGCAAGGATGCTGTATAGAGTACTGCTTGTTCTACTTGCCACGTGAGATACAGCATACCTACATATGTGTACCCATATTTACAAATCTAATATTATATACATGTATTAATTTAGTTTAAATACAACTAGTCGGAGAAAATATTTACACGAAGTATACATTCAAGCATATATTAAATAACTTACAGTGTGTAATCTAAACAATCACAGAGCCGCATCAAATATGCATGTGCTACTATATCTGTATGGTATAATATTCTTACAATTATTTAATTTCTCTTTCTGCAGACTAAACCAAAACAAAATTATCATCCTTAATTTTCGCGTTCTTTACTCTAGTTTATCTTTTAATAATGGTATATATTGATCAAAAGTCAATTTAATCAATTTTGCAAATGCTGAAAAGAATAAACTGTAAAAATAGTCAGTATCATACATATCAGTTAAACAGAGTGCACATGTACTACATAACTTTTACAAAATCCGTCAAGCTTTTATCAGATCAATTCATACAGGTACTATATGTCAATTTACGTTAATTCATCATATTCATCATTTAAATATTTGCTTAATCAAGTGTTCGATATACCTAACAATGTAAGGAAAAAAACACATCTTGATACAATTCAGTAACTTAGTATAAGAAATCATGTATAATTTTCTCTTGATAGTACTTTTTATATATATATATATATAAAAAAAACAATTGGTACATATATACTGAGTTTTATAATGTAATTCATTTACAATTTTATCAAACGTCATTTGTAGAAAAGTTATTTTAGTTCAATAAAATAAAAATATGTTTCACGTGTTGATGTGCATAGCATAAGAAAATCAAACATGAATGATTATCAAACCAGTTTAAGCCGTACAAGTCACAGGTCACTACATAGGTTATCATATTTTACCGTTACTTAGTCGAGACTAAGTGGAATGTTATCTTGTATACAAATCGTCAAGAAAAAACCGTTCACTATGTACTAATAGGTAGTACTAGTATATGAAATTACACTGCGCGCAGAAAGTAACGTGACAAATGAACAGGTCAACTCTTATCCAAATCACTTGTCAATAGGACGCCACAACCCTCCACTTGTATTTTCAAAAATTTTCAGATCATCTTCCTTGTTGATACGACGCACATTTTTGGCTTTATCTCTAATCAATATTGTGCCATCATGAGACCAGGCACTTTCTGCTGAGCCCCTTTTAACAATTTGTCTAGCCTGGTAAAGCAAGTTTGACCTTGCCCTGGTAAGATCTTCATTTATAAAGATTCCCTTCATATCATTATTCTTACATTTCACGCGAGATTTGAATAAGTTGTTTCTGGCATGATAATTGGTAAATTTCACCAATATATCGCGCTTGTTCTTGGTCTGTTTAGGACCAACACGGTGTGATCGGTCTATCTCGTTGATTGATAATTTCAGACCTAATTTGCTGGCAATGTTTAGGACTTTCGAGTCGGTGTCTTCATCATCGGATTCTACTATCCCGGAAATGCGTAGGTTATTCCTTCTGCTATATTGTTCGGCCTGATCTAATTTAGCCTCTAGGACCCCAATTTTTTCACTTAATTTTCTATTATTAGTTTCAAGATCTTCTATTTGCTTATTAAAGCTGGATACAATTCCATCAGTGACACGTTTGGTGAATTCATCGAACTTTTTATCTAAAAGTTCATGGGTAATATCTCTTATTTCATATTTCAATGAGTTTTTTACTGTTTCGGCTATACATAAGAGGTCCTCCTTTGCCAGAATCGATTTTGATTTTTCCGATGTATTTGCCATTATTTCGTCAACCGATTCTAAATTGTCAATTTGTTTATGCTTTTTGGACTCTAAGAGATCAATTGGAGAAGAAACTGGACGTTTTTTACTTGATGTCAAAGGTGTAAGCTCAATGGTTTTATCTTCTGACATTATAAGTACATAATAACATAGTCCGCGTTTTTGTGGTCACGCTTTTTTTGTTGTGTAGTATAGATCGATTTTCAATCAGCGGTTATACAGCAAATATCACGACTCAACATCGTAAATAATAGCAACTTTGTAAATAACAAACTTTTTCAAAAATTCATTTGTGTCACCTGAAATGCCTTTCAAACATTCTGACTACATCACACAGTCGAACTTTAACCTAGAAAGTCACATTCTTTAAAGTTTTTCGAGAGCGATGTTTGTTATGACCGCCATTAATTGATCACCGGAAGTATCTGAAGTATTTAAAAGGTTTCAAGGTCATATTTCGCTTAAACTCAATCAAGGTTTATTCCTATGAATTTTTGTTTGTTCGTTTGGTTTTACGTCGCATCAACACAGTAGTGGCTAATATGGCGACTTTACTGTTTTTCTAATTGAGGAAGAATTCAGATGCCCCTCCGTGCATTATTTCAGGCCCGAACGGCCACCTGAGTTTAACCACCGATGTTCCGTAAGCTAGCTTGGTTCCTGGTGGATTTCGAAACCATAGCATTAAGACATAATTGGTTGAAGTCAACAATTACGTTACGTGTTTTAGAAAAGTACATAAGCATAGAGTAATCAGCAAAATAAAAAGATAACAATGAAGTTCTACAGATCATATATCACCAAATATTTGTCAGAAACCTTTAGCAACAAGATAATTGTTGTAGTATATTTAAACATTTGTAGATTTTGATGAATGTTCATTGAACCCATGTGAAAACAACGGAATATGTAAAGACAGAATAAATATGTTTACTTGCGAGTGTACACCTGGTTTTAAGGGAGAACAATGTGAAATAAGTAAGTGTAGATTTACTTTGAATGATTTATCTCCTCTTGAATGTTTTACTGTGAATGACAGCCAAATAGTTTCACTTTACTCTTCTAGGACGTTAAAAAATTTTGCAGGATATTTCTGTTATAGCAGTTCATAACTGTTTTAGCATTTTTTTTATATCATAAAATTAGTCATACTTTACATTACATTACATAGCACAGCACAGGTATTTCAAATATGTCCCCAGTTTAGAATCCAATGTTGTAGTTATATCTAAGATCAAATAATATTTCTTAGATTTGGATGAATGTAATCCCGACCCCTGTCAAAATGCTGGAAGCTGTGAAGATCGAGATAATGGATACACATGTATTTGTGCGGAAGGATATTTTGGCGTTAATTGTTCAACAGGTATGTCTTGATAGCTGATCAACACATACATGTATATATCGATATCAAGTTCATCTTTCATGAACACTTTTTTTATTTTATTCTCAATTTGAATATTAAAAATATTGTTGTAATATGTTACATACATTTTTTTTCAATAGGATACTGTAGAATGTTTTAAATTCGCGTTATCATAATTTCGCGGTATTTTTGTCTGAAATCATTCGCGTTTTACCCGTGACAAATTATTATACACTATAAGTAAATCATTTTATCTTACTGTCTTCGATAATATGTTGGTAAATATAAAATTTAACAAGTACAATAAATTTATTCATTCTAAAAATCTACAAAATGTACATTAAGATTTGTGAATACTATAATTTATCCTATTTTCTAAAAATATGCGATACATTTTCCTTTTTAAGAAGCATAAATCTATTCCTTTCTAAGGCATAATGTGCCTTTTATCCTTCTATCAATAAAACGTGCTTCTTGTAAAATAGCTGTGATGATTATCATATGATTAAAAGTCACTACATGGTAAATGGTTGCTATAGTTACGTGATTCCTGACATACATAATCTATTACGTGATTACCATAAATTCGCAAGGAAATTGTTTCGCGAATATTTGCGAAAATCTATCTAACGCGCATAAAACAATTTCTACAGTAAATATTTAATCTTTTACTAAAAATATTTTAGTCGTTATCACTCCTAAGTATATGACAAATCCCCGCATTCTCACCAGGTGTTGGAAATTTTCTTAAGTTTTATTGTTTAATCATTTTCATTATTGCAGACAACTTTTTATGAAATAGTGTTTATTTCACAATATCTTTATTCTTAAGATGTCAACGAATGCCTAAGTAACCCGTGTGAGAATAAAGGAACGTGTGAGGATAAAGTAAATGGGAGGATATGTCATTGTATTGATGGATATGAGGGCTTAAACTGTGAAATAGGTAGGATTTTTAAGCTTAAGATTAACAATTAAAACTTATAGGACTGTTTATTCACTTTTTTATCACCTACGTGCAATTGCATCTAGAGCAATCCCACTCCGCATATATTTTAACACAAAACCACCTGCTTTGAAGCAAAAAAAAAAACGTGGCGATATAGACCACTAAAACAAATATTCACATTTGTAATAGTATTGATAGGGATCAGAGCAATGTGATATCCTAATGTTCATACACTTATATATCATATACAGATATCAACGAATGTTCAAATAGCCCATGCATGAATGGTGGTAGTTGTAGAGATCTTGTTAATGGATACGAATGTATATGTGTGCAAGGATATGATGGCACTGACTGTGATATTTGTAAGAGTAATGAACTTTTAATTTCAAAGGGCGTGCACAGCTTAAGATATATCGTATATGTAATTTATGTTATTTTATATAATCATTGTACACAAAACATCCAATGATATTTACTTAAGTTTGTACATCTGATTATCTATTCAAACTCTTTTTGTTTTGAGCAGATGAAAATCATTTTCTATTATACAAGAAAATTAATCGTAAGATAAAAACGCAAATTTATGCAGAATGTACGTTAAGTTTTTAAAAAACAGATATAGATGAATGCTTTTCCGACCCTTGCAAGAATGGTGGTCGCTGTAAGGATCTTGTCAATAAGTATGAATGTACATGTGTTGCTGGATATGAAGGGCAAAAATGTGAAAACGGTGAGGCTAACTAAATATAAATTACAGCTCTTTTATACTTAGTCAATGAATTCAAACGATTTGAAAATTTTTACAGGATGCACACTTTATTAACAATTTAATATTATTATAATAATCATTATAATTTTTAACATTTTTATCATAATTAATGTGCAATTCGATCTTTAATGGGAAGATTTACTTTTCAAAATATCTCGTTTATTATTTGATGTTGGAAACATTTAAGCTATGAACCAACGTACAACATTAAATTTCACAGATATCAACGAATGTTTATCGAATCCATGCAAAAATGGTGGCACTTGTACCGATAGTGTCAATAAATTCAATTGCACATGTGCTGCTGGATATAAAGGAGCAATATGCGATACTGGTAATATAAATACAAGTTGTTTTTTGTTGTCACTTCATCATGAAAATATCATTGCATTTCTTGATATCAACGTTTAAAGTGACATATACAACGCTGTACCGTTTGTAGCATTTGACTGTTAAATTAAATGTTTGAATAATGAATGTAATACTTAGAAATATACAGAAACACATGTATGTAAAAGGGAATCATAAAATAATTTATATTTACTTATGTGGTAATTTTTATAAAAAGATGAAAATGTATCCTAATTTACTAAACAAATGTTTGAATTGAAACAAAATTCCAGACTCAGTCTTATATTTTACGAAGAATTTTCATAATAACTATAGTCGCAAAGTGTATTTTTATACATAGATATCGACGAATGCAATTCTAACCCTTGTGAGAACGGCGGTACCTGTACGGATCTTGTAAATGGATATGAATGTACATGTGTTCCTGGATATGACGGAATGAAGTGTAACAATGGTGAGCATTTAAATATGTTTGCATAATTTCCAAATGGAAGTAATATCATCAACCTGAAATTATATTTTTTTATTCTATCTTTACTTAAATCTCTATATTTATTCACATATGATAAAACAATTGTATTTTTTCCCTTAGATATTGTTAAACGAATTAAATTTCATTCTCTGTTCATGATAATTTTTTCTGTTCTACTATAGATATTAATGAATGTTCTTCGAACCCTTGCTTGAATGGTGGTTCATGTATTGATTTAGTTGATAGATACCAATGTAAATGAGATGCTGGATTTGACGGATTTACCTGTGACCATAGTTAACTTAAATATATTTGATTTGACATATTGATTTGATAACTGTAAGCTACTATGTAGATAATTATTGTATATTTTTTCTTTCGAATGCTGTCATATGACAATTTTTATTACATGCTTTTAGGTGGTTAATAGAGATATATAGAGATATATCAGTGAAATATAAAACTGATAATTTCACTGTTTTGAACTGAAGCCCTTCAGTTGTTTCGATGATATACTAGCGTACACAGTACTGGGAACCGACTTAATGACATAACGTCGTAAATTACGTCCCGTTCTTTTATTATTTGGCGCGCTTTGGATTAAGTATATGTCTTTTTAAGCGTTTCTTTGCATAAAATAAAAGAAATTTTGTTAAGTTTAGTGTAAGATCGAAATATATTTCACCTAGTGAATACCAAAAGTTAATTTTTCACTCGTGGCTGCGCCACTCGTGAAATATATTCCGATCTTACAGTGAACTAAACAAATATCTTCTGTTTTATCAGGTACACATAAACCTGTTTAATGAGAGACAATGGGAAGTTTCCTCTCCTCAAACATTCTGTTATTTTGTTTTATTCTGTAAATTGAAAATTAAGAGCAAAAAACGTATCTTTAGCAGAATAAACACTAATTAAGGAATTAAGGATATACAGACGTCTATTATAACGTTAGTAATAACAATATATGGCCAATAATGTCACTCAAACACGTTGGTTGCCTATTATTTTTTATCATTATTGCCATTTTTTTCTTATTATATCATACATAGATATAGATGATTGTTCACCTTATCCGTGTAAGAACAGCGGAACGTGTAAAGATCTCACCAATGGATACGAATGTACATGCGTTGCTGGGTATGACGGAATTAACTGTGATTATGGTGAGAATACACATTATTACTGACATTCAAAAAGGAAAAAAAATGAGAGCGGATTTGAAAAATTTCTCATTGTCTTATTGGCATGTATTTATTCATTTACTTCGTAACTAAAATAAAATCAAAGATAATAAAATATTCAATAATTCTCTAGAAATATAGTTCAATAATTAATCTACAGATTTGTCAAAATTATCAATTCAAAATTTTATTTTTTACTTGGAGTATTTTCTATATCTGTCCCGCTTTAGACATAAATGAGTGTTCATCAGACCCATGTAAGAATGGTGGAACCTGTAAGGATCTTGTAAATGAATACGAATGTACATGTGCTGCTGGATATGACGGATTAAATTGTAACAATGGTGAGCATTTATATACATGCCTATTTATATGCATTCTAGAAAAACTTAAGGAAAGTTATCATACAAACTCCATGTTTATGTATGCTTATGTAAGTTTATGTAATGTCTTGCATTGAAATTTCATTTACAATGATTTTATTTGAGTAAATATGATTGTAAACAATCGACTGTCGGTAAGCTAGCAGGATAGAATCCAGCTTATCTTGCGGGTTTTGAGCACAGCTGTGAAGATGAATTAAATAGTTATAAATGTTAATGTGTTCACGGGTATGAAGGTCACAACTGCGAACACGGTAGATTATTTTCAAAAGTGAACGTTTTTAAGTTTGTGATCCTTAACTAGAACATACTGTATCTGTTTTGGTAGCAAAGATAAAAACACGGTTTAACATACAGTAGGAAATATAAATAGGAAAGAAAGGCACTGTGATCCACAATTTAACATTCTATGTTTTATTTTTCTTATTTTTCATATATTGATAATATGTCTGGTTTTTATTATTAAGTTACACCAACAACGACCATGTCACCCGATGCTAATTTTGCTCGAGCTACGATTTCTATGAGATTTCCATTCGAGTCAAAATTCAATGTTACGGATCCAAATTTAAAGTCTGACGTAACATTTCAGGTATCACTTCTATTTTAGTACTTTAATGATTCAAATAATAAATTTTACGAATAATGCAAACGAAAATTAAATAAATAATTGTTGTAACAATTTTCTGTCTTGATAAACCAATCTCTTGCTTTACATATGTCACTGGGTATTGTCTCATTAACAAATTTAATTCAACAAAGTCTAAAATGATTTGACTTCGTTTCACTCGTATGTCGTGGCATATATAATTTTCCTCATTTTATGACTTTTTCATCTTTTAAATAAATATAGTACATCTATTGTATTGTTTTTATGTCATTTGTATATTATTTTTTTTAAAGCTGACCAAGGAATATAAAGACAATATTGGGAATGCGTTAAAGGCCCTAGTTATTTTACGATTGAGGTATGTTTTATTTTATGCTGCACCCTTAAGCTTTGAAATAGTTCAAACACCAAATATAGGTTAGAGGGGTTAATTGTTACTGCTTCCCTATAAGTATATTTGTTAAAATCTTTTTTATATTAAAGCCAATGGATAAATAAATACGAAACTGTATAACCTTCCATCTGTTCAACAAATGTACTTGATTACAAATGTTCTGGTTTATTTTCAGTAAGGGAAGCGTTAGGGTCGAGTTTGAGGTTATTTATGAGAAAGAAACATCATCTGTTAGCGATCTAATTAAGACAAGTATCGCTTATCTAAATGGAGATAAATCAATAGAAGTGTTTAATGAAACAGTTTCTGCAATAACCGTTGAGATTAATTCTATTACGGGTAAGTCCGTTTAAATGCTGTGAAATTATGCAATAGTGTTTGGTCAGACTTTAATTTTCTGTTCTAAACATTTTTTAAAACTTTCAAAACAAATGCTTGGTTTATCATCATGTGAATTATTTCCTCAAAATAAGGCATTATTTATTTAATTTACAACTTATTGTTTACAGTTACTAACGAAACTAGCACGGATGAATCAAGACTTTGTAGTGTCTTTGAAATACTGCAAGGACCTTGTCAGGAAAATCAAAAATGTTCTATAATGGAAGGAAATTTTTCCTGTGTGTAAGTGTGTAACTGTTAATTTTTTCTTTTCTTTTTCATCGATTTCTTCAAATGTGATAAAAACATCTTTTAAGTAAAATAATGTCTTTTGTAACGTACATGCACAATAAATAACACTATGTATTTGGAATACCTGGTGCATTGTCATTTGAGATTCGGGATACCACTCAAAGAACTTATTGGAATTTAAAATAACATTTAACTTTCCATTTGTTATAAAGGGGATTGATTGCATAAGCACGAAAACGGAATTATGTTAAAGTAATTGTTATTTTTTATTTAAAGAATTGACTACATAAGCACGTAAACGGAATTATGTAACATTAAATGTTATTTGTTATTAAAAGAATTAATTGTACTAGCCATAAACGAAACCATGCAATCAGAAACAATTATTTGTTAATGAAAAAATTGATTTATTGGCACCAATAACAGTATTAATGTTCTTTTTAGGGCACATGAAGATGATGGAAGTAAGTGTACGGAACAATAATGTTATGAATTAAATAGCCATATTAATCTACTTAAATATGTACATTAATTTAAACGAGCAGAAATTAGAAAAAAACAGGTTGTTTCTTAGAAAATAAGTTCTAATAATGCTTAAAACTTGAAGTAATGAGTAAATAGGAGGATCATTTAACGATGGAATAAATCGTAAGGTTGTGGCAGTTTTACTGGTCGTATTTAATGTTTTTTTTGTCATTGGGATTAAATTAAAGGCAAACATCTTTTATATGCACACATGTTTTTTTTTAATTTAAACAAATTGCTATTTATTGATATTAACATTGAAATGTATGATGAAAAGAAGATATGTTATTCAACAAAAATATCATTTTTTCTTAAGATGAAATTATTATAAATATTCATCTGATTGAAAATAGATCGATAGCTTTTATTAGAGAACGTTTTAGACGTTCAAGATTAGTTCCTGATATTAGTCAAAAATTGAACCATGCCGTACCGATCTAAATAATGCAGTACCTAACTGCCAAACAATTATTTATATCATCTGATGGCTATGAAAAATTAAAAGAATATTAGTTAAATGCTGTATTATAGAACGATCGGATGTTTATCTATATATTGCTCGCACCATTGATAAACAATATTGATATTATTGAACTAATATTCAAAAAGAAGAAAAGCAGCGTTACTTTGTTTTCTATTATATTTACAGTTGGTTTGAAGATTGTGATTATTGTCATTGTTTGCGTGTTATTTGTACCAATAATCATTTTCACAATTACCTGCTTGGCTATTCGGAAAATTCGGAACAGGGGCAAGGAGCTACCACATTCACAAAGACTGAAAAGAGACTCGATTGGGTAAAGTCAATGTTTCCTTTTCTGTTAGATAATCTCTCATATAATCGATATATTGCTCACGTGAGCGCGAATGCCTAAAGATATACCAGTCATACACTTGGGGATAAAATGGTCCGCCCTAGTGGACACTTAGTTTACACTCACACTTGTATAGTAAAATTTCTAAAAACCCTTTTCTTTCAGAAAAAACAGACAGCTCCCCAAAAAACAGGTTTAAAAAGAGCTTAAATTGTTTGCATGTTATATTACACGGTGGTTCTTAACTATAGTTATATAAATCATGCCCTTTGTGTCAATATATGCCCCAAACCAAGTGTCACGTCGTTCACTACTTATTAACTTGTATAGATTTTTGTCTTCTTTTGCGAAAGAACTATATAAAAAGCTTTGGTATTTGGCATGTACAATAACCTAGTAGACGTCTACAAATATTAAATAAACCCCAGCGGTATGATTGAAATACCTTTTGTAGGGGTCCACAAGGCACAATAATTCATTAGATATGCATTATAAGATTCGTGTCTGCTCTGTTTTTTCAACAATTTGAAAAAAACAACATTTTTTTTCACAGAATTATCTATATAAAAACACAATGTTAAGAACGCAACTTTTGCATTCCTGAAGTCGAAATTTGTTTCGCTCTGTGGTCACTTAATATACATAGACGTATATAGGAAACACATTACAGTCTTACTGTGTAAAACTAGAATGCTCAAAAGTAAAATATTTGGCATGAAACATTGCAGTGTGGACTTCTACAAAAGTTTTACAAATCATGGACGTAGGGTCAATATTTGCCAACTATAGTATATAGACTTAAATAGAAAAAAAAACTGATTCTTTATAAAACATAATAATTCGCAGATTTAAGATATTTTGTATGTTTTATCACCTAGTAGTTACAATATCATATCGGGGTAAATTGCAATGTCCGTTTGAGGAACTAGGACGGTCATTTGAAATACATAGATTTATATTGCAAACATATCTTTAAGTCTTTCCCTATTGACCTACAGTGTGCAGAGCATAGGAATTTGTATATACATCAACATGTGTTGTCACTTTCGCACAAATCATTAACATAAGGTCTAACATGGATTGTCCTGTGTGAATATGTTATTGATCAAAAGGGAGGAAATTATTTGTTTATGTAGCATTTTGATTTTTTATATTGTATCTTCTCTATTTTAAAGATAATACATAAATCACTTTGAAATCGGGCCTATATTATCCCACCATTAGAGTGGTCCATTATGTGGTTTTCGAAATAGAAAGAAAAAGACTAATGTTCTATAATTGATTACCTACTTCCATATGAAAAGTTGAAACGCCATGGTGGAAGGATTATTCGGTGAACAATTACTTTTTTTTCATACATTTGTAACGAATATTTGAAAATGTAAATGATATAAAACATATATTTTTTCAGGTCTGGGAAGTCATGGACAAATTGGACAAACCCTAAACTAATGGGTTCCTATAGAAGCCGCCTAAGTGGACGATCTTTCACGTCTGGCAGTTATTTACCAGACTACTCGAAAAATTCACATGGATACAAGTGTTAAAATATTGTTAACTGGTTATTTCCCCCAAAAATTAAATAAGAAATTACGAATTGATCATAACTTTATCCCACTCATGCTTACACAAGGGAAATTTAGAAACAAGAGTGTAAAATTCATAGATTTATATGTTTGGTGTTGTGGTGAAGCTATATGTTTATTTATCAAAGACCATATAACTCTGTCGATGAAAACAATGTTTAATGTATGATAATTATATGACGTTTCATTGGTAGTTTGTAAACATACTGCGCAGGTTTTTGAATTATTCAGTATGTTGATTACAGCCATGTTCCAGAATTCTACAAGACTTATTCTCTGTGCTTATTGAACAAATGTGTTCTATTTATAGTTTAAATTGAATGTAAGAAGAGTCTTCTTGCACCTTTCAAAAATGGGCATATTCAAGAATTTTCTGGATCCTCCTTTGTGTATATTAATACTTTGGAATTTCCATTTAGGATTTCAATTAAGATTTAAAAGCCTTTAAAACTTAACATTTTGAAGTGATTCGTCTGTTATTATAACCAAAACATTTGAACTGTTAAAAAATATCATGCTTTAATCATTCCGGAATTATTATATCTTAATTTATGACTGTACAAAATCATTTAAAATTCGGGTTCTGTTATCATTTGTAAATTATTATTTTTATAATTTGTTTGAAGAATAAATTCTGCTATTTTTAAAAACTTTGTGACTGGTTGAACTTTCTGTTTATCGTTTGTATCGTAAAAGAAACTATAAAAGTCATAATCAGTTTCTGTGTGTTGTTATATAATAAAACTCGCGGTCAAAAGCTAGCACACTGAAACTATTTCTTGAACAATCACGTTAAATACTACTCATATAGGTGACTTTTTATACATTTAACGAGCAAAAAATTGCAATGGTCTCTCGATTCAAATTTTCGAACTCTCGAACGTACATTTATGTGCCAATATAGTCTGTAAGGAATTGCATGACTGAGTATCGAGTTCACTTCCTTACAAGCAAGGCATATAATATCTTTTACAAATCAAACCATTTGATAATATATGCCGAAATAAAAAGCACGTGCTTCTTTTACCACGAATTACATGCTTCTTCTGAATTCTATAATGTAACTTGTAACTACAAATAAAAATACTTAAGATAATTTCTTAAAGTGACAAAATTTATACTGGCACACTCGTGTTTGTGCCGGAGTGATATGGGAGTGATTCGGGAGTGACAAAGTTTATACTATACCGGAATAAATACCAGCATCGCCACCAGAGTTCAGATAACTGTTTTTTAACATGGTCAACGATTGGCTGAAAATAGGGAAAGGGAAACCCTAATATTTAACTAGATATTTAGAGATTGGATGCAAAAGTGATTTTAAAAATAACACAGCATTGTTTTTTTTAAGAAAATGAACAGTTTCCAAAATTTTCAATTGGATGTTTGCATTTTAAAATATGACAAGGAAATGCGGCGTTCAATGAACGCAACCCCCATCCGACCCAGCAACAAGAGCCAGCAGCAAGGAGCTCAGGAGGACCCCAAACAAAAACAGGTAAGGGCACAAGGCAGGGCATGGGCAGGCTAACCACTAAAATCATAAATAATAAGTTACTGATAAGGAACTAAAAGAAAACAAATAAATGATTGAATAAAAGGCCCATAAAGTCAAAGGGCACAGCTGAAGGGGACATGAGACCCGCGGATGGGTGGAGGGATAAATAAAATAAATAAAAACTAGGGGCAAAGGGAGAAGATATTTACCGTAGACGAGAAAACAACAAGGGACACAAAAGTGTCACCAAAATAGTATGAAACAACATACATCTGAGGAACACAAGAGGACGCCGCCTTAGAACGGTCAGCAGAATAAATATTGTTGGGGAGTTTAAACCGGTTAATGGTGCACCAAACCTCACTTCGAGCCCACCATGTTCCTTTAAACGAGACAGTGTAAATAAAATGAATCCCCGCAAAATGAAATTCTAACAGTTGTCATGGTTACAAAAGGTCAAATAAGTTAAGCATCGAAATGCCAGTGTAGAAACATACAAAAGAAAACCCAGTAACCATAACAAAAGTACTCAATGTCTTAAAAGAATGATCACCTACAAGGGCTCGACGAAGCAAGACAGGAGACCAACATTAAGGCAATTCAGTCCCAAAGGGCTTTAAGAACTGTCCATCATAGAGTCTCCCTATTGGTCCGTCAGATGTAATCAAAAGAGGAAAGCGAAGCGTCCAACTGTAAATGGGTTGAACACTAAGCATGCGGTATGTCTTAAAATGGTATGGTCATAAAACGTTTTATAATTTTAGTAAATACAACAGAAAATTACAAAAAATGACCAAAGATCTTACGAAGTTTGTAAACAACATACCCGTTAAAATCAGGCTGGAAGTGTTTTTAGATCACGATTGAATTTTGAAATTAATCAATGTTACGATTGTAAAAATTTAGTAAAATATTAACTTAATTTTTAATAGCGGTACCCGTGTTCGAGTAGCTTACCGGTAATGAAAATTTTTCGCTCGTTAAAATCCTTTACGTTGCTACAAGCCCAAGCAAATCTAATTAACTGAGATATAAAAACCCCATAAGATGTTGCATGCGGTACGTCTCAATCCAAATGAGGATAATGTACTATAACAAAATCAAAGTCATCTCTTTTATCATAGATTTTCGTGTGAATAGAATTGTTTTTAATAGTGATATGAAGATCAAAAAATGATGTAGTTAAATTTCAAGAATTCGTTTAATTAAGTTGTAAATATATTTTATATGAACTTCTACGATAACAGATGTCAATAAAATGATTGATTTTGTGTCTTAAGTGCAGAAAGTAAGTTTATTTTCATTTATTTTGGTACCAAATTATATCGCTTCGTGCGAATTACTATCGCTGAATGTGCAATTTTCACACAATTCAAACAATGTTCTCAAAAACCACAAACGTAGGATAATGCACTTTGTATTGTCATTTGAAGAAAATTAACGCGCATATGATACGCCAGGTTTTGTTTTGATTCATTGAACGTTTGTCACCTTAATTTAACATAATAAGGTACTTACCGGGGCTCAGCAGTCGCCATTTTCTCGTGGGTATTACTATACAAAGTCACGTGATTCCCCCCGTGTTTATTAAATGGCCTTGACAATCAAGGTTAAATTATTGAAATGTGTTTAAGTTGTTATGATTTTGTTATTTATGTACAAATTTGATTTATACTCTTCTAAACATTTATTGTGACCCAAACGGTCATGTTGAATAATTTAGATATAAACTTGACCTTAAAATCACCTTGACCTTAAAATGATCTTGAAGTTTTATTATATTTTCTTAACTTTGTCATTTACTTTTGGAAATGAATATCCGAAAACAATCGTAAATAACCTTATGTAAAAATACTCTTGTTGCAACAGACAAAACAATCAATGGGGTAATTAATCTTGAAAACTGGAACACTGTCACTGTTAGCTATATAATTATGTTCTTAAATGTACCTGTCAAGTTTCGCTAAGTAAACTAATTTTCAAAACACTAACATCTATGCAGTCGGTAGGCAATATTAAAAAATACTTGATTAATATCCAAACATACATGTTTATGAAATAATAAACATTATATCAATTGAAAACATCAATGATCATAATTATGACATTTATTGAACTGATCATAAACTGAGAGTACCTGATAAGTTCGGATAATTATTGTGTCATTTTACGATTTTGTGCATTAACTAGAAAGTGAATAAACTATTCTGTACGTTTTATTTAGAAAATAGATATCAATTCTGAGTTCATTGTTGTAGAATAATGCACGGTTTGAGTTCAAATGCGTAGTGACATAATCACGAAGGCCGATAGGCCTGAGTGATTAACTACAAAGCAATTGAACAATTATTACACAATAATGCACAAATAATTAATATCTATTTTCATTCATACACGTCAGGGAAAAATATAATAATTATGATATAGTTGGACTTTGTATTTGGTGTGGTTAAATTTGTTTTCGCCTCAATAGAAACGTTCTTTAAAGGCTGTTCCAGTGGGTTGAAAAAAAAACAACTGTCGTTAAATCTACCCGGTGTAGAAACATTTTGAGAATAACGAATTTTAAAATGTTAATGAAACTTTGTTTGTTTACTTTTTTCACTTTATGTTCTTCAAGCGAAATACCAAGTATTAATAGTGAAAATGGCGCCGTCAAGGTGTCGGTTTGAATATACACAGGGAGGTAATAAGAACGGCGAGTGCATTGATTTAGAATAATACACGCTTCCGGCCTTCTTTGTTTATATAGAAAAATTTCCGATAGTGTTAGAATAAAGAATAATCATTTACATTTTATTTCAAAATGACATGAAATACCCTTTACATTTAACTTTAGATTTGCCGGTGAGATTTTCAGATTTTAGTTTGTAATTTTAAGATGACCAATGAAAATTTTTCTTTATTTTAGTTCTTCCATGTCAATTTTTACAGGTAGTCAAACTAATTTTAGACGACATTTGGCCGAATGAGTATTATCAGTAGGATATTTCAGTGAACAGAGTCGTTTTCTGCCATATTTATTCCCCTGGAAAATCGTATCTTTAGCATAGAAAATCAACCGTAAGGACGGTTTGGAGGTCATTTCTTATAAAATTGGAAAACAAATAAGAAAGGGACATTTAAATTGTCCTAATTCAAAATTCATTTATCAATCATCAATGATAATATGAATAATAGATGTTTTTGGAAGAGAAAAGAGCTATGCAGTCTTTCTAAGGATGATATACATTATATGTTTACATCAGATATGTGCCAATGTAGTTTCTGCATAAGAAATATATATGAACAGGATCAATATAATGAAGTTACTGCCTTTATTGTTGTTTTTTTCCGGTCGAATAACGTCTATATCAAAAACTAATATATGCAATTTAACCTGTTTTACTTCGACCGAGTATCTTTTTAGCTCGAATATTCGATAAGAATAAGTAAAGCTATTGTAGTCACCCGAGCGTCGGCGTCAGCGTCGGCGTCTGTGTCGGCGTCGGCGTAACCACTTATGTTAAAGTTTTTGTAATACCTCAAATATTTTTAAAGTCCCTTGACATATGGCTTTGAAACTTTGCACACTTGATCACCATTATGACCCCAACCTGTAGACAGGAGGAGATACATTATGTAACTGTATCAAGCATTTTGACAGAAGTATGCCCCTTTTTCGACTTAGAATTTACGTTAAAGTTTTTGTAATACCTCAAATATTTTCAAAGTCCATTGACATATGGCTTTTAACTATTGCACACTTGTTCACCCTGTAAACAGGAGGAAGTAACTATATCAAGCATTTTTTTTACTATCAAGCACTAAGAATAGTCGAGCGTTGCTGTCCTACCGGCAGCTCTTGTTTCATTTGGCGATGAGTTTAAGATTAATTTATGTAGTCTTTGTTCATTAAATATATCTTTCAGATTTGAAAGCCATGCTATACATTGATTGCTCACATTTCAGGTTTAACTGGCAGAACATGATATAAGCATCATTGCCATTTTTTGATAATTGTTTTTAAGGCAAATGACTAAAATTGCTTAGATTCAAATTCAAATTTAACATAGTAATGCTAAAACAATCTTAAATTTTGTCTCGATAACATTTCGACTTTCTTCGCTCGGCACATATTTTACTCGTTAAGCCCGACAAATTTCATAAACATTTAATGAAAATATTTGTTGTGTCTGCTTCCTGTATTTAATTATTGTATGTATCATTTACGGGCAAACGTAACAATAAATTTTCCAATATGCTTTGATTCTAGAACGAATTTTAGGCTATTTATGTGCTGTCAATCACAAAAAAAAATAAAATAAAATAATACAACACATTTTTTTGCAACATTTTGAACTACCTTGATATGTCAAAGTTATATACAAAAATCTATTAGTTTTGGTTTCTGATTTATTTTAGGTTTGTTTTTAGGACCATACTATTAAATGTTTGGAGAAGAAAATTTGAAAAGCAGAGAAAATTTAGAATACTTAGTAGATGCATGCGGTCGAATGGTTAAGTAGGTTGAATTCAAAAAACTTGTTTTCTCGCCAATGTGTGTTCGAATCCGAACAGTGATTCTATCATTCGAAGAAGCTATTCAGCTAGCTGACGGAAGGTCGATGGTTCCACACAGGTGCTCGTTCGGGCCCGAAATACGGAAGTACATCTGAGGTCTTCCTCCACCAATTAAACGGAAAAGTCGCCTCACAACCTATACTACACTTGTTCAACGTAAAACCCAACCAGAAATAAATATTTAGGCTACACCCAAAATGTTACTCCGTATGTTCAAACATCTATAATCTATAGTCAGTCAATATATCATATTTGTTATTTGTTACATAACGTAACCTTAATTCAGAAAGTCTGTTAAAATTGTTTAAAGTTTGGTTAAAATTACTTATTTTAAGAAACTTAATGTGATAAGACGGTTCCATGTGGCATCCTTTTGTTACAAATATTTCAGCAGTGTAATAATTTTGTCTCAGTAATTTTATAGAATTGTTACGTAACTGGCTTTAGGTTAGTCATTTATGAATGAAAACCACATGCACATTTGTTTTCAGGATATTTGGCATACGACATTCTGGAATGCCTTGGAGAGAGGGTATTCGGCTCTACGTCCATATCATTAGTAATTGTATAAAACATCATTTAGTTATAAGATAAAAGGATTTAAAATATTAAATACTCTTAAGGTCCGATTCATGTATACGAGTAACAACATTATTACAGAAAATAAAGCAACACAACGAACTGTCTGTTTCTTAAGTCTTTTAGATAACGTCTTGTTTAAATATTTGCTTTTCCATAAGTGTAAGACGTCCTGTGATCAGCGTGCGAATACAATATTCTCCATTTACGCACAGGAAATTATTTCCATATTCTCCATCAGTGCTGCAAGAAAAATATAACAACCCTGTTTTCAGCTGCCACACAGCACTTGACAGTATAAAAATCTGGAAACAAAGTGATCCCTCGGAAGCATTAATAATGTTCACTATCCCTTGGCCAAAATTCACTTTGTTAGAGATACGATGGTGTAGTTAAATCTCAATTGTGTAGTGAGAAATTAACATGAAAAGACATTTAAGTTGCTAAATATACCAAGAGGAAAAAAACACTGAACTTGTGCATAAAAAACTCATACATGTATCCTATTTGTTAATCCCCTTCCGCAGAAGAAATGATAACCAATATGAGAGGATGTGAAGAGCACAGTAATCAAGTCACTGCCCTCAAGGTCAAGATCACTCTCAAAGATCTATTGTAAAAACATTTATTTTTCATGTCCGCTCTCAAACTAATTGACAATGCAAAGGCTTCGAAATTACTATGCTCAAATGTTCCCACCATGACCTTATCTACAGAGCGCTACATCTAGGTTGATACCTACAAGGTACATCCAGGTTGCTATCCCAAAGGCCAAGGTCGCTAAAAAATCAAATGTTAATGTCCACATTTTCCTGTCCGCTCTTTAATTTTTAAGCACTGAAAAGCTTTTAAAATTACTTTGCACATATGGTCGCCATAATGACATGATGTGTGGAGTGCAAAATACAGGACGCTACCCTCATGGTAAGTGTAGGTCACACATAGTGCAAAAGTTAAAAGTCAATAATTTTGTGTCATCTTCGTAACGTTTATACTACTAATTTAAAAATAAATTTATATTGGCACAAAGGATCCCCATCATCACCTACAGAGGGCAACAACTAGGTGGCTACCTCCAAGTCAAAGTTATAACATAACCAGCAGTCTTGTACTTCTCACCTGAATGATTTATAAAACTTGGAAACAATAAGAAATCACACGTAAAAGTCACGGTCAAGTATAATAAGTTAATCAGGACATATCTCTAAAGCTCACGTAGCAGCAATTTCGCCTAAAGCTTGATACAACCAAGTATGTAAGAAACTGAAATTACCCATGTTTACCAAGACTTGGACCTACAATTCAAACAAAATAAGAGGATCTACAAAGGTATCTACTTTTTAAATATGGAAGATGATTGGTCAATAACTGAAAACATACTTTTGTAATGAGCAAATGTGCTTATGATATGCATGTCACAACATCAAAATCATGGTTGGTTAAAGGGTAAAGAAGTACACAAGCATGTCTGCTGCGGAAGGGAATTTAGCTGTTCTTCAGACTACCTTGTTCGAAAAAGGCTTTTTCTGTCTAGTGACACATAAACGATAGCATAACCGTGCTATAATCATGCACGGAAAAGCAAATCAACCGTTGCAAATAAAAAAAACAACATTTTTCTGTAAAATAATTCTAATTTCCGTCAATATAATACACTTTTCAATATGCATTGTTACACCGCACTTTATGTTGAAACGAACTTTGGGTCCAACCCCAAAGTGCCAACCCAAAAGTGCGGTAGTCTTCACACCGCATTTTTGTGTCTAAATCGAGAAATGGACCCAAAAAGCGTTAATATGCTACATATCGCACCGAAGTTCTGAAGGTGTCAACTGCATCCTCGTACAGATTATTTTTCACTGCTTAAATGAATTATAAATTTTGTTAAAAAATAAACGAAACCACCACTTAAAATGAGAACAGAACGTTTCGTCCCTAAACCAACTCCAAGTGCAAAAGCTGTAAATGTATTTTCAATTTCATTTTATGCAACCGACAACGTTGCATTATCTTAATTTTCGAAAAACTTTCTCTTTGTAATGCCATGAATTTAATATTCAGGGACTAAGACACTTTTTAAATGTGGACAATGTTGAATATTATTACCAACATTGCCATGTTACACTTCACAACAAACAAACTTTAAACTTTTAAAGTTTAAGGAACCCATTTACATGCCAATGTCCCCAAAAATCTAAATTTTCTCACATGCAGACATATTTTTAACAGTATAATTGAATTTAAATAACTGGGTAACGATTGCGCTTCATTAAAGTGAAATGATCTAACCCAAACTAGAATTTATCAATTTATATTTGCTTTCTTTATCTCAATGAAATATGGAACCGCTGTTCTTGAAAAGAATGGAAGTCAGCAATTAGTCTTTATTTATGTTTTCAGAAGCTAAACTTCTCTTTAAAAAAAATATACATATATGTAATCCTCTTTTATTGTTATTTCAACATTTTCACGTGTCAGTACTGTCACTTGTCTGTAAAGTCAAATTTGGATACAGCATACACCGTTCCTCCTCAGAACCTCAGATGTGTTTCTGACAGATTTAACATCCTCTGTGCTTGAATTAAATTCTCTATAATTAACCATCAAAACAAATATATTTGTACCAAAAATATTATACGATGTATAATATGTATGTACAATCAAGTTAACAAAATATACTACAAAACATCTAAGAAGGAATTAGACATTAATAGCTTTAACTAATTTCCAAATGAAATCCAGCCACTATGATATCGTTTATAATCTCACCCATGTTTGATTATGACGTTCAAGAATGTTAAGCCTCAATTTCAACAGTAACTTTACCAGCATATTATAGAAATTCTTCTAGAAATGTATTATATTGTCAAATATAGTCAATTTTGAAAGTTAAATAAGCTATAATATATTTCAAACACAAATAAAGGAGTGTTAGCATGACGGTCTTAATGCCCACTTGTAAACAAAGGTAAAGTGGTTTCAATCCCTTCAATGTTTCCTCATGTAAAACTAGTGCAATAACACAAGAATGGTTCGAGCAAGCCACATGATATTTTTCACAATCAAACTTGAATGAATAGTTATAACTCTTTTGGTATCCTTAAATTATCACTTAAATATTAAAAAATTGACAAGATTCGTATTATATCACGTATTAATAAAATAAGATCATATTTTTAAAGGTAAGACATTACAAATAAGGGCGATTCGCGACACGTTCTAAAGTACCCTTCTCGAAAAATAATTATTAATTTAATTAACAATTGGATCTTTATCTGACATTTATCAATCACCTGTGCAATGAGGTACATGGAACCATTGCTTACCATAACTTAAGTAGTGTGCAACGAGGAGGCGTACAAAAGTCGATAAAATCATAAATTATTTTTCTTAATTATATAATAATCCTTATTAATTTACTTACCATTGTTTACTATAAAATTAATTTCGGCGGACTGATTAGAAACTATATAATTACTTGTACTATACAAAAGATCAACAGAAACTTTTAAACAATAACAAAATTAATTCTTAAAACAAATAACAAAAATACTAATTACAAATGTAAACAGTAGCTGAATTTTGTTAAAAATAAACTTATAATGATTCCGGAATAATTTAAGTATGATGATTATTATGAACGGTTGAATTTATTGCTAAAAATATACCAAAGTCTTTAGCTATAATCATCACGGAAAAATAAAATCATTCAAAACGTTATGTCCTAAAAGCTTTCAAATCTAAAACAAAGATTTTTAAAACGAAATGCCAAAATATCAATATACACAATGTAGGATCCAGAAAAATTCTGTTTTAAAAACCCATTAATAGAAAGATGCACGTAGACTCTTCCCAAATTCAATTTAAACTATAAATATAACTCAAACGTTCCATATTACAAACACAGTGAATAAGTCATGCAGAGTTCTGGTACATACATGTAGAAACAGGTTGTATCCAAGATACTGATTAATTCAAAAACTAGCGAAGTTAGTTTACAAACTATCAATGCATCGTCATATATCATACATAACACATTGTTTTCACCGACAGAGTGATATGGTCATTGATAAATAAATATTTAGCTTCACCACAAATGCATCAAATATATACATGTAAATCTATGACATTAACAAAATCTTTTTCTCATATTTCTTTTGTGTAAGCATGAGAGTGGGATAAAGTCATGTACATTGTTAATTTGTTATTTAATCGTTGTTTTTGGGAAAAAGTAAGTTTACAATATTTTAACACTTGTATCCATGTGAATTTTTCGAGTAGTCTGGAAAATAACTGTCAGACGTGACAGATCGTCCACTTAGGCGGCTTCTATAAGAACCATTAAGTTTAGGGTTTGGCCAATTTGTCCATGACTTCCCAAACCTGAAAAAAATGCATGTTTTATATTATTATTATTTTTTTTCAAAAGTTAGTTGAAAATGTATATAAAAATATTAAATAATTGTTCATCAAACAATCCTTTTACTTTACCATGGCGTTTCAACTTTTCATATGGAAGTAGGTAATCAATTATTAAACATTAGTCTTTTTCTTTCTATTTCGAAAAACACATATTGGCACTCTTATGATGGGTAATATAGGCCCGATTTCAAAGTGATTAATAAAAAAAATAATCTTTAAAATAGAGAAGAGACCCAATAAAATATCAAAATTCTACATTAACAAATAATTTCCTCCCTTTTCATCAATCATATTCACATCACAAATCGATCTTAGACCTTATGTTCATAATTTGTTCGAAAGTGATAACACATGTTGATGTACATACAAATGTCTATGCTCTGCACACTTTAGGTCTGATGAGAAAGACTTAAAGATATGGTTACTATATAAATACATGTATTTAATATCACCATCCCAGTCCCTCAAACGGACAGAGCCACTTTTAGATCACCGTTAGATTTTTGTAACCACCAGACGATGCTACATACCAAAAATCTTAGATCTGCAATTTTTACACAAGAATCTGTTTTTTTTTCCTATTTAAGTCTATATATTTAGTAAGTGACCCTCTTGGCGGGGCAAATATTGATCCTACATGCATGATTTGTAAAATTTGTGTAGAAGTCCACACGGCAATGTTTCATGCCATCTATCTAAAACAGAGAAAAAAAAGAAAGTCCAACACAACAAAATTGAAAATGTTGCAGGCTCGGTTTGATTGAGCCTGTTCATGAACGGTACTGGCAAGTGCAAGTTACCCTCCTAGCACCGACGTAAGCAGAATTCAACATTTAAACACGAAAATGGTGAAATCTAGAATTTACAAACATCCTCACATGTGTTCATATGTGTCATGATAATTGCAGTTTCACACTGTAAGACTTTAAAATCTTTTCTATAGTCGTCTATATATAATAAGTGACCTTCAGAGTGGCGCCAATTTTGACTTGAGGAATGCCAGAGTTGCGTTCTGAACATTGTGTATTTCTAAAAATATTTCTTTATAAAAGTGTTTATTTTCTTCAAGCTGTTAAAAAAAACAGAGCGGACACGAATCTTGAAATGCATAAACAATAAAAAAAACAGTGCCTTGTGCACCTCTACAATGGACGTAGATTTAGTCACTGTGGCACTACATGCCAACATCTAATCTCTGAGCACTGTTGTTGCCTATAAGAAAACTAACATGTATTTTCCAATATAAGTCTTTATATAATACGTAACTTGCAAGTTTATATAACTTTCGTTACGGAATAGAAATGCTACATACAGAACATCTAATACTGGCAATACTCTTTCAGAAATAAGTATCTTAAGTCATTCTTACAATGCAAGTATAAGTAAACTAGGGGGCCATTTTTGACACTAATGGCATGACTTATAAAACTTTTGTAGATGTTCACTATGCAATTCTACCTGCCAAATATCTAAGCTCAAAACAATGTTGTTTCACTAGAAAGTCTTAAATGTATTTTGCATTAAAAGTCTCAAGGAACTAAGCGCTCCGAGGCAGGACCAATTTTGACCCAGGGGTATGATTAACTAAAAATATGAAAAGCAAGATCATCAAGGAAGGACGGCGCAATGAACGCAACTTTTGAAAAAGCCCGCAAGGTGATGATCTTGATCTAAGTTGTTGGCATCGTACTTTCAGAAAAGACTTTTCTTGTTGATCTTGTTTATCATATTTTAAGATATTTTACTATACCCCAAAGGCGGTGTCATTTTTTACCCGTTGGTCATGACCTATTTTTAGTATTTGTAAATGTATACTTTGTTATTTTACATGCCAAACATCCAACTTCTCTATAAATTTCTTTCACGAAAGAAGACAATAATCTGTTTCCCTATACAAGTTTATAAAATAGTAAACGACGTGGCCATTAGTGATTGGTAAAGGGCATATACTGACACAATGACATGATTTATATAATTTTAGTTAAGAACCACAGTGTAATGTAATATGCAAACTATATGCTCTAGGCATGGTCGTTTCTGAGAAGGGGATTTTTACGATTTCCTGCATAAAGTATATTTTAGCACATGTGACCTACCTACATATCAGAATGGAACAATTTATGTAATTTTATGTAGTTTCACGCAGTAAGACATTAATGTGTTTCCTATATACGTCTCTGTATATAAAGTGACCCCAGGAGCGGGGCCACTTTTGTACAGGATCACGTTATGATCGTTGCTGTGAAGTTTGGTCAAAATCCACCGAGTGGTTAAGGAGGAGATATTGATTATTGTAAATCAATTGTGGAAAACGACTAGCGACTGAAAATGGACATGCTGTCATCTCAAAAAGTCACATATGAGCACTTTGCACTCACGTAAGCTATAGAACGATTATATGAGAGATTATCTAACAGAAAAAGGAAATATTGACTTTACCCAATCGAGTCTCTTCTCAGTCTTTGTAAATGTGGTAGCTCCTTGCCCCTGTTCCGAACTCTCCGAATAGCCAAGCAGGTAATTGTGAAAATGATTATTGGTACAAATAACACACAAACAATGACAATAATCACAATCTTCAAACCAACTGTAAATATAATAGAAAACAAAGTTACACTCCCTTTCTTCTTGATGAATATTGGTTCATTTTTATTGTTTTTCAATGGTGACTGGCAATATATAGATACTTATACAGCATTTAACTAATCTTCTTTTAATTGTTCATAGCCATCAGATGATATAAATAATTGTTTGGCAGTTAGGTACTGCATTATTTAGATCGGTACGGCATGGTTCAATTTTTGACATGTATCAGAAACTAATCTTGAATAAGAAACATATAAAATGTTCACTAATAAAAGCTATCGATCTATTTTCAATCAGATGAACATTCATAATAGTTTCATCATAAAGAAATGGATATTTTTTTTATATATAATTCTTTTCATTGTACATTTAATCAAAATTTCTATTAAAAAAAAGCATTTTTTTTTAAATAAAAAAAAACAAATGGTGCAAATTCAATATTGTTGACTTTAAAATACTCCCAATTACAAAAGACGTTAGTAACAAACTACCGAGAGTGGTGATCTAAATCCGAGTACATGTTTTCATAAAGCTACCACCATTACTCTATTCTAGATTTATTTCATCGTTAAATGATCCTCCTATTTACTCATTATTTCAAAATTGTAAACATTATTAGAACACATTTTTCAAGAAGCAAACTGTTCTTTTCTAATTTCTGCTCGTTTATATTAATGTACATATTTCATTAGATTAATATGGCTTTAATTAATAAAATTCTTACTTCCATCATCTTCATGTGTCCTAAAATAGAAAAATTTTACTGTTATAGGTGCAAATAAAATCAAACTTTTTATAACAAATAACCGTTTCTGTTGCATGATTTCGTTTACGTGCTGATACAATTAATTATCTTAATAACAAATAACATTTATTGTTACATAATTCTGTTCCAGTGCTTATGCAATCCATTTACTTAATAACAAATAACATTTACAGTTAAACAAGTCCGTGTTCGTGTTAATACAAGCAGTTGTGTTAATTACAAATCACCTTTTAATGTTACATAATTCCGTTTACGTGATAATTTTTTCAATTCTCTTAATAACAAATAACATTTACTGCAACATTATTTCGTTTATGTGCTCATGCAATCAATTCCCTTTATAACAAATAAAAATAAAATGTTATATTAAATTCCAATCAGTTCTATAAGTGGTATCCTGAATATCAAAGGACAATGTACCAGGTATTACCAATACATAGTGTTATCAATTGTGCTCGTTCGTTTTAAACAATATTGTTCTCCTTAAAAGATGCTTTTATCACATGTGAAGCAATTGATGAAAAAGACATAAAATTCTAATAATGCATATTGTAAATACACACTTACACACAGGAAAAATTTCCTCCCATTAAAGAACATTTTTGATTTTCCTGACAAGGTCCATGCAGTATTTCAAACACACTACAAAGTATTGCTTCATCCGTGCTAGTTTCGCTAGTAACTGAAAACAATAAGTTGTAAATTAAATAAATGATGCCTTAATTCGAGGAAATAATTCATCTGATGATAAAACAAGTATTTATTTTGAAAAGTTTAGGACAGAAAATTAATGTTTAACCTCAGACTATTGCATAGATCTACAGCATTTTAACGGACTTACCCGTAATAGAATTAATCTTAACAGTAATTGCAGAAACTGTTTGATTTAACACTTCTATTGACTTTTCTCCATTGAGATAAGCGATAGTTGTCTTTGTCAGATCGCTTGCAGCTGATGTTTCAATCTCATAAATAACCTCAAACTCTACTATTACACTTCCAACACTGAAAAATTAACAAGTACAATCGAAACAAGTACAATTGTTAAACAGTTAGAAGATTATGTAGTTTCTATTTATCCATTGGCTTAATAAAAATGATTTTAACAAATAAATTTATAGGGTAGCAGTTTAGCCCTCTAACCTAATCATTAAAATTTGAAAATATGTGTTTGATCTATTTTACACCTCAAGGGCGCAGCATAAAGTACAACATACCTCAATCGTAAAATAACTAGAGCCTTGAACGAATTCCCCATATTGTCTTTATATTCCTTGGTCAGCTTGATAAAATAATAATAAACAAATAACATACAACAAAATAATAGATGTACAATATCAATTTTAAATATGAAAAGTCAAAAAGTGAGGAAAAGTATATATGCCACGACATATGAGTGAAACGAAGTCAAATCGTTTTAGATTTTGTTGATTTAAAATTGTGTAAATGACACAAAACCCAGAGACATTTGTAAAGCAAGAATTTGGTTTATCAAGACAGAAAAAAATTGTTATAACAATTATTTATTTGATTTTCGTCTGGATTATTCGTATTTTTATTCGGATTATCAAAGTATCAAAATAGAAGTTATACCTGAAATGCTAAGTCAGACTTCAAATTTGGATCCGTAACATTGAATTTTGACTCAAATGGAAATCTTATAAAAATCGTAGCTCGAGCAAAATTGGCATCGTGTGACATGGTCGTTGTTGGTGTAGCTTTATAATGAAAACAAGACATATTATTTAATTCATGAATAATAAGAAAAATAAAACATAAAATGTTAAATTATTGATGACAATGCTTTCTTTCATATTTATCCTTTCTTCTGTATGTTCAACCGTGTTTCTATCTTTGCTACCAAAATAGTATGTTATATTTAAGGATAGCAAACATAAAAAACGTTCACTTTTGAAAATAATTTACCGTTTTCGCAGTCGTGACCTCATACCCGTTAAGAAATTAACATTTATAACCTTTTAATTCATCTTCACCGCTGTGTTCAAAGCCCGCAAGGTTAGCTGGATTCTATTCTGCTAGATTACGAACAGTCAATGGTTTACAATTTTATTTTCTCAAATGTAATTATTGTTCACGAAATTTTTATGCAAGACATATCATAATCTTACATAAGCATACATAAACATGGAGTTTGTATGATAACTTTCCTTAAGTTTTTCTGGAATACTTATAAATATACATGTATATAAATGCTTACCATTGTTACAATTAAATCCATCATATCCAGCAACACATGTACATTCGTATTCATTTACAAGATCCATACAGGTACCACCATTCTTGCAAGGGTTGGATGAACACTCATTTATGTCTACAACGGGACAAATATATAGAAAATACATCATGGAAAAATAAGAGTTTGAATTGATAATGTTGAAAAATCTGTAGGTTAATTAATGAATTATGTTTCTAGAGTATTTTTGAATGTTTTATTATCTTTTATTTAATTTAAGTTATGATGAATAAATTTAATACATGCCAATAACACAATGATAACTTCTTCAAATTTGCTCTTTTGACGGTTTGTTATAATGTGTTTTCTCACCATTATCACAGTTAATTCCGTCATACCCAGCAACGCATGTACATTCATATCCATTGATGAGATCTGTACACGTTCCGCTATTCTTACAGGGATTAGGTGAACAAGCATCTATATCTATGTGTGATATTATAAGAAAATAGGTAAAATAATAATAATAATAATAATAATAATAATAATAATAATAATAATAATAATAATAATAATAATAATAGACAACTAACTTGTTTGAGTGACATTATGATATATTTATGTCTATCAAATTATCATATGATAGCATCATAAAGGAAATATCTCATAACAATTATGTAAATAGTACTATATAATAACTCCAATTATTTAAAAGAAATCAGTATTCGACGAACAGATGCACTAGAAAACAATTATATTGACCTATTTATTATTCGACAGATGTAAGCTGGAAAACGTTTATGCCTATGTCCTACGTGATAATAGTTCAACCTCGGTTGGCTCGAACTACCGATCTCTCGAACAAATTTGCACAGGCCCTCTGAGTTCGAGCGAACGAAGTTCGACCGTTGTTTACAGTTATCAAATCAATATGCCAAATCAAATATATTTAAATTTTATACCATGGTCACAGGTTAATCCGTCAAATCCAGCATCACATTTACATTGGTATCTATTAACTAAATCAATACATGAACCACCATTCAAGCAAGGGTTCGAAGAGCATTCATCAATATCTATGTAGAACAGAAAAATTATCATGAACATAGCATGCAAATTAATTCGTTTAACAATATCTAAGGAAAAACTTACAATTGTTTTATTATATGTGCATGAATCTAGAAATTAAAGTAAAGATACAATTAAAAAATATAACTTCAATTTGATGATATAACTTCAGTATTTTTGAAATGATAGAAAACATACAAACATAAATAAATGCTCACCATTGTTACACTTCATTCCGTCATATCCAGGAACACATGTACATTCATATCCATTTACAAGATCCGTACAGGTACCGCCGTTCTCACAAGGATTAGAATCGCATTCATCGATATCTATGTATAAAAATACATCGATCCATACATAGTTTCTTTCTTTAAAGATTTACATCGTTTTTGAAATATTTTGCTGTAATACTTAGAAATACAAATAACAAATTTGAGAAAAAAAATTATTACCATTATCGCAATTATTTCCGTCGTATCCAGTCACACATGTGCATTCGTATCCATTGACAAGGTCCTTGCAAGTACCACCATTCTTACAAGGGTCGATTAAACAGTCATTGATATCTATGTACGGAAAAAAGCAATTTTGGAATGATAAATTTATATAAAGAATTCTTCCTTCAGGTTTATGTTGTGACATACCAAAAATGATACAATACTAAAACTTCTTACAAACTATCAGTATCTGCAGAATCTAAGACAAATTAAAAGTAATTTTATGTAATATCATGATAAAGATGGATCAAGCAAAAAAAGAAAATCGACTTGAAAGTGGAGCGGTGGTCTAGAAGTTAAGGTGTCCACCTCTCAACCAAGTAATCATTGGTTCGAGTCTTACTCGGGTCACGGCAATGTTCCCTCATATGACAATAGCAAGAAGCGGAACTGAAGTGATAAATTGCAAGAGCTTGTTTCTCAATCAAGGTTAAATAAAGACGTTTAAACAAAGCAAACGCCTGTAATACACTGATTGATTATTTGTCTTTAAAACAATGTATGTTAGGACTTTTAGAAACAATGACTTTTTAATATCAAATGTACGATACATCTGAAGGGTTCTTTGAAGGGTTTTTAGGAGAACATAAATTAATAGGGAATAGAAAATCGATCTTAATATGTCAGAGTTTTGGGCTAAAATAAAATAAGAAAAGAATTCAAAATATCTTTACGGATCTGCATGATTTAGGAACCAAATAAATTAAGAAATTTTTCCCATTAAAAAAAAAATTTTTAATAACAAATTAAACAACAATTATAACAGAAATTTACACTCACCGTTTTCACAGTGAACTCCGTCATAACCAGCAGCACATGTACATTCATACCCATTTATAATATCCTTACAGGTTCCACCATTCTTACAAGGGAAAGACATGCATTCATCGATATCTAAGTATGAAAAGACATACCTTGTAGCTCAAGTTACAGTTAAATTGCGTGATGAATAAGATTGTTTATATTCTGTCTTAACAGAAACATGCTATTGTAAAATTACAAACGTTGTTTTCTTTATCAAAAGATTTACATCGGAACTGAAATATATCGCTTTTAACTTAAGTAATACAAATAACAAATTTTGAAAAATATGTTTTAATTCATTCTTTACGTCCGCCGTTAATATATTCTTACCATTATCACAATTATTTCCGTCATATCCAGCCGCACATGTACATTCGTATCCATTTACAAGGTCGTTACAAGTACCACCATTCTTGCAAGGATCGACTGAACATTCATTGATATCTATGTACGGAGTAAAACAATTTTGGAGTAATAAATTTATAAAACGAATTCTTCCGTCAAGTTTATGTTCAGGCACATATCTTGAGAACATGCAGAAAATGATACCGTACTGAAATTTGTAACATATTACCGGTATCTACAGAATTCAAAACAAATTCAAAGTAATTTTAGATAATATAATTATGAAGATGGGAAAAGCAAAACAAACGACTGGAAAGGGAGGAGCGATGGTTTAGATGTTAAGTGTCTACCTCTCAACTCAACCAAGAAATCATGGCTTCGAGCCTTACCTGGAAATTTGGAATGATAATTTATATAACTAATTATCTCAACAGGTTTATATTGTTGCACATATCTTGAGAAAAAATAATAGCATACTAAAATTTGTTGCATGCCACCGGTATCAACCAAATTCAAAACAAAGCCAAGGGAATTTTATGTTATAAAATTAAAAACATGGGTGAAAGAAAACAAATGTCTGGAATGGATAGTGGTGGCCTTATGGTTAAGGTGTATTCCTCTAAAAACAAGAGTCATTGGATTGAACCCTACTCGAGTCAAGGCAATGTTTCATCATATGACAAAATTTTGTTTCTTGGAAATTGATTTGTTCCAAAAAAGCGGGTCTAAAAGTGATTAATAAAAGTTTCGGAATCATGCTTGAATAAAGACTGCAAGGAAACGACTGTAAAACGACCGATTGCTCAGCCGTCTTTTAAATATTGAGAATACTTAGTAATTAATAGTACTATAAGAAACGTATGTACAATCATATAAATTGACATTGAAATTAGAAAAATCTGCACATGTGCCATATTAAATCATAGTCTTTAATAATATGTTCGCCTGGAATTTAAAATAATTAAGATTTTGAATTAGATGAATACATATATTTTTTTATTAAGTGCATCTGAATTGGTAAATCGATATTATATTTTAGGAAGCCATATATCCAAATTAATCAAATTGTCATTTAATAGAAATGACAACTATAAAATATATCAACAACAATAATGATAGAACTATACCCTCACCGTTGTCACAGTGAACTCCGTCATATCCAGCAACACATGTACATTCATATCCATTGATAAGATCCTTACATGTACCACCATTCTTACAAGGGTTAGACAGGCATTCATCTATATCTATTTATGGAAAGACATACCTCGTGACTCAAGTTATAGTTACAATTTCGCAATAACAATAAAACATTTTTGGAATTTCGTTTGTATTTAAACATTTCTTGAGTTAAATAACATAAATTGTTTTCTTTCCTCAAAGATTCACATCTTTTTACACACAGTAATTTAAACAATTATAGGTAAACTTCATCGAATTTAAAAAATGCAAGTTCAAATAAGATCGTAAACTGACAAAATGTTTCAAGTTTTACAGCTTATCTCTAATATTTCGCTTTATACGTTGATTAAGAAATACAAATTGTAATTTTAAAAAAGAATTGTTTACATTTGTTTTTTACATCAGCGACAAATTAAAACTTATTTTTACCATTATCACAATTATTTCCATCATATCCAGCAGCACATATACATTGGTATCCATTTACAAGGTCTTTACATGTACCACTATTCTTGCAAGGGTTGGATAAACATTCATTGATATCTATGTACAGAAAAAGCTGACTTTGATTATCGTAAGAACTGTAAAAACATGTACTTTCATATCGAATTACATTATTGTATATGCCTGTGTTTTGAATGGTCTTGAAGAAAATTAAGTAACATTGGAATGAGAAAGATCTCTACATGCATCTTATTAAGTCATGCACTTTAATAATATGTTTGCCTAGTGTTCAAATTGATTAAGATTTGAATACATTTTATTTTGTTCTAGTGGCTCTGATCAGTGATGAAATGGTTTAGGACGTCGAATATCAAATTAAACAAATTGTCACTTTAATAAATTAATACAGATGATAAATATACAATGTTATAACTAAAATTTTGATAAAAGTATACCCCTATCACAGTTCTTTTCGTCATATCCCTCAACACATGTACATTCGTATCCATTTACAAGGTCGATACAGGAACCACCATTTTTGCAAGGATTGCTTGAACATTCATTGACATCTATGTACGAGGAAAAAACAATTTTAGATAATTAACTTTTATTGATTATTATTGATTAACACGTTATACGCAAGAAAACGAATCAAACACCGGCTGTCGTAACGGACTGGAATATCTAGCTATCGGGTAACTTTTAAGCACGTTAGGGCCTCGTTACCTCGGTAGACTGCTATCCTAGATATTCTGTTATGTATCGAAGATTCTTATATTATAACAAAATATTGATGAAAGTATGCCCTTACCGTTGTCACAATTAATTCCGTCGTACCCAGCAACACATGAACATTCAAAACCATTTATAAGATCCTTACAGGTGCCATCATTCCTACAAGGGTTAGGAGTGCATTCATCTATATCTACGAATGAAAAGAAATAATCAAAAGTTATAGTTAAAATTGTATTATTTGAAGAAAAACATAAATTTCTTTTTCTGAAATGTTTTACTTTTGAACATACATGTGTTTCTTTTATTTCTAAAGTATTTCATTCATTCTTCAAACGTTTTGTAGGACAGTTAACGTATGGTTGTAAACTGAAAAACAAATGCTACAAACGTTACAGCGTATCTGATGTATATGTCACTTTAAACGTTGATACCAAGAAATACAATTATATTTTCATGATGAAGTGACAACAAAAACAAATGTATTTTGTTTACTAGTATTGCATGTCGTTCCGTTATATCCAGCAGCACATGTGCAACTAAATTTATTGACATCATCGGTACAAATGCCGCCATTCTTGCATGGATTCGATAAACATTCGTTGATATCTGAGAAATTTAAAGTTGTCATTTTTCTTGAAAGGAATATGCTTTAAACATCAATAATTTGCCACCGTTATTGAAACTAAGAAAGGAAGCAAGCCTAACAGAATTCAATTTTTTTCAGCCGGTCACAATACAATTCTACGTTGGTGCAGAGCTAAGATTTTTCTAACGTCAAATAATAAACGAGAGATTTTGAAAAGTAAATCTTCCCATTAAAGATTGAATTGCACATTAATTATGATAAAAATGTTAAAAAATTATAATGATTATTATTATAATATTATACATGAAAATTGATAATAAAGTGTGCGTCCTGTAAAAATTTTCAAATCGTTTCAATTCATTGACTTAGTATAAATTAGTTGTAATTAATATTAAGTTAGGCTCACCGTTTTCACAGTTTTGTCCTTCATATCCAGCAACACATGTACATTCATACTTATTGACAAGATCCTTACAGCTACCACCATTCTTGCAAGGGTCGGGAAAGCATTCATCTATATCTGTTTTTTAAAAACTTAACGTATATTCTTCATAAATTTGCGTTTTTATCTTATGATTAATTTAATATTATGGTTTTCATCTGCTCAAAACAAAAAGGGTTTGAAAAGATAATCAGATGTACGAACTTAAGTTAATATCATTATATTTTGCAAAAGGTTTTATCAGTTGGTATTATGTTAACATTTTAAAAGCATGGGATACCCTTGAACGACTTTATTACAAATGCAAGACATAAAATTCCACTGACATTTAATTATCTTTCTTTTAATATAGATTTTGTTTTGTTGTTATTTGTGTGATTGGATGTTTTGTGTACGAAGAATATATAAAATAACTTAAATTACAAATATATATAAACTGTGCACGCCCTTTGAGATTAAAAGGTCCAAGTTTTGATTCCATTATGGATTCTTCAAATTTCTTTGATCACAATTAACACTTTTAATATAAAATATTTTTACATTGTATGTTTTGAAAATAACAAGTATGTAGCATATTTTGTGATTTTTTTTATTAAAGAGATCGAGCGTTCTTGCATCACACTCACATTTATTTTTACTGACAAAATCCGAGCAAGCAACACCATTAATGCAGGGATTAAGAAAGCATTCGTTGATATGTAATCAAAATTGTTGTACCTATGCTTAATTTATTTGTCATTATTTGTACATCAAAACGAAAATTAAGAACTTAGAACAGAATTCTAGTCTAAATATGCTGACAACAAACCATTAAGGGTCATAATCTGAATGCTAATTGAAATTGCTTTTTTATGTTTATTTGTTTTATCTATGCCTCAAAGGAAACAACAATTCCAGCCCGTTGCTATAAATTCATGTAATATAGCGTCAAATTAAGTATTTCGTGTTTTGTTTATTGCAAATTAAAACCTTGTCTTTTTCTCAGTTCCTTAAAATGTCATTTTAAAGAAGTTAGTAACCGGTAAACGTATTGAATGAGTTTCAAGCACGTGGGCGGAGCTACTGGGTGGAATTTCATGTAAGCTTTTGAGTTTTTAAAGTACCAATTTGTTTTGCCCTTAATAGGACAGCAATCTATAGAAATACAGATGTCTAGTAAAAGTTCTTTACACTTACCAATTTCACAGTTAGTGCCATCATATCCTTGCACACATGTACATTCGTATCCATTTACAAAATCTCTACAACTACCACCATTCATGCATGGGCTTTTTGAACATTCGTTGATATCTGTAATATGATATATAAGTGTATGTAAATTAAGATGTCACAATGCGCTGATCCCTATCATTACTATTATAGGATTGAATATTTGTTTCATTGGTCTAGATCGCCACGTTTCTTTGCTTCAAAAAGGCCGATTGTTTTGTGTCCAAAATACATGCAGAGTTGTATTGTTCTAGATGCGATTGCACCTTGAAATGCTTGAAAGGCTAAATTAAACGGTCTTATATGTTTTAATTGTTATTCTTAAACGTGAAAATCCCACCTATTTCACAGTTGGTACCCTCAAATCCATCAATACAATGGCATATCCTCCCATTTACTTTATCCTCACACGTTCCTTTATTCTCACACGGGTTACTTAGGCATTCGTTGACATCTTTAAAATAAAAGATTGTGAGAAATAAACACTATTCCATAATTATAATTGTCTGCAATAATGATAATAATTAATTAAGCAATGAAACTTAAGAAAATTACCAACACTTGGCGAGAATGCGGGGCTCTGTCATATACTTACGAATTATAACGACTAAATTATGTTTAATTACAGTTAAAGATTAAAAGAAATAAATTATGTATGCCAGGAATCAGTAACTATAGCAAACATTTACCATACATGTATATTGACTTCTTATCATATGATGACCAACTCTGGTACTTTTCATTGATAGCAAGATTAAAGGCACATTATGCCTTAGAAACGAATAGATTTATACTTCTTAAAAAGGAATAACATTGACTGTACTTGTTTAATTTGATATTTTACAATACGATAGCGAAGACATTAACATAAAATGATTTAGTTATAGTGTAAAATAGTTCTAAGGGGAAATAAATACGCGAACGATTTTAGAAAAAACAAAACAACAAAAAAAAAAAAACAATAAAAAAAAAACAACGTGAAACTAAGACAACTCAAATTTAAAACATTCTACAGTATCCTATCCAATTTTATTTTACATGTAACATATTACAACACTATTTTTAATATTCAAATTGAAAATAAAATAAAAAGGTGTACATGAAAGATGAACTTGATATCTATATATATATCACATATATGTATGTGTTGATCATTTATAAAGACGCACCTGTTGAACAATTAACGCCAAAATATCCTTCTGCACAAATGCATGTGTATCCATTATCTCGATCTTCACAGCTTCCACCATTTTGGCAGGGGTCGGGATTACATTCATCCAAATCTAAGAAATATTATTTGTTCATTAAGTATTTGTCTGAGACATAACTACCACATTGGATTCTAAACTGAGGACATATTTGAAATTCCTGTGCTATGTAATGTAATGTCTGACTAATTTATAATACATAAATGCTAAAACAGTTAAGGACTGCTATAACAGAAATATCTTGCAAAATTTGTAAATCGTCATAGAAGAGTAAAGTGAACCTGTTCAGTCGTCATTCACAGTTAAATGTTACAGATTCAAAATAAATCTACACGTACTTATTTCACATTGTTCTCCCTTAAAACCAGGTGAACACTCGCAGGTAAACATATTTATTCCGTCTTTACATATTCCGTTGTTTTCACATGGACTCGATGAACATTCGTCAATATCTACAAATGTTTAAGTACACTTGTTGCTAAAATGTTTCTTACAAATGTTTGGTGATATATAATCTGTAGGACTTCACTGTTATGTTTTTAATTTGCTGTTTACTCTATGCTAATGTACTTTTCTTAATCACGTTTCGTAATTGTTGACTTCACACTACTTGTTTCTTACCGCTCTTACCGCTATGGGTTCGAATCCAACCAGGGACCTTGAATTCTTCCTGTTAAGAACCTATCAAAATTGTTTACTGAGCGTCGGTGGTTTATCTCAGGTGCCCGTTCGTGCCTGAATAATGTCTTCCTTCTTGAAACAAGAGGGCCATGATGGCCCTGGATCGCTCCCTGACCCATCAATCACATCCAAACAATGTCTTAGACAAGCATCCTGGCCAAGTTTGATGACAATTGAGTCAAAAATGTGACCTCTAGTGTGTTAAAAGGGTTTTCCATATTTGGGCAATGTGACCTAATTTTTGACTGGAGACGACCCATATTCAAACTTGACCTAGAAATCATCAAAACAACCTTCCTGACAAATTTCCAGATATTTGGATCAAAACTGCAGCCATTACAGTGTTATAAAGATTTTCTATTTTTAGCTCCTGTGACCTAGTTTTTGACCGGAGATGACCCATCTTCGAAATTGACATTGAAATCATCAAAAACGACCTTCCTGACAAATTTCCAGAATATTTGGATCAAACCTGCAGCCACTAGAGTTTTAACAAGCTTTTTCTATTTTTAGCTCCTGTGACCTAGTTTTTGACCGGAGATGACCCATCTTTGAAATTGACCTAGAAATCATCAAAACAATCGTCCTGACAAATTTCAAGAATATCTGGATTAAAACTGCAGCCACTAGAATGTTAACACGCTTTTTCTTTTTTTAGCTACAATGACTTAGTTTTTGACCGAAAATAACCCATCTTCGAACTTGATCTAGAAATTATCAAAACAACCTTCCTGACAAATTTCCAGAATATTTGGATCAAACTGCAGCTACTAGAGTGTTAACAAACTTTTACTATTTTTAGCTCCTATGACATAGTTTTTGACCGGAGATGATCCATCTTCGAACTTGATCTAGAAATCATTGAAACAACCTTCCTGACAAATTTCTAGAATATTTGGATCAAAACTGCAGCCACTAGAGTGTTAACAAGCTTTTCTATTTTTAGCTCCTGTGAACTTGTTTTTGACCGGAGATAACCCATCATCGAACTTGACCTAGAAATCAATAAAACAACCTTCCGAACAAAACTGCAGCCACTAGAGTGTTAACAAGCTTTTTCTATTTTTAGCTCCTGTGACCTAGTTTTTGACTCGAGATAACCCATCTTCGAACTCGATCTGTATTTCATTAAGACAAACATTCTGACAAAGTTTGACAATGATCCAATCAAAACTGTGACTGCTAGACTGTTAACAACCCAATTGTTGACGACGCACCACGCACGACGACGGACGCCGGACATAGCCCCATCACTGTACCTCACCTTGACCACTTCGTGGTTAGGTGAGCTAAAACAAAACAAAGCCGCCATATGTCCCCACTACTGTGTTGTTTGACTTAATACTAAATGAACAAACAAAAATTCATATGAATAAACCTTTATTGATTTTGTAGCGAAATATGATCTTGAAACCTGGTAAGTTCATTTTATACTTACCATTGCCACAGTTGATGTCGTTATATCCAGCAATACATGTACATTCATATCCATTGACAAGGTCATTACATGTCCCGCCATTTGCACATGGATTTGAAGAACATTCATTGATATCTGTAAATCGTGTAAAGTTTCATTAATTTGTTAGTACAATATAGTTTTATTCATTTTCCCCCGTATGTAAATGTTTATTACAAAATATAATGAAATTAGAAATAAATATTATTAACCAATGTTTAAACCACTGTATTCAAAATTGTAATTGTGTGTAAGCAATGTATGAATTCCTTCTCTTAACTTTCTAAATCAACTGAAATTAAACAAAAACAATAATTTGTATAGAAATCATCGGTAAAGATCTGCATTTGCAAATGTTTAATATTATCAACAAATCATAATCAATATCAAATGTAATGTCTTACCGTTGTCACAATTTGTTCCTTCATATCCAGCAGCACATGTACACTCATATCCATTTACAAGATCCTTACAGGTACCGCCATTTTTACAAGGAACTGGCAAGCATTCATTGATATCTAAGAAGCAATGAAAAAATATTTGAATTTATCTAGAAACTGAATTACATTTGTTTAATTTGAATTATGAAAACCAACTATTCTTTGAATCTTTGATTGAATCTGTGTCACATGAAAGAACTGACCGTTTAATTTATGATTATAAGACAGAAATGTTTATTTACGAGAAAACATAAATCAAGATTAATAAACATATGCTTCTAAATCTGAAAGACATTTCGTACATTTAATCTCCTTAACAAACTGGTTAACATATAACCGATGCACTTATAATTCAAATTAAAGACTTTTAAGTCTTAAATTATATATTTTTTATAATCTTGTATTTTTATTCTTAACTGGAGTTGGATATAATTCTTCATTTTTAATGCTATTAAATTTATAGACTTTATCAATAGTTTGCTTGTACAAAATTAAAAGTAATGACATTGTCCATACTATTTTCACAGTTTGTTCCGTTATATCCTGTAACACATATACATTCGTATCCATTGATAAGATCTTCGCAAGAACCTCCATTCAAGCAAGGGTCCGAAGAGCACTCATTTATGTCTACACATTGTAACACAAACAAACAACAAAATTAAGATGGCATCAAAGAAGATCAACAAGAACTAGTTGTATCAATTGCATAATTTAATAAAGATTGTATATTTAGTCATATTAGTCACAATCAAATCTGGAAACAAAGTGATCATTCGAAAGCATTAGAAGCATTTATCACAACAGCATTAAATGAAAATTGCAGATTCTGTTCGATTGCGTTTTTACATGAGGGATAATGAATAAGTGCAACATCCCTCCGCCCCTAGCACCAGATTGAGCGGTACTCAATTTTCAACACTAAATAGTGCTGGCATCAATGATCCAGAAGGACCAGAAAATATAACAACACTGATGTGAAGTACGGGGCAAATTGACAGCACTTGACACCTGCTCTTGTGAAGTATAAAAATATCGAAACAAAGTCATCCTTCGGAAGCATTTATCACAACAAATTAATGTGAAAATTGCAGACTCGATTTGATTGAGTCTGTACATGAGGGATAATGAATTAGTGCAACATCCCCCACGCCCCCTAAACACCGGCTTGAAAGTTACTCAATTCTCAACACTTGATAGTGCTGGCATCAATTATCCCGAAAGACCTTTAAAGATTCTTTATTTCTCACTATTTTATTATGATCATACAAAACTAGAGATGTCAGAATAATAAAACTGCCCTTGTTGATCCACAAAGCACACACACCTACATGTATATAGTAAAAAGTTAGATAACTGAACAGTTTTTAACAAGTCTAGTTTATGGTATTTTATGGTATTTTAAAATGAATGACATTCTGTACAAGATAAAGGTGATCCTGAAGTCCATGAAGATATTTGATGATTTGGATAAAAGTCGCACCATCACAGGATAGGTCATATCACGACCTTCCAGCTTTACTGGTGAAGAAAAACCTAAGGTGCCTGTCTGTTCACTCTTTCGGGCACAAGCGCGCACCTGAGTAGAACCACCGGAGTTCCGCAACCTAGCTGGATAAGACAGTCAATGAAGTATGTACTTTTTGTGTCAAAAGCCTATCTGATTCATAATTTTTGTTATCATCTTCTCTTATAAGATGTTCTTTTATCAACATTAAAACCATAAAAAAATATTAACTATCTGTATAATTCGTGTATATAATAAAAAGTATTAATACCTTTAATACTTACTGTATTCACAATTAGTCCCATCATATCCTGCAGCACATGTACATTCGAATTTATTAACAAGATCCCTACAGGTAGCACCATTCATGCAAGGGTCAGATGAACACTCATCGATATCTTCAAGTTTTAAAATAAAATGATAATAATTAATAATCTGCTTGAAGAATGTTAAAACGTATTCATTTCCGTGCTACTTAATTGTATAAGTGATATCAAATATTATAACACACAGTCATTTAAAATCGATACTTTTGAAAGCATTGGTGTATTGAGTATTGATAATAATTCATTGATATCATTTAAGTACATATTTTCAAGTCTATTAATTTGTACTGTATTAACACAATACATTTCAATTGATTTATATATCGGGTGTAAATGTTTACTATAAAAGTGTAAAAAATCAATGCAATTAGAAATTAGCAATTAGTTAACTCACTATATTATTCCATTGTTTTAATCAGTAGTTTGTGTATTGTAGACGTTGGCTATTGAATTATCTCTCAGAAATAAACTCGATAAAACCGAGTCTGCAGTGTTCATTTTTTGTTTTGTTTCATCATCCCCTTCGCAAATTTTACTTTACTAAATTTTAATACTTGTACAGCGGAAACAAGGGGGTAAAACTCATGTTACATATGTTGCATTATCTGTCATAGCTGGACGAAACAAAATTCGATTCTGCAATATTTACTTTTTAAATTTGGTTTAAATTGCTTTCTAAGGAACCCCGCTTTTCCAGAGTTTTATTACAATATTCAAACTATAACAATGGTAGGTTTATTTGTTACAATACGTATAATAAAAAAAATCAAGACATACTATTATCACAAATAGCCCCATCATATCCAGCTGCACATGTACATTCGTATCCATTTACAAGATCCCTACATGTGCCACCATTCTTGCAAGGGTCCGAAAAGCACTCATTAATATCTACACATTATAAAATAAAAAACTAATAAATAATCTGAATGAAGTATGTTATTCCGTCTTCATTGATTTAATCATAGTTTGTTACTGTAAAATAGCATAAAATATGAATTATTTTTTATCACAAAAATATTTAACCCATTACCTCATAAGTATTTTGTGAAAAATGGCTGTTTTCATTGAAAAGTCTAAAACTATAAAAACTGCTTCACTACTAATCAACCTTGGCACGTATGTTGACTGGGCCATTGCCTTTGTAACAACATGTTCAGGCTTAAATTTCCTGTTACCATGGCAACTAGGGGACATCTCAAAATTGCCAAAAATCACTATTTTGCGTTGATTATTTCCATCAAAATTGATTTCAAAGTGCTGCAACTTCTCAATGGATTGAGATACAGACAAATGTTTTTCAGCGTTGGTAACATGTTACCTTATGATCGATCTTGGGTCATTTATAGTCTCTCACAAGTCCAAAATTTTCCTGGCAATGAGGGGGACTACCGCCCCCTTCAAACCCCCAAAACATTGGTTGGGGGCCGCGCCGAAAAAGTGGTCATTTTTTTAACAACATTTCTCAAATGAAAACATGTGTTTGGGGCCCAAACAGGACATTTTTTCACTATTTGAGACCTAAAAAAGGGGGGTGGTCTAAAGCGCGTTTTTTCGCGTATATATGAGGTAAAGGGTTAAGGACTATTATATGAACTGCATTGATGTATTATCGCCATATTGTTTATTTATAGGAATATGGTAGGTCTTCGTGGCCGGGTTGTAAAAATCGTTGACTTCAAACCACTTGTTTTTCAGTTGTGGGTTCGAATCCTGTCATGGACTTTTGATTCTTTCATGCTTTATAAAAAAACATCTTCATTGAGTTTTAAGCGAAATGTGTCTGCATTTTCTATTCCAACTGACCGCAAATTATAACCAATATCCCAAATTTTTATTAGTAGTGTTTAATAAGTTACATGTAACGCCTTACTGTTATCACAATTTATTTCGTTATAACCAGCAGCACATGTACATTCATATACATTTATAAGATCCTCACAAGTACAGTCACTGTTACAAGGATCTGACAAACACTCATTGATATTTGATAAGTAATGTAAAAAACAATAGTTAGTAGAAGATAATCAGGACAATAGTTTCCTTTTGTTTAATATGAAAAAATAAAAGACAATCATTCGTTGTTTCTTTGAGATGTGTTTAACTCTAATAGTGCAGAAAGCTTAGCTAATTATTTTAAGAAAGTATTCATTTTGCTGATTCATTAATGGAATTGCAATTATAATTGAACGGAACGTGTTTTTTAAAGCCATTATTTAAATTTTGGTATGTTCTTGTATTTTTGTTCTGGATTGTTGTTTGTGCCAAATCCTTTATATTAATATTACTTAATTAACAGCTAAAATTAACATTCAGTTTATCTATACACATATAATTGTAATAAAATTGTCATTCTTAAAAATCTTTTCTCAGTTCTTTTTTCCGACAAATCCTGCAAAACATGTACATTTGTATCTATCAGCAAGTTCTTTGCACGATTCACTATTCAAGGAAGGGTCCAGATACCACTCATTTATGTCTGCACATTGTAACACAAATATACAGCAATATATGGAAGTAGATCCACAAGTATGTTACAATCAATACCTTTTACTTCAATGAAACTAAACTACAGATGTCTGAATGATACAACTGTGCCGTTGATGTACAATAAAATGACAAAGTATATACGCAACGAGTAAGATAATGAAATTACCTTTTTTGAAAGATCAAGGTGATCCTGAAGTCAATGAAGTATGATAAGAACTGTTGGTGTCAAGGGCTAATGCTATTTATGATTGGCGACAATAGGTAAAAGTATATGTACTTTCTACTATTTTGTTGTTAGTGTTATATTTCTTGTAACATATTACAAATAGAATATGTAATGAATTATTTATATCATTTCGATTACATCCAATGTGATAACATTAAATGATACATCTCCAAACAATTCAAAAAATATTATCAGACATTTCTACAAAATTATTACTATTTACGAATTAACATGGAGATTAAAAAATATCTGACACATTCTACACATTTTTAGATTCAAGCTAAAATATTGTTATTTCAGAACATTTTAAACACAGATTTTATAACTTAATTAGCTCAAAGTGTAATCATTGTTTCATGTCATCTATATCTTAAATTTTAGTTTTTCAAGTTCTGTAGACTAAAAACACATTTGGAGGCTTACTTAATGACACTATCTCTACTTATTTACATTCTGCAATATCCTAATATCTGCCTTTAAATGTATTTATCACATGACTCTGACAAATATTCAACCTTTGTCTTGTGTGTCGTGAAAGCGATTTTTTACCCGCAACGGCAGATGTCAAGGGCAGTGTTGAGCTGTAAGAAGTTGCAAGTACTCCAAAACAGTGATAAATGTTTTCTGGATTTATCGAATCTTATTCTGTTTTGAGTAAAATAGAATTACGTTCAAGCCGGTGTTGACAGGTGTGAGAGATGTTGCATATATCATTGTCTTATTTGAACAGATTATAGATTTAATTAACCAAATCTGCAAGTGTCCACATTTAACTTTGTTTGCATTGCTATTAGATTTTATAATATTGAAATTAAATAATGCTAAAGATAGTGCTGAATATGTAAGAAATTTTGCATTTGCGATTTTATCAACAAACTCAATATTTGCTTTTTTTTATTTTTGTTTCAATTACTTTTAGGGATCTGTTATTTTCCGCATTTTCTTTTTACAACATCGAACTATAATAAGATTAAGTTTATGTATATGATATTATGAATCAAGACTTACTGTTATTGCAAGTAGTCCCATCATATCCCGCAGCACACGTACATTCGAACTTATTAACAAGATCCCTACAGGTAGCACCATTCTTGCAAGGATCAGATGAACACTCGTCGATATCTTCAAGTTTTGAAATATCGAAATAACACATAGTATGCTTAAGTATATATACCCAGTATTCATTTCATTTGATAAAATAGTATGATACATAATAACAAATATTAAATAACAAACTCGTTAAAGATTTATGCCAATAATGGTATTGATGTATTTTTGTCACATCATGAATTTCTAAGGATACACATCTATTGAGTTTTAAGTTGAATATTTAAATGAACCATTTGGTCAAACATTCAGGTAAAGTAAGGTGATAACATTATTATATCATTACCTTTGTCACAATGAATGCCGTCATATCCAGCATCACATTTACATTCATATCCGTCGACAAGATCTTTACATGTTCCACTATTTTCACACGGATTCGAAGAACATTCATTGATGTCTGTATATTGATATCATGACATCAAAATATTGTATAACCATATACGTACAACTCAAATGATATAATTTTAATTCACCAATCTGTCTTACACTAATCATTCACCATGAAAAAATAATACTTTAATTGTTAACAACAATTATTGTGGCTACAATAAATTTTACTGGGCTATAGAATCAGGTCGTACCGGTGAATACTTTCTTAACTTTCATACCATATTTGTCAAGAGTGGAGAGTTTCTCAAATAAATGAGAAAAATTAAAAACAAAGGGAAAGGCGACGCTCGCAGGCACTGCCTGACAAGGAGGCAAGTAATTTCTTAAACTACTTACAAAGCCTAAGTGATAAAAAAAGTGATATCAAGATTGGCGAAAAATTAATTTCATATTACATGTAGTTCCTTAAGCAATTATACATAATAAGATCAGAATAATGTCTTACTGTTATCACAATTCATTCCGTCATATCCAGCAGCACATGTACATTCGTATTCAATTACAAGGTCTTTACAGGTACCGCCATTCTTGCATGGATTTGGGGAGCACTCGTTTATGTCTATATATGTAGGGAAGAAAAGTCATTTGTATTTCTCGTTTATAGTAACTCACTGTATTGTAAAAAGTTAATAGTCTGGTCAAAAATAAGATTTTCCAAGCTGTTCCTTTTTATGAAGTAAATACAAAATCTTTCTGATTTTGTGCTTGACATACTTTTTATTTCTAAAAAAAGATAAATACAGAATCCCTAAAAAAAGCCCAACACGGCAAAATTGAAAATGTTGCAGGCTCGGTTTGATTGAGCCTATTCATGGACGGTACTGGAAAGTGCAAGTTACCGTCCACGCCCGTAGCATCGGCTTAAGCAGAATTCAACATTTAAACATGAAATAGTAAAATTTTGAATTTAGAAACATCCGCAGATGTGTTCATACGGCGGTTATCATGGAACCTTCAATGTGACACTTCCGTGCCATTCCATGAAAAGCGGCGTATGGTCCCCAAGTAATAAAAAGCGTGTGCCCTAAACGAGAAAACAATGGGCGGAACTAAATAAAATGGAATTTTGAAAGGGGATCAGAGGTTATGAAGCCTGAATATCACAGATAAGACGTCAAAAGACAAATTTAAAAAGAAGGCAACATATCCTAAGGGTGATTCAACATTATTCAAGTAGGAATATTGGAACCACCCACCTAGAAAATGCCGAAAAGTTGAAACTTAAAATACCACAAGCACAACAATAATGTCGTGCTGAACGATCTTCAAGGATCGTAAATATAACATCATTGATTAAATGTACGTGGAGACTTTTTACAGCTGCCACACGGCACAAATAACACGGATGTGATCATAAAAAAGATAAATACAGAATCCCTAAAGAAAGCCCAACACGGCAAAATTGAAAATGTTGCAGGCTCGGTTTGATTGAGCCTATTCATGGACGATACTGGAAAGTGCAAGTTACCGTCCACGCCCCCTAGCACCGACTTAAGCAGAATTCAACATTTAAACAAGAAATAGTAAAATTTTGAATTTAGAAACATCCGCAGATGTGTTCATACGGCGGTTATCATGGAACCTTCAATGTGACACTTCCGTGCCATTCCATGAAAAGCGGCGTATGGTCCCCAAGTAATAAAAAGCGTGTGCCCTAAACGAGAAAACAATGGGCGGAACTAAATAAAATGGAATTTTGAAAGGGGATCAGACGTTATGAAGCCTGCATATCACAGATAAGACGTCAAAAGACAAATTTAAAAAGCAAGCAAGATATCCTAAGGGTGATTCAACATTATTCAAGTAGGAATATTGGAACCACACATAAAACTATTATGTGCACCATGCCATTATGCTACACTTTATAAAGTTCTTTAACATTTCAAACTTTAACAATTACAAAATTGCTTTGATTAAAAAAATACAACAAACACATGTCACCTTTTTCACAGTCGGTTCCGTTATATCCAGCAACACATGTGCATTTATATTCATTAACAAGATCCGTACAGGTACCTCCATTTTTGCATGGATCTGGCGAGCAGTCATTGATATCTTAGATTTGAAAAAATAAATCAAACATTTTCCATTTCTATGTTGCAACTGTATTTTTTATGTTGGTATAGAATAATGTCATTTCACTTTGAAAAAATAAACAAGTCATCAAGTTACCATTTGAATGTTTGACTGTTTCGTTTTATTTAATGTTGTGACGAAAAAAAAAAACAAAACAAAAAACACCAAAAATAAAAACAACAACATTTATTTCTGTTGACTTTATATTTCTTATTTCTTATGAATCCTTGAATGTATAAGGATAGACGCTGCCAAATGAAAAGATTACTTTGTCTAAGTTCAGGATAATTTCTTACTGTTAGCACAGTTCTTTCCGTCATATCCAGTAACACATGTACATTCATATTAATTAACAAGATCCTTACAGATACCGCCATTCTTGCAATGGCAGGAAGAACAATTATTTATATCTACATATTGAAATAGAGATTTAAAGTAAAATGTGCAAATAATGACTACTTTTTTGTATGCATAAAAATCTTATATTATCAAATATTGTTAAATTTGTCAAGTATAAAAAAGAATTCGCATGTTTGGGTGATGATGTAAGTATCAAACTTAAAATACATTATTACTCTATCACTCTTCAATTAATTATAAAGTGAAACTTTATTTTTGACATATTAGAAATGATACTATCTATTTTTGTATAACATAACAATATACTTTAACATGTTACCATTGTCGCAGTTCGTTCCATCATAGCCCACAACACATGTACATTGATATCCATTTACAAGATCCTTACAGGTACCACCATTTTTGCAAGGGTCTGATAAGCATTCATTGATATCTGAGACGAAATATCAAGAGTTAGTTTATATTTCCAAAATAAGGTAAAACATTTGTTTGTTTGTCGCCTCTACGGAGTAGTGGCGACAATCACTTCTCCGTTGTCTGTCTGTCCGTCTGTCTGTCCATCTGACCGTCCGTCACAAAACTTGTCCGGACTACTCCTCGTAAACTACTGGTGCAATTTCATCCAAACTTTACAGGAATGATCAGTACCAAGTCTAGTTGTGCAATGTCTGTCTGTCTAATCTGTACGTCTGTCACAAAACTTGTCCCCACTACTCCTCATAAACTACTGGGGCAATTTCATCCTAACTTTACAGTAATTTATGTCGCCCCTACTCCGATCACTTCCCCGTCTGTCCAACATGAAATTGGCCATCATGAGGCGACACATGTGATCACTGATCGCTCTTGTTTAGAATGTGGTTAGAAAATAATTCCTTGTTTTTCTTAAACTCTCTCATTCCTCACTCCAGCAATAAGCCAGAAACCATTTTTCTATTTATTTAGTACCAATTACCTTGACCTTGTAACTAGGAAACCGAAAAGCAAATCTGGAAAAGGTCGTAACATCAGCTGGCTATATGTCAATTTTGATTACAATATCCCATTCCTAACTTTGGTATCGACTGGAAACCGTTAAAAAGTAAACTAGTCATCAAGTTACCCATTGTCTGTTTTACTGTTCCGTTTTAAATAATGTTGTTACGAAAAAAAAAAAAAAAAAAAAATAAGAACAAAAAAAATTCCCCCCCCCCCCCAAAAAAAAACAACATTTATTTCTGTTGACTTTTTATTTCTTTTGAATTCTTGAATGTATAAGGATAGACGCTGTTAAAAAAAATTTTACTTTTTCGAAGTTCAGGATAATGTATTACTGTTATCACAGTTCGTTGCGCCATATCCAGTAACACATGTACATTCATATTCATTAACAAGATCCTTACAGATAGTACCATTCTTGCAAGGGCCGGAAGAACAATCATTTATATCTACATATTGAAATAGAGATTGAAAGTAAATTGTGCGAACAATGAATAATGACTCCTTTTTTGTATGCATAAAAATCTTATGTTTTCAAAAATAATATTAATCGAGATGTGAAACTTTTCAAGCATAAAAGAAATCGCATGTTTGGGTGATGTTGTAATTATAAAACTTAAAATACATCATTACATTATGACTCTTCAATAAATTATAAAATAAAACTTTATTGTTGACATATTAGAAATGATAGTATCTATTTTTCTAAAAAAATACAATATTCTTAAAAATGTTACCATTGTCGCAGTTCGTTCCATCATAGCCCGCAACACATGTACATTGATATCCATTTACAAGATCCTTGCACGTACCACCGTTTTTGCAAGAGTCTGATAAGCATTCATTGATATCTGAGACGAAATATCAAGAGTTAATTCATATTTCCAAAATAAGGTAAAACATTTGTTTGTTTAGAATGTGGTTAGAAAATAATTCCTTGTTTTTCTTATATTGTCTCATTCCTCACTCCAGTAATAAGCCAGAAACCATTTTTCCTTTGCTAAAGTAACAATAACCTTGACATTGTAACTAGGAAACCTAAAAGCAATTCTGGAAAAGGTCTTTACTATATCAGCTTGCTATATGTCAATTTCGATTACAATATCTCATTCGTAACTGTAGTTATCGACTGGGAACCATTTTAAAGTAAACGCGTCAAGTTACCCATTGTATGTTTCACTGTTCCGTTTTAAATAATTTTGTTACGAAAAAATAAATAAAAAAAACCCCAAAACACAACATTTATTTCTGTTGACATTATATTTCTTATGAATTCTTGAATGTATAAGGACAGACGCTGCCAAATGAAAATATTACTTTGTCTAAGTCAAGGATAATGTCTTACTGTTATCACAATTCTTTCCGTCATATCCAGTAACACATGTACATTCATATTCATTAACAAGATCCTTACAGATACCGCCATTCTTGCAAGGGCCGGAAGAACAATCATTTATATCTACATATTGAAATAGAGATTGAAAGTAAATTGTGCGAATAATGACTACTTTTTGTATGCATAAAAATCTTATGCTTTCAATAAAATATTAATCGAGATGTTAAATTTGTCAAGTATAAAAAAGAATTCGCATGTTTGGGTGAAGATGTAATTATGAAATTGAAAATACATTATTACTCTATCACTCTTCATTTAATTATAAAATAAAACTTTATTTTTGACATATTAGAAATGAAACTATCTATTTTTCTATAACATTTCAGTATACTTGAACATGTTACCATTGTCGCAGTTCATTCCATCATAGCCGGCAACACATGTACATTGATATCCATTTACAAGATCCTTACAGGTACCGCCGTTTTTGCAAGGGTCTGATAAGCATTCATTGATATCTGAGACGAAATATCAAGAGTTAGTTTATATGTCCAAAATTAGGTAAAACATTTGTTTGTTTAGAATGTGGTTAGAAAATAATTCCTTGTTTTTCTTATACTGTCTCATTCCTCACTCCAGTAATAAGCCAGAAACCATTTCTTTTATTTATTTAGTACCAATAACCTTGACCTTGTAACTAGGAAACCGAAAAGCAATTCTTGAAAAGGTCTTAACATCAGCTGGCTATATGTCAATTTTGATAACAATATCTCATTCCTAACTATAGGTATCGACTGGAAACCATTAAAAAGTAAACAAGTCATCAAGTTACCCATTGTATGTTTAACTATTCCGTTTTAATTAATGTTGTTACGAAAAAAAAAAAACAAAAACATAAATAGAACAAAATAAAGAACAAAAAAAAAAAAAATAAAAAATAAAGAACAAAAAAAAAAACCCTAAGAAAAAAAAATACAACATCTATTTCTGTTGACTTTTTATTTCTTATGAAATCTTGAATGTATAAGGATAGACGCTGCCAAATGAAAATATTACTTGGTCTAAGTCAAAGATAATGTCTTACTGTTATCACAGTTCTTTCCGTCATATCCAGTAACACATGTACATTCATATTCATTAACAAGATCCTTACAGATACCGCCATTCTTGCAAGGGTCGGAAGAACAATCATTTATATCTACAAATTGAAATAGAGATTGAAAGTAAATTGTACGAATAATGACTACTTTTTTGTATGCATTTTCAAATATAATATCAATTGAGATGTGAAATTTTTCAATTAAAACAAGAAATTGCATGTTTGGGTGATGTTGTAATTATGAAACTTTACAAACATCATTACACTATGAATCTTCAATTAATTATAAAAGAAAACTTTATTTTTGACATATAAGAAATGATACTATCTATTTTTCTTGAAAATACAGTATACTTAAATATGTTACCATTGTCGCAGTTCGTTCCATCATAGCCCGCAACACATGTACATTGATATCCATTTACACGATCCCTACAGGTACCGCCGTTTTTGCAAGGGTCTGATAAGCATTCATTGATATCTGAGACGAAATATCAAGAGTTAGTTTATATTTCCAAAATTAGGTAAACCATTTGTTTGTTTAGAATGTGGTTAGAAAATAATTCAAGTCACCAAGTTACCCATTGTATGTTTTACTGTTCCGTTTTAATTAATGTTGTTACCGAAAAAAAACCAAAAAAAAACCACATACAACATCTATTTCTATTGACTTTTTATTTTTTATGAATTCTTGAATGTATAAGGATAGACGCTGCCAAATAAAAAGATTACTTTGTCTAAGTTCAGGATAATGTCTTACTGTTATCACAGTTCTTTCCGTCATATCCAGTAACACATGTACATTCATATTCATTAACAAGATCCTTACAGATACCGCCATTTTTGCAAGGGCCGGAAGAACAATCATTTATATCTACATATTGAAATAGAGATTGAAAGTAAATTGTGCAAATAGTGACTACATTTTTGTATGCACAAAAATCTTATGTTTTCAAATATAATATTAATCGAGATGTTAAATTTGTCAAGTATAAAAGCAATTGCATGTTTGGGTGATGATGTAATTATCAAATTAAAATACATTATTACTCTATCACTCTTCAATTAATTATAAAATAAAACTTTATTTTTGACATATTAGAAAGGATACTATCTATTTTTCTATAACATTACAGTATACTTTAACATGTTACCATTGTCGCAGTTCGTTCCATCATAGCCCGCAAAACATGAACATTGATATCCATTTACATGATCCTTACAGGTACCGCCGTTTTTGCAAGGGTCTGATAAGCATTCATTGATATCTGAGACGAAATATCAAGAGTTAATTTATATTTCCAAAATTAGGTAAATCATTTGTTTGTTTAGAATGTGGTTAGAAAATAATTCCTTGTTTTTCTTAAACTGTCTCATTCCTCACTCCAGTAATTTGCCAGAAACCATTTTTCTATTTCTATAGTAACAATTACTTTGACCTTGTAACTAGGAAACCGAAAAGCAATTCTGAAAAGAAGGTCTCTACACCAGCTTGCTATATGTCAATTTTGATTACAGTATCTCATTCCTAACTGTAAATATCGTCTGGGAACCATTTAAAAGTAAACACGTCATCAAGTTACCCATTGTATGTTTTACTGTTCCGTTTTAAATAATGTTGTTACGAAAAAATAAATAAAAATACCCCAAAAAACATAACATTTATTTCAGTTGACTTTATATTTCTTATGAAATCTTGAATGTATAAGGATAGACGCTGCCAAATGAAAAGATTACTTTGTCTAAGTTCAGGATAATGTCTTACTGTTATCACAGTTCTTTCCGTCATATCCAGTAACACATGTACATTCATATTCATTAACAAGATCCTTACAGATACCGCCATTCTTGCAAGGGCCGGAAGAACAATCATTTATATCTACATATTGAAATAGAGATTTAAAGCAAATTGTGCGAATAATGACTACTTTTTGTATGCATAAAAATGTTATGTTTTCAAATATAATATTAATCGAGATGTTAAATTTGTCAAGTATAAAAAAGAATTCGCATGTTTGGGTGATGATGTCATTATGAAACTTAAATACATTATTACTCTATGACTCTTCAATTAATTATTAAATAAAACTTTATTTTTGACATATAAGAAATGATACTATCTATTTTACTATAACATTACAGTATACTTGAACATGTTACCATTGTCGCAGTTCGTTCCATCATAGCCCGCAACACATGTACATTGATATCCATTTACAAGATCCTTACAGGTACCGCCATTTTTGCAAGGGTCTGATAAGCATTCATTGATATCTGAGACGAAATATCAAGAGCTAGTTTATATGTCCAAAAGTAGGTTAAACATTTGTTTGTTTAGAATGTGGTTAGAAAATAATTCCTTGTTTTTCTTATACTGACTCATTCCTCAGTCCAATAATAAGCCAGAAACCATTTTTCTATTTATTTAGTACCAATAACCTTGACCTTGTAACCAGGAAACCACAAAGGAATTCTAGAAAAGGTCTTTACATCAGCCGGCTATATGTCAATTTTGATTACAATATCTCATTCCTAACTATAGGTATCGACTGGAAACCATTAAAATGTAAACAAGTCATCAAGTTACCCATTGTTTGTTTTACTGTTTCGTTTTAATTAATGTTGTTACAAAAAAAAAAACAAACAACAACAACTAAAAAATAAAGAACAAAAAAAAAACCCAAAGAAAAAAACATACAACATTTATTTCGGTTGACTTTATATTTCTTATGAATTCTTGAATGTATAAGGATAGTCGCTGCCAAATGAAAAGATTACTTTGTCTAAGTTCAGGATAATGTCTTACTGTTATCACAGTTCTTTCCGTCATATCCAGTAACACATGTACATTCATATTCATTAACAAGATCCTTACAGATACCGCCATTCTTGCAAGGGCCGGAAGAACAATCATTTATATCTATATATTGAAATAGAGATTGAAAGTAAATTGTGCAAATAGTGACTACATTTTTGTATGCACAAAATCTTATGTTTTCAAATATAATATTAATCTAGATGTTAAATTTGTCAAGTATAAAAGCAATTGCATGTTTGGGTGATAATGTAATTTTGAAATTTAAATACATTATTTAATTTCACCCATGAAATATGGTGCTATATCAGTCAAATATATTTCATATGTTTTAAAAATAAATATGAAATATAAATATGAAAGTGGGCGGAGTCAAAACTCATATTTATTTTACGGAACTTCTTTCGCCGTTTTGTTTGAAAAAACTGATAAATACAAAACAACTTTTTCTTGAATTTTGTTTGTAAAACTATCTAGAATAATAGACCATGGTCCAACTAAGGAAAATAATCCGAACGCCAATATCTTTAATTCAGTAATTAACGCTGTACAGGCGGTTTAAAGAGTTGTTTACTGACGTCACAATGTTAGCGCCAAACAGCGGCGTTGCTTACGCATAAATTTACTGCGCGCTGTACAATTGCAGTTGGTAGCAAGCAAGGGGTTTCGTTACCATTTTTCTTTGATAATGAAATTAAAATAAAAGGTTATTTTCGTTTTCGTGAATATGGTGTATATTTTTTCACTCAATCATGATATCAAATGCTCACATATTTCATCGCCGTAGCGCCGGCTCGTGAAACATATGTGCATTTTTATCATGTTTCGTGAAAATATTATTCCATATTTTCACTGCAAACGAACAAAAATTCCTCTATTATCTACTCTATCACTCTTTTCAATTTATTATATAAATAAAACTGGATTTTGAAATATTAGAAATGGATATCTATCTATTTTCTGATAACATTAACAGTATACTTAACATTTACCCATGTCGCTAGTTCGTTCCATCATGCTCGCAAAACATGAACATTATACCATTCTACATGAACTGTACAGGTACCGCGTTTTTGCAAGTGTCTTATAAGATTCATTGATACGTGAGACTGAAATACAAGAAGTAGTTTATATTTCCAGAAATTAGGCTACCAACTTGTTTGTTTTAGATGTGGTTAGAACATAATACAGGTCACAAGTTGCACCCAATTGTATGTTTTACTGTTCGTTTTAATAAATGCTTGTTACCGAAAAAAAAAAAAAAAAAAAAAAACCAAAAACATATCACATCTATTCTTGTTGCTTTAATTCTAGAATTCTTACGATAAGGAAGACGCTTACTAATGAAAAGAATAATTTGTCTAATTCAGGATAATGTCTCTTACTGTTATACAGTTCTTTCCGTCATATCCAGGTAAACAACATCGTACATTCATATTCATTAAAAAGATCACTTACAGATACCGCGCATTCTTGCAAGGGCCGGAAGAACAAGTCCATTATATCTAGCATATTGAAATAGAGATTTAAAGCTAAATTGTTGCGAAGTACTTCGAGTATTTTTTGTATCCATCAAAATTCTTATGTTTCAAATATAATATATAATCGAGATGTTGAAATTTGTTAAGTATAAAGAGAATTCGCAATGTTTGGGTGAGATGATGTATAGTATCAATACTTAAAATACATTATTACTCTATTCACTCCTTCAATTAATTATAAAGTGAAACTTTATTTTTGAACATATTAGGAAATGATACTATCTATTTTTGTTACTAACATAACAATATACTTTAACAATGTTACCATTGTCGCAGTTCGTTCCATCATAGCCCACAACACATGTACATTGATATCCATTTACAAGATCCTTACAGGTGCCACCATTTTTGCAAGGGTCTGATAAGCATTCATTGATATCTGAGACAAAATATCAAGAGTTAGTTTATATGTCCAAAAGTAGGTAAAACATTTGTTCGTTTATAATGTTGTAAGAAAATAATTCCTTGTTTTTCTTAAACTGTCTCATTCCTCACTCCAGTAATTAGCCAGAAACCATTTTTCTATTTCTATAGTTAAAATTACCCTGACCTTGTAACTAGAAAACCGAAAAGCAAATCTGGAAAAGGTCTTAACATCAGTTTGCTATATGTCAATTTTGATTACAATATCTCATTCCTAACTAGCTATAGACTGGGAACCATTTTTTTACCTAATCTGTACCAGTATCCTTGTTGACCTTGACATCAAGGGTCAAGTAAGCATAACACAATCCCCTCGACAAAGTTCGAAAAAAATGATCTCATTCCCATCTGTAGTAAGTCATCGGAAACTTTTTTTTCTATTTTAGGAACAATGACATTGACCACACCTCACGGGGTCAAAAAGTAATTCCAAGCAAAGTGTTTACTATCAAAAAGAACTATTTTTTTCTATTTTTAGTAACAGTTAACTTAACTAGAGATCTAGGGTGAAAGTAAAAACATATTTCATGATCCCTAGCACATAAGCCTGAATGTTTTATAACATATTTTTGATTCCGTACTTTTGGAAATCACTTTTATGACGCCCGCCCGCCCAACAAATCGAATAACCAGAATGTTCAAAATATTTCGGGAGTACAGCATATTACTTCTGTGATATAATTTAACTAACGAGTCGTCAAATAGGGGTGTTTTTCATTAGCAGACAATCTGAAATGTATTATAGTGATAAAATTTGAACACATGTATTAGAATTTTTTGGGTTTTGAGAAAACAAAACGTATGTTTTCTGAGGCCTAATGCACCGTTTAAGTGGATCGGTCTACTACGGACATATTATTCAATAAAAGTATTTCCAATATTGATAGAAGCAAGTGAAATATCCTTTGAATATTCGTATGAAACATAGCTGTTGATATAAAGTTCTTAGCGATTTAGTATGAACATTTATATGATAAATAGTAATAGGGTGTTTTAGAAATTCTTTTATTTGCTTTATATAAATATGTTCTATCGGATAATGTATCTCACACTTGGTAACAAGATCCATATATAATTTTTCGTGGTTTGTTGAAATGTCTGATACTAAATAAATTCAACGTAACTATTTTTATTACATTGCAGACCTTCCATTATAGACCAATTCACGTTAAGTCCTTTAAAAAAAATATTTTTGCATTTTAATTTTTGATTGGTGTTGTTGCAGAATCATTTGATTTTATAAAAGGATCAAACTTTTTAATTAAGTTTCCATTATAGTAAGTTTATGTTAGTAAACTGTTAAAGTAAAGAACGTGTCTTTTCCTTTTTCAGTCTGTTCTGACATAATTATTCTGCAACACCTGTATCAATTGACAAAATATTTCCAGGTACCACCATTCTTACAAATCGTATTAACTCTTAAATGATAAAAGTGTTAATTTTGAATATTTTAAACGTACAACAAGACATATTGTAGCAATAAGTGGAATAAATTACCAATTTTTATAATTTCCTTAAAAACATGGTATTCAGGAGAAAACCAAGATTATCCTATGAAGTCTGGTTGCTCTATCAAGCTTCTGATCAGAAACAGTTATCCGATAGGAGGACACTGTCCAATTGGCATTTGACTGATTGTCGATTGTCATACATTCACCATTGACATACACATCTCATGCCTTTATGAATCTTTAACTTAAAAAGGACAACTTAGTTTACTAGGTTTCATATGGTACTCAAGTTAATTTGTTTTTAAACTCAATACCACTAAAATCCTGACCTTCGACCTATCTTTCCAACAATAATGTGTAGGAAGACAATCAAATTGTTTGCTTTGAATTGGGTTTAGTTTTAGAGCGAAAAGAAAATGATATGCCAACTTAACAACTGACTGACCGACACTATTCTTTCACATTTTATATGTTACGAGTCGGGTAAATATTCTGATGAACATAAATAGAGAAAAAACTTAAATACTTTAAGAAGGCCCAAAACGGCAAAATTGAAAATGTTGCAACGCGGTTGTTTGAGCCTTTGATGATCGACTGGAAAATGCAAGTTACTGTCACCCCCCTATCACATCAAACAAACATTTAAACACATTTAACCAAAAATGGTGAAATACTGAATTTAAACCTCCTTACCATTTTCACATTTAACACCGTCAAATCCAGCAACACAAGTACATTCATATCCATTGACAAGATCCTTACAGCTTCCACCATTTTCACATGGGCTTGAAGAACATTCATTGACATCTGTGCATTGGTGTTTGTTAAAATAATTTCATATATATTGAGTATTTCAATAACATTAAGTCCGTATAGTGAGGTAAGAATGATAAAGTAATTATTATCGATTGTGAAATCAGATATTGTTGCATTTTAAACACTATGTTCTATTCAAGATTTTCAAATCATAAGATAAGACATTCAATTTAAAAATAATTACAATTTCATGCTCGTTAGAATTATGAAATAACTATTTCTAACGTTTTTAAATCATGATAATTATTGTGATATGATGAATTATTTTCAGAAAACAAATTTTCACCGTTGTTACAATTTATTCCACCATATCCAGAAACACATGTACATTCATATCCATTGATAAGATCATGACATGTTCCACCATTCTGGCAAGGGTTGGATAAGCACTCATAGATATCTAAGATGTTATATATGTTTTAACAACCGTATTTGCACTGTATAACATTAATAAATAATAAAAGAACTTTTTATACACATTTAAAGCTTTCAATATAAACAGAAACAAAATCTTTATATGGAAAAATTACTTATAGCAGTATAACAAATCTGACTTTTCCCTGCACAATAAATAAAGAACTGTTTCTTACTGTTATCACAATTAAATCCGTCATAGCCAGCCGGACATGTACATTCGTAATCATTAACAAGATCCTTACAGGTACCACCGTTCTTACAAGGGTCCAGATAACATTCATCTATGTCTGTATATTGAAAATTAAGTTCTATGAAAATGGATTATAAAATTAGGAAAAAAAGTAAAATAACCAATATTTTTCGGCTATTCAGATATTCATTTTTTTCCTAATATTTCTAAAAGAAAAGTAACAGTCCTTACTTGTAGCAAGTAAATAGTATGTACTAAATACAACCATATCATTATCTTTGTCACAGAAAATGTTTTTGTATCTTGGATCACATGTATATACATGTACATATCTATTGATAAACATATTTAATAACGAAAAATTGGGGCGGTGCGCTAGTGGTAGATATCTCTCAACCTAGGGGTCATAAGTTTAAAGCCGTATGATGTCACCTTATATGACACTAGTACCAGACGGTTTCAGAAAGCAGGCTAGAAAGTGGTTTAAATAAGCATTTTTACAATCGAAAAATAAAATAAAAATAAATGAGCACCAACATGATCTTCACGATGTAAACAAAACATACTAGTGTCATGACCTTCTTAAAATTTACTATAGAAATAGTATCATTGCCCTACTTTAATAGACATAATTAATATCATCTCTTACTGTTATCACAATTTGTTCCGTTATATCCGGCAACACATGTACATTCATATCCATTGACAAGGTCCTTACAGGTACCACTGTTTTTGCAAGGGTCCGAAGAACACTCATTAATGTCTGAGCATTAAAGTAAAATAATAACTATTATATCTTAACTTGGAAAGTTATTGTAAGCAGTTAGTGCCCAAAATATTTTATGGAAGAGTGCTTGAGATTGGCCAACATCAGTAATGCCGAAAAAAGTCATCATGATCTTTAAAGAGTCGATTCGACTTGAAACAAGATCAAATAGTTTCCAACAACCATATTGAATTGTTCATATACAGTTTTAGTCACTGTAATAATCTTTAAGAAAATTACGTATTGACATTGCAACGCAGCAAGCAACAATAAATACTATATTTGTATTAAACAAATACAACAAATTAAAAATCCCTAAAAAACGCCGGTTTAAGCGGCAAAAATGTAAATGATTAAACCAGTTTATGAACCATACTAGTAAGTGCAAGTTGTCGTTCATGTCTTCTAGCATCTGCTTTAGCAAATATCTGGTTCAAGTACATTCTAGTTTTGCATAAAAATGTCGTATGCAACATTTATTTTCACTTTTGATATCTTATAATGACTTGTTTCTGGATTGTTATTCTTTTATAATTTATTTATACCGTACTAGTTGCCATGAGATATTTTTCACAGTTTGATAATTATTTTCCTTTTTTGACAGTAAAACATATTCTTACTGTTATCGCAGTCATTGCCATCGTATCCAGCAACACATGTACATTTGTACCCATTAACAAGATCAACACATGCACCATCATTCTTGCAAGGGTTAGAAGAGCACTCATTGATATCTAAAGTAAAAACATATTTCATAATTTCATCAAATATATATATTTGTTTATTTTAAGCGTATAAAATTATTTTTTGTTTGTAAATATTTTAGTTTCATTTGTTTTTTGTTTAATTCAGAAAAATGTACAACCGACTATCCTTCAATATTTGCAGTGGAGGCATGGCGCATTATAAGACGCGATCGTAAGCTGTTAACTTTATTCCTCTTCACGAAGTCCGTGTTCTTGCAGTCCATGATGTTAAAACAGAAAATACGTATATAGTACATATCTTGTGGAAATTTTAAAAAGAATATACCTCAAGAAAATATTAAGCATAGTTTGCTTAAGATAATAATTTGATGATAGTAAATAAACCAAATCGTTACCGTTGTGTAATGAATATCATCATATCTTGGAACACATGTACATTTGTACCCATTGACAAGATCCTTACATGTTTCACCATTTAAATATTGGTTTCATGAGCATTAATTGATATCTATGTATTGATGACAAATCTTTTTCTTAATATGTTATCGATCAAATTGCTTTCTAGTTTAAAATCTAAATATATCAGAATTGAAAATAGAAGCTCACCTTTAGAAAATAAATAAATATTTGTTTGATATATACTATGCTCTTGAGTAGAATATTTTAATTACAGAAATTTATTGAATTTCATGAAATTCCTTCTAAATATGTCTAATTTGAATAAAAGAAGGAATAAAATGCGTTTCTTATTACGGCACAAATAAAATTGATTCTTAAAACAATGCCAGTGTTTTTTTACTGACATGTACTTATATGTACATTCATATTGTGACCACCTATAGTGTGTAGAAATAGAAAGAGACTGACTGTGTAAAAATAGTCAATATTATATAATATCTTAATTGAGCATAGTATATATAAAGAGTACACACTACTATCTCACTATATTCACAATTGTTTCGATCGTATCCTTTCACACATATGCATTCATATCCATTGACAAGGTCATTGCAAGATTATTGTTTTTGCAAGGATTGCTTGAGCATTCGTCGATGTCTGTATTCAATATTACTTTGTATCATTGCATGATAATTCTATTGTCTGTGAACTATTGAAATCATCACTTTCCTTATTTTCAACACATTCATTTTTACAAAATCTTAAGCATAAAATAATTTTATCACGTTTTTTTAAAAGTTTGATTTGGCTAATTTAGACTATAACTTGTTTTAAATTAATTTCAACCAATTCTGTTCCGACATGTACAAGACATTAACATCCTTATCTATTTGATCATTTTTCACAGTCATTTTGAAATCCATGCGTATAGATTTTAAGATTATGTTTAAACAAACAAGGCGATCTGTTGCTCAATTAATTCATAATATATACTCTCTCCATTGTCTGCACCGTCATATACATCAATACATGTACATCAGTATGCATTTACAAGATGCGTGCATGTACCACCATAAGCTCATGGATAATTTTAGAAGCCGTAGACATATGATTATTATTAAACATCCTTTTGACACATTCAGTAATATATATAAATGTCAATAGAAGGTATTTACCTGTTGTACAGTTAGACCCTTCATACCCAGTCACACAGGTACATTTGTAACTATTTACTAAATCTGCACAACTTCCACCATTTACGCAAGGGTTATTTTCACAGTCATTTATATCTTAAAAATTTAAAGAGACGTTTGTAATGTTTAAGCCATAAAAATTCTGTATTATTTACAACTTTGACATTGCTTTTTCTAAACTTACCAAGTAATTTCCAACTTATATTAGATAACGTAACTAAATTTTTTGGAATCTGGTACTCGGTAGAAACATGATAAAAAGGGCTGAACATTGAGTGTGTTTAATATTACTCTTATATACCAAACTTCTTAAGCACTTTTTCATGCACATTGGCACGTTCAAAAGTACGGTACAGTATAACAAAATAAATGATACAATATTTAAAAAAATAAAAACACATATTAAAACATCAATATTGCTCAAGTCACAAATTAAAATCAAATAAAGTTTAAAAAGTAAAAAAGGCCCATATAAATAATAAAATACAGGTAAGAACCTAAACAAGAGGGCCATGATGGCCCTAAAGTCGCTCACCTGTATATAGGCCCCCGGAGCAGGGCCAGTTTAAACCCCAAGGCTTTTATTTGAACAAACTTGGTAGACACCCATTAGAAGATGTTTCATGCTAAACATCTACGGTCTAGCTTGTTGGGTTTTTTAAAAGAAGATTTTGTTCAAGTTTTTTTTCTTTGAACATATAGTTAAAAACAATGACACACCTGGGGCAGGGCCAGTTTTGACCCCAGGGCTTTTATTTGAACAATCTTTGTAGACACTTACTAGACAATGTTTCATGCTTAATATCTGAACTCTGGCTATTCAGTTTTTTTCAAAGAAGATTTTTAAGTTTTTGCTATACACATATAAGGAAAATCAATGTCCCCTGGGACGGGGCCAATTTTGACTCCAGAGCTTTTATTTGAACAAACTTTGTAGACACTCACTAAGAGATGATTCGTGCTTAATATCTAAACTCTAGCTATTTGAGTTTTTTCAAAGAAGATTTTTAAGTTTTTGTCATACACATATAAGGAAAATGAATGACCCCCGGGGCGGGGCCAATTTTGACCCCAGGACTTTTATTTGCACAAACTTGGTAGACACCCATTAGAACATAATTCATGCTTAGTATCTAAACTCTAGCTATTTGTTTTTTTTAAAAAAAGAAGATATTTTAAGTTTTTGTTATAAACATATAAGGAAAATGAATGTCACCCCGGGCGGGGCCAATTTTGACCCCAGGGCTCTTATTTGAACGAACTTGGTAGACATCCATTAGAACATGCTAAATATATTAGCTCTAGCTATTTGCATTCTTTAAAATAATTTTTTTTAAGTTTTTACTATATGCATATAGGGAAAATCAATGACCCCCTGGGGCGGGGCCAATTTTGATCCCAGGCCTTTTATTTGAACAAACTTGGTAGACACTCACAAGAAGATGTTTCATGATTAATATCTAAACTCTAGCTATTTGGGTTTTTTCAAAGAAGATATTTTAAGTTTTTGCTATACACATATAGGGAAAATCAATGACCCCCTGGGGCGGGGCCAATTTTGACCAAAGGGCTTTAATTTGAACAAACTTGGTAGACACTCATTAGAAGATGTTTCATGCTAAATATCTTAGCTCTATCCCTTTGGGTTCTTTAAAAGAAGATTTTTAAGTTTTTATTATATGCATACAGGGAAAATCAAAGACCCCCTGGGGCTGGGCCAATTTTGACCCCATGGCTTTTATTTGAACAAGCTTGGTAGACACTCACTAGAAGATGTTTCATGCTTAATATCTAAACTCTAGCTATTTGGTTTTTTTCAAAGAAGATTTTTAAGTTTTTGCTATACACATATAAGGAAAATCAATGAACCCCGGGGCGGGCCAATTTTGACCCCAGGGCTTTGATTTCAACAAACTTGGTAGACACCCATTAGAACATGTGTCATGCTAAATATCTAACCTGTAGCCTTTACAAATTCAGAGAAGTAGATTTTTTTAGGTTTTACAATATACATATAAGGAAAAACCTATTACCCCCCAGGGCGGGACCGATTTTAATTCTAGGAACAAAATTTGAACAACTTTGATTTGGACCTAAAGATGACACCATAGACCAAATATCAAATCTCTATGCCATTTACTTTCAGACCAGAAGATTTTTCAAGTTTTCACTATATGCTTATAAAGAAAATCAATGACCCCCGAGGGCGGGGCCAATTTTGACCCGAGGGCCATTATTTGAACAATCTTGGTAGAGGTCTACCACACAATGTTTCATGCCAAATATCTTACCTGTAGCCTTTGCCAATTCAGAGAAGAAGATTTTTTTATGTTTTACTATATACATATTAGAAAAACCTATGACCCCCGGGGCGGGCCAATTTTGACACTAGGACAAAATTTGTACAACTTTGGTATTGGACCTTCAGATGATACCATATACCAAATATCAAAGTTCTAGGCCATTTACTTTCAGACCAGAAGATTTTCAAGTTTTCACTATATGTATGTAATGAAAATCAATGACCCCCGGGGCGGGGCCAATTTTGACCCGAGGGCCATTATTTGAACAATCTTGATAGAGGTCTACTACACAATGTTTCATGCCAAATATCTAATCTGTAGCCTTTGCCAAATCAGAGAAGAAGTTTTTTTTTAGATTTTACTATATACATCTAAGGAAAAACCTATGACCCCCGGGGCGGGGCCAATTTTGATACTAGGGACAAAATTTGAACAACTTTGGTAGAGGACCCATAGATGATACCATATACCAAAAATCAAAGCTCTGGCCCATGTACTTTCAGACAAGAGTTTTTTTTTTAATTTTGTGTTTTTTGAAATCCTTTTCTGGCCCTATGACCTACATATGCAACAGACCGGAACCATTTGAACAACTTTGAAAGGGGACCACCCAAGGATCATTTCTGTAAAGTTTGGTTGATGTGCAGTCATTGGTTTCAGAGGAGGTACAATTAAATTGATCAAATATATACCAGCAGAACAATTGACCCCATACGTTCCATCCACACATTCACAGGTGTATCCATTGACACGATCGAAACAGGTACCTCCGTTCTTACAGGGATTGGTCGAACATTCGTCGATTTCTAAAGAGTCACAAAAATTTAAACATTTTACTAAAATGTAAACACATGGTTACATGAATAACTCAACATCCTTGTTATCTTAAAAGTACAAACAAAAGTAAAATTATCTTAAAAGCATGATAGTATCAGTATAGTAGACACTGACCTGTTTCACAGTGAGTCCCCCCAAAGCCGGGTGGGCACATGCATGAATACATGTTTATTCCGTCTTTACATATTCCATTGTTTTGACATGGGTGAGATGAACATTCGTTAATATCTGCAAGAAATGCTTAATTATTTTATTTGACAATTTTAAATTAACATGCATTTAGTCAAAGAAAAGTAAAAAGTAATATCATAATTTGCCTAAACGGTATTTTTTATTTCTCCGGTCATAATTGACGGCCTCGACTTGACAAATAAATTTCTATATGAAGGACAACTTTAGAGCATTGATTATTAACTAACATTTAGTATAATTTGATATCTGTATAATACACATACGTTAGGAAACTTTCGGACAATGGTGGCTAAATTAACTAGTATATTTTCACTTTTATAAGATTGCGAACTATTCAGATTAGATAATGTATCATATCTAAACTTAAATACTTTATATACATTAATGATATTTCGATCAACATACATAGACTTACTTATTTCACAATTAGTACCAGTGAAACCAGCAACACAGGAACAGGTGAAGCCATTAAGTTGATCCGAGCAAGTCCCATCATTTTCACAGGGGTCTGATTCACACTCATTTATATCTACGGTTATGTTTGAAATATATCTTATATATTTATCATGTTATAACATTGATTTATGTTGATAAAGTACATGCCTGATAAATTTAGCTTTATCAGTCACCCTTTTTTATCAGAAACCTCATAAATACATATTGAAATAAAATGAAGAGAATGGAATATTTTTACCTTTTACTAGTTTGAAAATATAAATTGATATACTTTGAATCGAATGATTTTTTTTAATATTAAAGTCTCTCTTACATTTGACTAAACCATTTGGGACTATTTCTAATAGATATAACCCATAGCATATTACTGTGCTCAGCATGAATTCGCCAGGTTCTTGACATGGTCTTGTTTCATTTAATTTAAACAAAGAAACGTATTTTAAAATTGCAAACAATATAAATAGAATACCAAACAAGTGTCTGATTTTATAAGATTTATCAGGTTCGGCACGAAAAAAAGAAGAGCTTTTTTCTTAGCCTTGACTTATAAATTTTGTAATATTAGACACTAGCATGATATTCCCTATATAACTTACATTTTATTGTAATACATATATAGAATAAAAAGGAAACAATTTCACGCATAAAGTCATGTTTTATAAGTACCTTTTACCTGCCTGATTCCTAAAAATACAGACTCGGAATGGATTGAATGTGTTGCTTTTGAGCAACAAAAGAATAAATCTCAAATATATAGCAATCTGAAAATCGCGTTTTTAGGAAAACATCTATTACTAAGTTGTAATTCTTTATTCATTTCATTTATATTTTCAAATTGAATATGCTTTGTTGAATGACTAACTGACTCATTGACTGTCCTTTGGAATAGGTTGGAACTTTACCATATTCACAATTTTTTCCGCCATATCCGTGGGCACAAACGCATTTATAGCCATTATTTTCTCGGGTGCAATTCCCTTTATTCTGACACGGGTTATAGACTGAAAACAAGTCGAATTCATAAATAGATGAACTTCATAGATTAATTTAATAAAGTGGATCATATGCCGAAAATAATAACATTTATGGAGAATGTAAATTTCTTTCATCAAAAATGTTTGTGAAACAAGACTACGCATACATTTAAATGACCGGAATAGTGGATTACAATACGAATTTCACAGAGATATTTTCTCTTTGAGCATATCGTATTTCCTTGATGTCCAATTGGGTGTTATCATTTGTATCACTGTTGTCTTTATTCCTAGTTCGTTAATGTATCAGTGAACTACGTAATGTAAACAACACTGACTACATCGTAATGATACCATCCGATTGAAGAACAAGAACAGACAATGACTTTGCCATTATTCATATTTGGGCTTCACTACACAGTATAGTCAAAGAGGCAGGATTTTTCATTTACATAATTAAAAAGTTAAAGTTTATGACATACCCGTCCAATTATATTCATTAACCAAAGACTGACAAGCTAAACAACCTGCTGGAGACATAACATTTTCAGCTACACAACCGCCATCGATAAAACAGTATTCAGGCTTAAATAAATATTTCATATATGACCATTTTTAACATTTCTATATTATCTGGAATATATTGAATTGTATTTAATTTTGATTTTCTTGTAAATAAATTGTCAATATCAATCGTAAAACGCTTTTGTCGCATATCGTAATCATGTTACATTATTCTTTTTATTCTTATAATATCTTATAAAGTTTTCCATCATTACAAAATAATATCTTGCTTTTCGTCGTCGTATCTAATTAAATGCTTTCTTCTTTTCATCGCATGCTATAAAATTATAGAACATTCAATTTCTACGCACTTTAAAGATGTGCTATATAAACATTTATTCTAAGTGACTTAACAGAAGTCGGGCATCTGAGATAATACATTCGTTTCTGAAAGTAATATAAGACCCCTGAGTGCTAATACTGGAAGTAAAACAAAATAAAGCAATACCTTTAGGCTAAACGAGGCATTTTCAAAAGAAGTAAATGTGGCTTCTTGGCAAGTAGAGTCAAACACATGAACACTTTTTACATTTCCATACGTAATGCCATTGTTGCTGATCGAAAATTCTTTCTTTGTAACAAATAAACCTTCAGTATCTATTACGATGTCTTGTATGCAACACACTCCGGTAAATATATCCTCATATTCACCAGAAAAGGACTGTGTCGAAATTGTCTCCCTTTCGCCACTAACTGTTATCTGTCAAAACATTTGGTTCAATTTAAAAACGTAATGCTGAAAATTTGAAAACAATGTTATAAGGAGATACTTAGTAAATCATTGAGAAAATGATAATAATAATAATTACACAACATGAACGTGAATCATGGATCGGTATAAGCAAATATGTCCCTTTCCTTTTTGATGTCTCTCTGGAGCAATGTGTATATATACCTTAGAAATATTGGCCTGACATTTAAAACCCTCAAGAATATTTGACGATCTGACATGGAAACATAAACATTCGTCCCCTTCAGCTAGATCACATTCTCCGCCACCTTCTATGTCGTCAATTATCAAAGGATCTCTTTCATCTATGTCACATTCTGGTCCATGGAAAAACCCAAAACATTCGCATTCACCTGCAATATATACTTTACTTAATAATCAATTTAATTCTAGGATCAAGAAGAAATGTGATTTGTAAAGCACAACGTACAGTAAAAATCAAATTCTACATTTTTATGTATTTAGATCATGACAAGTTTCTCCGCCCTTTTTCATCAACACACATTAGGTTGGAACATCATGTAAAATATGCAAAACTAACAACATTATAACACACTTATCTGCTATGTTTGGTTAGAAATGGTAAACAAGAATATACTTCAACTTACTTGTTTCTGTGCAGTCACCGTTGTTGCTACAGTTTCCTGGACATGTATTTTTATAAAATATTACAACCTTTTCAGAGTTATTTGCAACATATACAGGCTCAAGTTCTATAATGTTCTTGACAATATTATTTATAGATTCTACATGTGCTGCTGCCCATGACGTGTCATTTCCGGCCTGAAACAGGGGGACATTTATTTAAGTTTGTTGAGAATTTATAATTTCTTGAGAAAAGGATATTTATTGAGAGATGTAAAAAACAAAACATAATAGTATGAAGTTAAAATTGCAGACTCTTTGAGTCATTCTGTTAATTATTAATAACGACAAATGTAACATCTCTCACGCAAACTCACATCAGCTTTAGTGGTTATTGGTATTAAATCATCAAATATGAAATATACTATCCCTAGGACCATAAATCAATGTAGAGATGTCAGGAGAGTGTTTTACTATATGGTGGATGAGGCCCTCATTTGTATGGGCCCGTGTGTAGAACTAGTTTCAGCAGTGCCAATAAGCTAGATTTCTAACATCAAATAAATCAGTTTCTCATTCTATATAATTCTAAATCTCCGACTGGTTTCAAGTCAATAGAAGAAAGGGTCAACTGACTAATTGACCTTTTTCCCTTGAAACCACAATGACAAGTGTCGGTAAAATACAGTGTGTATTAATCTCATTTCACGTTTTGTTTTTTTCTTTAAATTATAGTGATAACAATAAGTACCATCGCATATATAGGTTATTAATGTACATAAGTTACGGAGGCAGGAAAAGCTTTTGAACAATTGTAAATAATTCTTTGAGTTAATTCACTTGGATTTTAATACATACCACTACATCAAATGTACATTGTTTAATAACTTCGTTCGGATCTTCATTACCGCCGACCTCGGAATATTCTTGCACAGCTAAACTACCCGCAATTTTATCTTCACACAACTCCTCAGCAGCTGCTTCAGTAATATGTATATTTTGGATGTCTTGACGCTTATCAAGAAAAAAAGTGTATTGACTTAAATAGATGTATAATTTTGTTATGAGATTACATTAATTAATTAGTGGTGCAAATATGTACCGGTATATTGCTACGCATTGTCTGCTTATCCGTACAGTTGTATGAAAGTACGGATATTTACTTTTAAATTTGATCAAAAGATACAATCACAAGTTTGACTATTTTATGCACTACAGCTTTTCACTTTACACATATGTTAGGTGTTTTGATTATTTAATGCAAACCTTAAAGAAAAGAGTACTGTTTAAACTCACCGAAACAGACGCTAAGGTATTACATTATTTATGTACCAGTCAATGCATTGCAATATGTATCGTAATAAGGGTCGTAAAACATAGCAATATGGGTTTGACCAATAGTAATAGCCATACATTAAAACATATCTAGTTATCTAGATGCATGAACCTGACATAAAGATAACTTGTTTAATGAAAAAGGGTGATAAAAGTTGTGTAAACATTCTTCTTTGCTTGTGAATAGAATACATTTACAAATCAAATTACGAAATGGTAAAATAGAGAGAAATATTCCAAGAGAAAGTCCAACACGGCAAAATTGAAAATGTTGCAGGCTCGGTTTGATTGAGCCTGTTCATGGACGGTACTGTCAAGTGCATACTACCGTCCACGCCCCCTAGCACCGGCAAAATTCAAAATTTAACATGAACTAGAAAAATTTAGAATTTTGAAACATCCGCAGATGTGTTCATATGGCGGTTATCATGGAACCTTCAATGTGACATAAGTACATGAGGCGTATATGTTTCATTTAGTAAATCATTATAGTTATTTCGACATCGAATGAATAAATATATTTATGTACAAGAAAAGGGAGATGAGACGTGTTCCAGCCATTTCAGTCTATATATATCGCATGGTCATCTGTGCTGAAAAGATGTTCTTTATTCAAAAGCAAAGGTAGACTAAATGTTTACCTTTCTACTGTCTTAAAACAATTACAGCATTACCTTGAACCTAGTTTCTATTCCCGGCGTATCTAGTGGTGTCATTAATAGAAGTAATCTGTCTAATTCTTTGTCATCTCTATAATTGCCATCTGCGCTTCTCCTCCTTCTGCTTTGTACGTTACATTTTGTACCAGTAATTGATCTGCTCAGTGTACAATTCAAATACTGGGTCGGATAGCACGTTGCTTCTGCTACTGATTTGTTACTTTCACAGACACAAAACAATCCATTTATATCACCCCAACTGTCTAAGGTCCTTTTTCCTGTTAGAAATAAGTTGAGTTGTTTTGTTTCGTCTGAAGTTAAAACTGAAAATAAACAGAGTAGTTTATGCAACAACAACCAAAAACAAAACATTACGAAAAAAAAAAAAAAAAAAAAAAAAAAAAAAAAAAAAAAAAAAAAATCAAAACAAACAACCAAACAATACTTTTGTTTAATTTATAATCACATGTCAAGAAATACTCATTAGTATATATCCTCTTTTCCTTAAGACAGGAATGTCAGATAATGAACAATTTGATGTAATAAAAACAATTTAGTTCGATTACAGTAATAATATTCATTTAGATAGGTTTGAAGCAAATACCGATTGAGTTAATCGTTTTAAAATGTTTGTGTTATCACAGTGTCGCAGAAGAGTAAATATCGGCACCATTTAATTCTTTAGCAGATTAAGGTTTAAAGAAATAACATATCAAGATATTAAAAAATTGGACCATATTATCGATTACCTCCAGCTTTCAGTAAATTCAGCAAAGTGACTATTACGATTTGCATTATTTATTGCCGAGACAGTTCCATCTCTATGTCGAAAATCGTTTGCAGGATTATTATCAAACTGTCCACACAATCCCTCAATATTATACAAATCTTTGGGAGCCATTGTAATGTCTATGTTCATTGTTCCTCGGTATCCTCCGCCGTATTCATTTTGAAAAAGTCTTATTGTTATTTTAGTTCCAATGGGTGTGAACACCTATAACAATAACATTTCAATTTGGAAGCATGCCAATAATCATTTAACCTCAATAATGGATAGTTTTTTTTTCATTCTTTAGAAAGAAATACAGAAATTGTTGCATTATGTTGTAATAATGGATTAAAAACACGAAACAAGCTATTCAGCTGAAAATTTAGTGCTGAATTTGAAATAATTTGTGATATCTGTAGCAAAATGTAAAAACTAAGTACATGTACAATTTGGACCTGTTTACAAAATAGTAAATCATTATTACTCTACTAATTGTCAAAATGCAATAGATAACTCAGCCATATAGTAAGGCCAATGACAAACGTTCTGGAAACTGTAACTAATCACAAAAAATACAAATTTTATGTTTTAAGCTCAATGGGTATTAATATTAACATCAAAGTTATATAAACGGGCGGTTTAATGACAACCGGCCTTTCTTTTTTTGAGACATTCTGCATTCAAGTCTACACAATTTAACAATTTGTGCTGGAATAATTTTATTCCGCTATAATCCATGACAAAACATGTTTTGCTGTGCTGGAATAATTTTATTCCGCTATAAACCATGACAAAACATGTTAAAGAAACAGAGTAACAGCAGGTACTGTATGTATATATACATGTATGTAGAGAAAAAAGAATACATAAAGAACGATTAAAATAAAAATGTTGCAGACCTGATTTGATAGAGACTGTTTTGGTAAATGTATGCTAATGTCCACGCGTTGGAATAATACTTATTTTGAGCAAACATTTGATATTGAATAAGAGTGACATACGTTGAGGTCTGTGCTTTAGGGAGGGCAAGACAGTAATTGCCATTTATAAGATTGATAACCTCCATTTTGGCTACTACAGTACAGCGTTATCGTGTAGGAGAATATCTTCTGTGCAAACCTCGGATGTATTAGCTTAAGCATTTCCAGACTGTTACCAGCAGAGGGAGACATCTCAACTCATTAAAGACATAATATACCTCAGAAATACATATCTTTTTAATGCTTCAGAAATATAAAAAAGTGTTTTGCCAGGAAGCTTGGATGAAACCTTGCCCTTTCCAGTTCCATAAACAGGCTCAATCAAATCGGTTCTGCAAAATTGTTTCCAATTTGTCGTTTTAGACGTTCTTCAATGATTCGGTTTTTCTCTATTTTAATAATGTTTAAAAGCTAGATTATGAGCATGTTAGATGTTTACAATTGAAAAGGGTAGTGCTGTACTTGAAGGCTGAAAGGTAGCAAATTGTAAACGAAGTAGTATTTTTACTTCCATACAAAATATTAATTCATTATAAATATACAAACTGCTTAAAAAACTCAAGATGCAAAAGATAGATCATGTATATAGCAAATGAGCATGTTTTGGAAATTTAAACAAGATTCCATCATTGAATAGGTTTTTTAATTCAGAATATAGCATTTCTGAAGCATACCGGGCCTTTAAGGTGGTGAAGAAGCTGTTCGTTTCCAATTCTTTGACTTATTTTTCCTACATACATCATTTCCTTTCTTTGTCAATCCTTGTGTTATCTCCAATATTTTGTTTGCTGTCCTCATGAGTAACTTACAATTGGTTATTTGTAGCTGGCGTTTGTAAGGAGATACTTTCTGTTAACTACTAAATACTAAACATTTATTCCGAAAAAGTACATGTGCCTTATTTTAGAAAGAAACTATAAAAAAATAAATTTTACATGATAATCCTTTATTCCAGTCATTATTAACTTTTTCCTAAGACAAAACTTATTCATTGAAATGTGAACAGATTACTTACATCGTATGTGTAATGATTAATCCTTATGACTTGTAAAATTCCCCCGTCTCCGCATTTTGTAAAGCCTAGATAGTTTACGCTGCCACACCTATTAATCATGAATACATCTTTACCTGCTCGTATCGCAACACCACATGCACACGTCGCATATCCTCCGTTACAGCTTCTAGTTTGTTCTTGTACCTGAGAAGAATAGGCATCTAAATCATTAATAACGCATAAAAGAACGGAATCCCATAAGAATGCCAAACGAACAAATTGAATACGATTGATTAAGTATATTCATTGACGGTAGTGTTAAGTGGAAACTACTGCCAATGCTCCCCCAGCAACGGCTTAAGCAGTTTTCGCCATAAAAAGACGAAAAAAGGTTATATTTTGAATTTAGAAACATCCGCAAATATGTTTATCATGCGGTCACCTGTGACAATGTGACATCTTATGATTTAGAATCAAATGAAAATATAAGAAATGCTACGATGTGTACCGATAAAATGTGTCAAATAATCACACACAGAAACGATGATTACGTGAAATTAATGCATTATCTGATTCATTCTAAATAGTTCTAAGTAAAGTTTTAAACATATTCAAAAGGTAGCTGAATAATTTGCCTTATATGAAAATATCCTTTTATATAATGTATTTACATTTACTGATTTGTTGTGATATACATGACACAATATGAATGTTAATTCTCGATATTATACAACGTTCTAATATTTTGTCAAGCAACGTATCATCTTTTAGATTAAGATGATATTAACTATCATACCTCGATTCCATACTTTGTGTTCCTATACATCAAGAATGTTCCCGGGTAGAGCTGGCCGTTCTTTCGTTGTTGCTCATAGTAACTGAAAAATGATACAGATCATAATAATAAAATATTTTCTATTTCAAATATATTCGATGCAGACAGTCTTGTTGACATTTTGCTGCAGTTAATTAATATAAATTTATCTTATACTAACCAGTAATATATTCAGTTTTATCCCACCGATAGTGTGGATGATATACTACGCGTGAAAGGGTTTATGTTATAGCTCTGCCAAAATAGGCTTTGATTTTGTGATTACGTATATATATGATTATCCACATATTAAACAGATAAACAAATATTCACGAAAAACAAACACATTTTCTTTTTATTTTATAAAAAAATGTTCATTAAACAAAATAGCAGATACAAATAATGTAGAATCCTTTTATTGATTGGATTGTGACTGTAAATAGGTAATCATACTAATAGGATATTTATCTTTGTATAGAATCTTTTGTTTGCATAAAATACAATGCTGAAAGATGGGCGCTGGTATTTATATGCATTTAGGAATCGTCTTTTAATTTAGTCTTAAAGGAAATGGATAAAGATTATTTAAGAAAACTTACACGCCGTCAGCTGATCTCATATGTGGATCTATGTGAGAATAACAAATCTTGCTTTTGTATTCTCCATTGTCAGATACGATAACCTTTGAATTTATAAATATTGTTATAATTTTTACTTTGTAATCTTTAATAGTGTTTATGTTATATATATGCATGTGTCAGTTATATATACTTTATAAAATGAGCACAAATATATTTGTGAAAAATGTATGCATATGTTCATGAAATAAATATTAACATCAACCGGCAAGTATATAATATTTCTTTTCATTTGATACCAATCTCGTGTAAAAGTATAAAAGATGTACCTTAATGACGGGGAAATTGTAATTTCTCCATATCTCATGACCCATTATATCAGGAAATTGTAGCATTAAGTTAAAAAGTCGTTTATCATTATAGTTCATGTCGGTTGTTACAACGGAGAAACTAAACACTGTATCGGGATCCCAAGTTGATCCTTTTTTCTGTGTCTGTTGTAAAAAGAAAATTCAATACAATCGAAATAAATAGATCAAAATTATGGTATCTATAATTGTGTAAATATTTGATATCAATAAGTGTTTTTCATTAAACGTTCAAACTTCAAAATAAATAGAATATTAAAAAAAAAAACATCCACAAAAGAGAGCAAAATTCATGAATCTCAGCCCACAACAAAAGCTAGCCAACAGGTCAACTGTTACTTCTCGTGCACGTATTTCTCTTCTAATCAAATATAGATAAATCATGTTGTTTTATTAAAAAAACGAAAAGTTAGCCAATCAGAGCATCTCTTTGGCATGAGGGCGAATCGATTGACCGCAAATAACGGTGACATCTCAAACGAAATGTTTCATATTTGTCACCTGCTTTATTGCTTGAAATATATTTCGTTCTAAATATGTAAATGTTAACAGTTGTGTGATAGTTCAAGAGGACAAGGTAAAAATAAAACAATCTTCGCCGAATGGTAAATGTAAATGACTTAATTATATTTGGCTGGTGATTGTCGGCATGCATCTTTGATGAGATAAGAGCTCTATCGGGTCTCTTGAACTTTGTCACAATAACCTGATTAAGATGTAAATATCTTGGTCCAGTTTATCTATCTTTAAAAAAATATGCCCGTCAGTGCATGTTTTTCAGGCACCAGTGGGCAGAACCACCAACGTTCCGTATGCAAGCTTGAACGTTTTCTCGAAACCATAGTGGTCAGGAGCAAGGCGTTTAAAGTCAACCCTTTTACTATTCGGTAAAACGTTATTAGACAAGATGTACCTGTAACCCATTAGAACATCGTTGGTTTGGCTTAAGTGCCAAACTAGTAACACCAGCTTTACATTGAAATCCTTCATTTTCATGATTAAATATTTGGAAATTTTCAATACAATCATCACCGGGCGGATCATTATATCTACAGCCTATTGGCATTGTTGATTGTAACTGAATTTCTGCAGTATCGCCTTTATCAATGTAGATTGTTGTGTTTATAACCTGTATGGTAAGAAATGATATCAATAACACACAGGTATATATCATATAACGATTTCCCTATAAATTCACGAATAATTATAATTCTTTAGCACTCCGTTTATATTTCATAACATAAACAAATGTACTTCAGAATTACATTACAACTTTCAAACATATGCTTTATCTCGATTTTAATTATTCGTAGCTTTCTCCGGCTTTTAACATACTATCTATTTTTAACATATATTACGTTTTCTTTATTATTTCTACAGTTTTGAGGCTGTGAAATATTATTACTATTATTATTATATAGTATAAGATTATATTCACTTAAGCTAATATCATTTCTTTATTTGATTATACTAACTTACTTTAATGCCTGCGTAATAGTTTTCACTAAACACCATGTCAGTAACACTAGCATTTGGAGCATCTGAGGTCAGAGCACTTATGCCGCAATAAATCTGTTTGATAAAATGTATTATAAGGTAATATACATGGTTGAAAAAAAATCTGGAAACAAAGTGAGTTTACAAAGCTGAATTTTAATGGACGAGTGCACTGTTGTCAAAACTATATTTGACACAACTATGGTTTTTGAAATTTTGACAGAAGTTTGATATTTCGAGAAAATATGGATTTTATATTTAGAATATTTGGCCCCTTAAAATAAAATCGAGTCTTGATTGAGTGTGTCAGTGATATAATTGCAGTGGAAAAGGAAAGCGGGGCTAAATAAATAAGATTGGATTCAACATTTAATAAGGTGTCAAATAAAATGAGGTTATAATCCATTGTTTGTTCTAGTGAATTCTGTCGGAAGAGTACAAAGCTGTAAAACCTTTATTGGACAATGGACAGTGCATACAATATAAAAGATTGGATACAACATTTAATAAGGTGTCAAATAAAATGAGGTAATAATCCATTGTTTATTACAGTGATTTCCGTTGGAAGAGTACACAGATGTAAACCTTTATTGGACAATGGACAGTGCATACAATATAAAATTTTCATTTGTATAATTGTCAAGTAGAATCACTGTGTTTCGGACTGTAGTTAAGAAATCTCTCAAATAAAGTATAATCATATTTAAGTCACAAGCACATTATGGATGCAAGCAATGGTGTTGTAATTCGTCATTTATCAGTATCTTCAGTAGAAGTTTGAAATTATTTTAATGAAGTGACGGATGTCCACCATTTTGATTTAATGTTAACGGAATCATGTAACCGTTCAACTTCCTTAGCATATGCATTTGCGAATGTGACACTTTTTGTTTTCTGCATCAGCATATCATAAAAGCTTATTGTTTAGGGTTGCAGACATGTCATTGACATATATTAGACATATTAGAAAAATCGGATAGCTTTCAACATCCGGATACTTGTACACGTTTGAAAAACCATCATTCTGTGCAATAAATGAACTTAATATGGATAAAATCAAAAGGATAATCGTCACAATTGACATCAATGTAGACCACAATGATATTCGGAATCCGGCTTTTAGTATTGCCAATAAAGCTAAGGGACAAGCTGTTAAACTGAGCCTGCAATTTCATGAATATAATATCACAATGCACATGCATTTACATAAAGTTATCAAATACAAATATAACAACAAAATTGTTTACTTGATTTTTACGGATCAAAATAAAACTAATTAAATTAACTTCTTATAATAACAGCTCCTACAACCGGCCAAAAAAAAACATTCCATAAGAGACGGCGTCGCCAATAAACTAATGGAAAATGAAAAACGTATGAATCATTATAATCAAATTGTAAGAGGATGGTCTTCAAACTTCGTATAATACATAAAATATAACAATTTTAGAATAACTGGCTGGCTTTAAATCACAGGTATTTTATTAAAATTACAAATACATCATACTTACATTAAACCCCATTGATATTTTGTTGTCGACCAGCACGCTCTGGTGAAAAAGTAAGTCATTTATTTTTGTTGTCGGGCCGTATGAAACTAAATGTGCCCCATTCACGTACCTATATTCACAACGAATTAAGTGTAATGTAAATGATTGTAAAATTATACATAGATTTAATTACATTTAAGTTCAGTTACAATTATCTAATATTGAAAATAATGTTGGTAGTGTCAAGCCCGTATTTCTTTTCAATTGTAAAAAGTTATTGTTTTATGAAGATATTGTGGTGTACATAAAATCTTCAAATATTTTAAGTTTTCTTTTACTTTGGGACCATACGTCGCTTTTCATGGATTGACACTACTGTGTCACATTGAAGGTTCCATGATAACCGCCGTATGAACACATCTGCGAATGTTCTAAATTCAAAATTTCAGCAATGTTTAAATGTAAAATTCTGCTGAAGCCGGTGCTAGGGGGCCTTGACGGAAGTTTGAAAAACCGTCCATGAATAGGCTCGATCAAACAAGCCTGCAACAGTGTTGGGCTTTCTTTTGGGTTTCTGTTTTTCTCTTTTTTATTGTTTAAATCAAAAGAAAATAAAGATGTATCTTATAAAACTACTGTAATATAAATGAATTATACATAAACATCAGATAACAGACTTACGAAGAACAATTTTAGACAGAGGTTATACTACAGAACAACATGATATCAAAATATAAGTTTATGACCTAGCAAGCGAGTAAACCACTTTTTGTGAATGTGCTCGACATCTACCCAAATGATTTCAAATTGGCATCTACAACTCAAAACAATTTAAGAAAGTAACTCTAACATATAAAAGGAAGAAATCATGGCAATTACCATTGAACTTTATAAAAGAAGTCCTGCTGAACGTTGAACAAGCATCGGAACTGAAAGTATGGATCATAGTTTATGGAGTTTCCTAATGGACTAGGAATAAGAGTTTCTGTGAATTTGAGCTCAGGTGTTATTCCTATGTCTCCAAGTACAACATCTGATATATCAGGTGGACTGAAAATTTTGGAATGATTTTCTGAAGAAAAAAAAAACGATAAACAAATGAATGTATGATGTTTTCATGTTCTTCTTCATTCTTGTGCAAAATATTTAAAACTAATTCTAAGAAAGCCACACATATAAATACGTTAAGATTTTTCGTTGTTGCAGCAAATCTTTTTTATTAGAAATGAAGAAAATATACTTTTTTAATAAAATTATTAAATGTGTACTTTTTTGTTCTTTAGAAAACAATATGAACACTTTACTGAAGCAGAATGCACTGTATGACTTTGTCGGGGGCAGGTAGTACTGTATTTCATCTCCACATTTCCTTATCTTCACTTGATGTTGTATATCACATGGAAACAAATAATCACGTTTGCAGGCCACAACGTCTACAGGTGTCTCAGTTAATGTATCAATCGATGGGTGTGTATCTGTAATGAAAAAAAATCTAAAAATTGATTTCAAGTTAATGTTGCCGCTCACATGGAACAAAAAACTGACCATGATTAATCTGTATTTTTTATACTGGTGTGACGTAAATTTTAAGAAACGTAAGACTTAACATATTGCGCATGCGCAGACAGTTGTCGGACGGGCCGTGAGAGATGTAAGGCTTTCTGGTGTAAACCGTCTTTAGAACTAGTGTTATTCATTTTTGTTAAGAAGTGATAGGTTTTAAGCTCTAAATAACAGTTGCATTCATTAAATTTGAAATAAGTAAAGATACATTTTATTACAAGCCTAAACAAAGCAATCGTGTGCTTTTTGTTGTTAATGAAGTTCATAAACTTAAAATTTATTTTACCTCGCAAGTAAACTGGATAGTATGCCGAACAGTCAGTATAATTTGGTTTTTCTGTTGAGTCAACCAGAGTAAATTGCCATCCATTATATACAACACTGTACCAATCAAAGTTCAGATTATCATCGCTGATACCAAGATTTCCATCTTCTCCCCAATGCCTGCTAGGTTGACGAAGGGGCATGTTGGATAGATAGGCAACATCATCAGCACAGTTGCCATCTGTTGTAAGTAATCAAAACAAACTTTTAATGGATCAGTTTGCACTAATAATAAACCCATACGCTATGATGATGATGATGATGATGATGACGAAGACGATGATGACAGTGATAATGAAGACGATGCCGATCACTGTGGACCGACTTAAGTAAAGGCCTCAACAGACGGTAGCATTAAACTGTGCAGCACTTATAAGAGATATGATGTACACTTTTTAAAGCAATTCAACACCTGCATTCAGATCGTAAATCTATATTGTATGAATCACAAGGTTTTCCCCCAAAACAAATCTCTATTGTATGAATCACCAAGTTTTCCCCCAAACAATTCCACCCGAATAGATACCTTACATAATTTGTTCCCTATTATTACTGACATAATTATGTGTCAATGATATATATATGATGGTATTTACCAATTATGAAGATTGATTAAGAGGCAGGCCAAAGCATGACGAAATCATTTAGGAAATGCAATGTTCTGAAATGTATAATTTAACCTAGCACCATAAAGCCTGTTCCGTTTTTTTGATTTCACGCTGAAAATTTATTTTTTCTGTATGAGTAATGATCGGAAACTCTTCCATTTAAAAATTGTCTATAATCATTTTCTGAGTAATTTGAGATTCGAACCTTCCAAAACTTGATGGCTCCCAACAATTTTCAACATCCTTTTTACTCCATCTTACTACTATGTTTACATTATAGCTCCAATTGTTCTGAAATTTCTTTCATTAAATACATTATTTGGAGATAATTGGGAAATATGTCACCTGTCATCGTGGGAAGTTAGTACAACAAGAATTACAGGATAGAATATGTCCTATACTGTAAATCTAAATCTACGTCATATGTATTCAAAAACATAGTAGTCTTCACACATTAAGTTTGAATTGGTTGTGTACTTCGAAACCTACCGTCTGTTGAGGCCTTAAGTCACGAAGTTTATGAACGACTTGTTTTGTTGTTGTTGTTTTATGTTTTTTGACTGTTTTGTTTTTCTCTGTTTTTGCTAGGGTGTTTATTTCTTTTTTTATCTATTTGTTTGCCTAGCTTTCTATTTAGCTTTCAATCTACTTATTATATCCCTGTCTATATTTATTGTTTGTATCACATGCACAAATACAACCAGACAGAAATATCTGTATCACATTCAACTGTGATCCGGAATTCGTGTCTGGTGTATTCCAATTACGTTATGTTTAATTCTAACACTCCTCGTGATTTTTTCACTATACACAAAGAACGAAAAAGCCGGTGTTAAACGGCCAATAGACGCTTGTTAGGGACTACATGTACATGTATATGCGGCTATTATTTTTTCTCCCTCGATAATATAGTTAATATTTTTTTAAAGACAACAATAAAACACATTTTTATTGATATTTTCAGTCCTTACAATGTTTTCTTTTCATATAATGCTTAATGATTTTTAACATACACTAACGCCACAGGTTTGATCCATATCAGTTCATAAAAATCATATGACAAATCAATCAGTAAGCAAAGTAATGACGTCATCCTAAGTATGCAACTCATTCATAAAGGTGCTATCTTGAATGACGTCAGTCCAAGACAAGAATGATTAATCGAGCACTAATGTAAACACAATACGATCAAGACTGACATATCAGTTTTAATTTGTTGAAAACTTGATAAAATATTTTTTTTCTTATTATTTTCTTATATTATATTCTTGGCAACAGTAGGGTGCGAAATCGAACAGCTTTATACGAAATTCGGCACCTATACATATCATGTATAATGTTTTGTGATAGGGATAGACAATTTTGTAAGTTTATCTGTATGATGTTTTCAATGTTGAATTTTTTGCATCAAATATTCATGTTCAATAAATTTTGCCGCAGCATATCTTTATTTCAATTCAAATTATTTCATATACACGTATAAATGCATTCTAAATTACAAATTTTTAACCACTCTAAAAAAAGTCCAAAAACATGACGAAATGTAACACCTAACTTTGTCTTGCAATTAAATTTAGATTACTAACAATTTAATATGTAAAGGTGCATTTAATAAATTTCATACAAACAGAAATAGGTAAATAAATGTTTTTTTATCGTCTCCCGTTCTTATTTTGATGCCCAGACAACCCGTTTTATAAGCCTAAAATTCTGCAACCTCATTATGGCGAAATCAGAAGTACAATTTCAATTTGCATGAGAGACTCCGCCTTTTGGTCATCCGTTCATATATAGAAAATCAAAACACATTTTAAGTAGCTGTCCGAATTTAACGTTATATTTCCTCATTATATTACGGATGTTTCCATAAAATTTCGATTAATTTTTTATGAAATGATTACTTTTTGTGAACGACAGAACTAAATTAGTACAAGAATACCTCCGATTTGCTGTGTTCCACATAGTAACAATTGATTTTATCTCTGTGCCATAGCGCATACACGTGCTAATTATAGTCTTCATTTGCATTTTTTAATTCGTATACGATTTTTTTGTTACCGCGTGGTTTTCCTTTAAAAATCATAACTTATGAACGGTATTTAATAAGATTTACAACAATATTGTTAAAAGCGTTAACGAAACGATAGAATATTTGGTTTCTTAAGCTGACGGGAAAATATATTCACATTTTTATTTTATGTAGCTTTAATCAATAATTATTCTTTTCCATTGATTCATTAAAGTTTTGGCCGGGCTACACTGCTGTAAACCCGGGTTATAGTATGGTGAATGTCGGGCGGCGGCCGGTGGGCAGCGGGAGGGCATTGAAAAACTTTTCGTAACAGTTTTCTCAACAACTTCTTATCACAGCCTCTTGATATTTGGCATTCAGCATTGACACATGATCCTATACCGTGGGATACGATTCCAGGTCACTTCCTGTTTACCAACTTAGTTAAATTTCGGACATTAATGGTCAGTGGTAATTTTTTTTTCGTAACATCGCAGCATCATGATATTTAGTATACAAATGCAACCCGATCTTTGGTAACTTTGACCCATTTTCCCTTTATAGTATGCTATCTTATGAATCTGTAGGTACTAGTGTATTTAAAAAAACATCAGTAAACGTGTTTGTCAGCTATTTAAAACTGTTATAATTTACATTGCTTCCAGAAGAATTTTTCTTTAACCCTATTCAAACTATTTTGTCTTAAAAACACTCAAATTTAACCTTGAAAAGCATGCAGAAAATGATCAAATATCCTGATTTAAGTTATTACTTGACCAGACTATTATTTACTTTGTGTCAGGCGTAAATGTTATTTATTTAAATTCTAAATGATTTACAGTAATATTTCATTTCTTATTATCATATGATCTTTTCTCAGCACATAATATCAAACTGTTTGTCTGTATCCTTTCTTGCAAATAGAAAAGCATTAACATGGAACTGACTGACTTCTTTTAATAAAGTAACACCTAACTATCGTTTACCCTTAGCATGATAACTATCTAAAAACAACTTATTAAGAACACTATCATTAATCGTTTTTAGGAAAATATCCAAATACCTAATATCTAAAATGCTAAGAGTGTAAACCCTGATCAGACGGATTGGATGTACCGGCTGATCTTGTTATGTACTGGTGACGTGGATAGAATCAGTTACCGCTAACAGTCACACAGCATTATATTTTTTTCTATTTATGACAAACACAACAAATCAAAACATTTCAAAACAAATTTAAATGTATTTAAATCTATTAAAATTAATTGTAATCATTTATAATTAATATTAAAAAGACATCCATTGACATCATTGTTATCCGTATATTTCATATTGTCGTGAAAAGACGTGAAGTTTCTCTTTATACTACCGTTTTAGCCTTAAAGTATATCAATTATTTTTTTTAAATTGTAACGGACAGAACAGAGAACATAGAAGAACATAATACATAATCATACAAAATGATACAAAATATAAATCAATATTATCAAAAGATCTTTTAAATTCCTTAAATTAATCGTCCATAAGAGTGTGAATTTAAAGAAACCAAAGACAAAGTGAAACTTACAGCTGTTTTATTAAAAAAAATCCTTATTCTTATTATTTTAGAAATATTTGGTTTCTAAATCAAAAGAAAATCTAACTCACAAACTACTGAAGTATAAACAGCCAAGTGTAGAAAAATATAAATAATCCGCGATGCCTTCATCGCGCCTGCAGAGTTATTGATATCACACAAGACAAAACTTCAATATTTAAATATTTAAACGAAGAGGAAGTCATGAATCTGTATACTGCTCTTTGTACAGGTTTTACAAATTCGCACTTATTACAAATTCGAACTTATAGGTATAATAAATTTCTTTTATTAACTGGTATCAATATAAACTAATCTATCAAAATAATTGAGATCTCAAATATTCTTAAAGACATTATGACAGTCAAATAAAACTCATAGTAGTAATAATGAATGTTTTAATGCTTTAATTGGGTAAACGTTATATTCCTTTATCGACAGATTTTTTACTTTTGGTACTGAAACAGTTTCGTTCGGGCGTGTATTGCCTCTCCATCGCGGTGCTCTTGTTGATTTTATTTAATAAAAATACAATTGGGAAGAGATTCCAAACAATGACAGATTCCCGAGACAAGGATTGATCTACTTGGATTTCTTTTAATTAAAGAATCCACAGGCAAAAAGAAAACTCTTACATGTTTATTTTGTATGTAAATAGAATAATCAGTGTGGTTAAACAAGTAACAAGGTACAACGTAATAATCTTTAGTTGACATTTGTAGGGAGGGGACGGGATTGAGTGGTTATGGTCGTTGACTTCAACCATATGCCCCTAACCGATGTGGGTTCAAAATATTTGAATTATTTTATGCTTTTATGCAAGGACGCTATCCACCTAGTTTACGGAACGTCGATGGTTCTCTTCAGGTGCCCTTTTATGCCTGTAATAATCCACGGAAGGGCACCTGAGGGTTTCCTCTATTCGTAAAGATGGAAAGTCGCTATATTACCTATACTGTGAAGGCGCGACGTGGAACCCGACCAAAAATATTCAAATTTGTTTTTGTTACAAAGACTATTAAATATGTCTAGGTTTCAGACCTTATGTTTAAGTGTTTGCATTCACGTGTTTTTTAACTATCATTTTTAGCATTAATTACCTGGGTCATTGTCACAATATTTATCTAAATACGCCATAATTATACTTATTATATAATTACGTAAGCCTCATTACCCACGATTATACGATTGGATAGTGGGGAAAATATTTTTCTTTGAGACATACTTATCCTGCGTAGATCTTTTCATTCTGTCACACTCTACTGTTTGTTTAAACTTATTTCGTTCATTTTTTTGTTTGTTCATTTTTGTTTGCAAATACTGTGATACTGTTACATAGATATGTTTTCTGAACTATGGACCTCATTGGTATTCCTAATTGCATATTATATATATTATATATTATAATTACCTATACTTTGCCTACAGCGAAAAATGAACCGATGTACAGCAATTTAAACAAATTTTGGAAGATTGTTCGGACTGAAAATTAAATCTAAACAATGAAGTTATTATTCCTTCGAGTATATGTGTTCCTGATATTTTTCAGAAAAGGGCACAAGATCTGAATCATTTAGAGCAAATGGTATTATATGGTAATATGCTAGTGTTATGATATTGAAATTATAAAACTTAAAGAGCAAACAGAGTTTTTTTTAAATATATTGAACTATTATTTACTTCGCTTATTGCAAATTGAAACGCTTTGTGATAATTTTGAAAATTTGTAAATAATTGATTATTATAAGGCCTTCATATTTCCCAATTAATAATCAGGTACGACAGCATTTATTTGTTGGTGTCGTGTCGGGGATATATTATTTCTTAAATGGTGTACACTAATTTAAATAAGAGTATTCAAATAAAGATATATTTGCTATAAATTGAGTGTAATTTTGCAGTAATACTATAATCAAACAATTTGAATAAGCCTTAATATTATCTATTTATGGTTTCGTTTAAAAAACAATTATACTTATCTTTATATACATGTATATATATATATTTATATATATATACTTGTTTTAAACGAAACCATAAATATATAACTAATTAATAACAATAATGTGTGTGTGTGTGTGTGTGGGCGTGCGTGCGTGCGTGCGTGCGTGCGTGCGTGCGTGCGTGCGTGTGTGTGTGTGTGTGTGACCTTCGTATTTTCATGTTTGTATATCATATTTTTGTATGCGCAGCGTTCGCGTAGTTGTTGCACGCCTGACGGGGCGAAAGTTGTGCATGTATAAGGTTATCACTTTCTGTGATTTGTCAAGATTCCTAAAGCCTATTCATATAATAAAACAATTATTGATTATTGTGCCATTGAATATGATGTGATATTCACCGACAGAAAATCATATTGACCGAGGCGATAATTTGTCATCTGCTGGTGAATATCACATAATATTCAATGGCACACTAGTCAATAATTTTGTAATATATATCAGGTAGAAATAATACAAGACATAATGCATAATAATAATAAATTACATAGATACAAAACAAAGCAAAGTAGTTTATCTCATTTACATATCTTGTATTTATAAAACTGTCGATTTGCCTTTTTTACGAGACAATTTCACTGCAAACAAAAATTCGAATACACGACTTCTCTGAAAATATTTTGCATATGTGCCCATATAATAATATTTATTTCTGTTTAAATTATCCCATATAATTTATTGCCAAACTTTGCATTTTTAAGGTTAACCGTCAGCTACTTAACTATTTCAAAATCTCAGCTCATTGACATGACTAATAATGCACACTCACCATTCATACTAATTAGCAATTAAGAATAAATCTAATATTCAGTAATATGCCTGAAATCAACCAATCATATTCTTCACTTCCTTGTCCGTATTGACGATTACACTCCAGTTGTAGGTATTAAACGTGACATCTGTTAATGTAATATCATTGTAAAGAGTATTTCAAATATTTATTATATTATGTAAAGGTAAGGGGTTAGCTAGTGAATACCCCTAGAGAGTTATTTAAGATTGAAATTATAAATTAATATGATTCAGGATTTTTTCGGAGACATTATAAGATTTAGCAATATAAAAAGCTGTAATCCTGGCCCAAGTCCAAAGTCTTAACAGGAAAAAAAATTAAACATGTCTTACTCAATAAAGCACACAATTAAAGTAATCACTTTATATATTGTAGTTAAATGAATTATTGGAAACTGTATATTCAGTATTTTTAATCGAAAATTATTCTCAAAATCAAACCATAAGTCTCTCTGATACACTTAATTGTAAAAGGATTTTTTTAATGAGGAAACATATATATCTAGAAAAAATATAATTGATAATATTTCTTGCTACTTTGTTTTTAAGCCAATGAAAGAGAATTAATACCAGATTGGTATGTTTGTATTGGTGTATTTGTATGAATAGTGCTATTGATTTGTGTGTTATTTAAAAATGCAGGCTTGCTTCTTTGGAGTCCAGATGAGAGGAAATATATCACGATGGCGTGGCCCGAGTGATATAATGATGTGCATCCGAATGACAAACAATGATGTTATCAAGCGGTAAAATCAGATATTAAGATATATGATTTTGATTCTAACACGACATCAACAAATAAATGCTGCCATACCTGATATTAAGCTGTGCCTGATTTGTTTCCGTACTTATCTTCAGCGCGTCGCATTTTTTAATATAACATGTCTAATGGTTACGTCACATGTCTAAATATAGAACATCAACTGCATATTAACACACACTTTCGGTCCTTCTATGTTCAATAGGGAAAAATGCGTTTCATGTAAAAATTAACATTGAAAATGACGGTAAAATTTGAATTGTAACTCATTTTGCAAAATTAGCGCTTAAATTACTCCTTCATTTGATATAGTAGAAGTAGGTCTGCTAAAGCCTAACATGCGCTATCTTGTTATGATATTTTTCTATACCCGTAACCTATGTCAAAGCAATATTAATTCGTCTCATTTTTCTCTCTCTTTTTTTAATAGTTATTAAAACATATATCAGTAGTGGTAGTAACAGCTTACTAGGTTTACTCTTAAAAGAATAGTGGGACTATCCTCCCTACCTTGGCGCCGGCGTGACACTTCTTTTGTTCAACTTCAGTCCATCAACCATTCATTTTAAAAATTATCCAAGGCCAATGATGGATTTTGACAGAATTAAATCGCTTTGCAAACTTTGTACATTCTTGGTTTAAGTGTAACATTAATCTTTATACTTATGGTCTTCATTCGAAACTGAATACATGTTTTTCAGATCCTTATTGTAGGTCACCGATCAAGGCTCAAAACTCTGTCATGTTTTGGGTGAATGACTGTCCTTGATAACTTAGGACATTCCTGATATAACGTTTTCCGGATCACAACTATAGATCACTATCCAATGCTCATAATTTCAAGAAGTATCTTAACTGGCAAATGAACATTGTAAGATTAACAAATTCTTATTGCGAAACAAATATCTTCATAACTTATGCAGGTATTTACTTGAACATTAATTTATGTTTCCCGGATCATACTTTCCTTTGCCTATATATGTGGTATGTAATTTGACTGTGTTATAGTCTTTTGTGATTTTAGAAAAGAATATTCATATTATGGTACGTAACTATACTATTGTTTATTTACATAACTCAATAGGTTTGTATAGACACGAGAATACGTTAACTATAGTACGTTTAAAAAAATAAAAAAGCAATTATTTGGGAGCAAGGGAAACAAGTTAAAAACCGGTAGAACTGAGTATTTAAGGCGGTAAATTGTTAATGATAATAGTCACGAAAATTAATCACAACATCTTATTTGAGATATGATTTTATTTGAAATATAATTGCACGAACAATCATTATGATTAAACACAAACTATTCTATAAAACATTCATAAAATAAAAAAATGGGCAAATAGCAGTCCATTCAACAACTTTTTTATGGAAGGCTGTTTTTTTGCTTCTTTTTTTCTGTATACATTTTTTTAATAAGAAATCCAGCAGGTATGCATGAGTAATCATGATTAACGTTGCTCTGGTTTTTAAGGTAGAAATGTTAATAATTTATTCGTCTAAGACAAGTTCGAAAGGCAAATGGTCACAAAATACAAACATTCAAATTAAATTTAAATCACTTAATCATTAAAGCTAACATTACCTTGTAGCAGTACCATGCACTCCGAATTACATTAACAATAC